TCGTTTGCATCTCCAGTGTTCACAGCTGCTTCGAACGCAAGTGTTTACCACTCCCGATAGCGGTTTGAATCCTTCCTAGCGAATCCAGGTCGACGCGGGATCCGCCCAACGGGTAACCAGATTGCCAAACACACCAAACGATCCAGTACCAGGCGGCTCGTGCTGATGTTGGTGATCCGGAGGTATGACTTGTTACTGAATCCACCATTCACCACCGTGATCACCCATTTTTCCCCTCTCGTTACCCACAGTTCAAACCGCTTGCTGTGGGACTTGAGTGAGATCTCTGTCCATTGGCCAGGACCGACTTCATGGAATCCCGTTGCGTAGACCGCGCCAGCCTTGCTGCTATACAGTGGCTTACGGTCGTGCGAACTTCGTCCGGCAGACAGAGCGTTCCGTCAGCCAGGTCCAACCTCACCCCCGCAGGAACCATAAAATCCATGCCGATAATGACGTCTTGTCCTGAGAGATCTCCAACCTACACACGGAACTTGTACACCAACTCTCCAGCCAGATTGAGCTTGACTTCTGCTCGGCCTTCTGTGCGGTACACAGTATCCCCCACACCAACACAATCCATTGTCTGTGTTGTATCAATTTCACAACCCACCTTACGAGCAAAGGTAGAGTCGATTATCGACACTTCGGCTCCAGTATCAAAGAGTAGGACGGCACGGACATTGTTGACCGCACCGGTCGCCTTCGACGGCTTGAACTACTTGGAGGGAGTGTAATACTTCCAGTAACCTCGGCGTTCACCCGGCGACATTCGAAGGGCCATCACACAAGGGCGACGCAAATAGTCATCTTCATCCGAGGTAAGAGATCTGGCTTTATTCACCGCATTACAGGAAGTTGGGTCTTCTAACGCTCGCGCCTTCCTCTGAACATATGCATAAATGCAGAACTTCGATCGCTCGTCACGTACCAGGCTGTTCAGGCCTGGCGAGCGGTCTAGTTTAACGCCATCTCGACGCTCTCGGGTAGCAGTCCGGCATGGCGAGTCGGGTTGTACCATTGCCGAACAGCATCGAAGAAGTCGCCGATTTTACACTGACCTGCTTCGTGAACGTCTCCACAGCACTTGCAGACGTAGAAGCACTTGTCGGTAGGATGGCCCATGCGTCCACACTTCTGGCACGTGAGCCTCTTCCAGCACCCGAGATCCGTATGCTTGCGAGATCCGCAGTGTGAGCATCGAGTGCCGTACTTCGGGCGCCCCAGTTGGTCTTCGCGGTCTTGGCGCGCCCCTGGCTGTTCACCATCTCCTGGTGTAGGCGTCCTAGCTGCCGAAAACACGTGCGCTCTTTCGTCTTCAGATTCGCTATCGGAACTGCTTAATTCGCCCTCGAACTCGTTGAGATCTCCGTGATCTCCGCGGCGTCCGCGACCGGTAGTCACAACCCGCACCGCCCTCGAGGAGGCTGCAGGGGCGGGAGCCTTTTGGCGGTATTTCGAACCTTGGGTCTCAATCTTGCGACGTTGGTGGCGGCGTCGCATGGCCAACAGGATCCCTTCGAGAGCTTCTGAGTCAGGCAGCCTCAACACTACCAGAGATCCGGCGAGATCGTCATCTTGGACTGTATCGATGTAGTGGTCGACGTGTTCACGTCGTTGTTCCTTGATGCCATCATGGATCTTCAAGTTTGCACGTATCCCGGCCAGATTCAGCCGGTATAAGTAATCCAGTGGGTCTTCCTGACTCCCGCGCCGCATGTGGTAGTACTTGCGCGCGAGGGAGATACCTTCACCGCAATTGTGAATCTGGAACTGTTCACCCAGGTCAGTCCACGACGCGCGAGCGGTGCGGCTCAGCTGGTAATACCAATAGCGCGCAGGGCCTATCATCAAATCGGCAAATGTCAAGCACATCTCGTCTGGCTGCATCTGATCCCGTCGGAAAGCCGTTCTAACCTTGTTGAACCAGGCTCGGGCGGCTTCTTCGTCATGTTCCTTGCCGCTGAAGTCCTTCAGTTCGGACACAGCCGATGCTCGCAATTTAGTCGCCGTGGACACAGCTGCGACACGACCTCCGGTTCCGCCACCTCCATCATAGCCGAGGTCCTCGGATAGGTCATGGAGATCTCCTTGGTATTCCGGTTGTGTCTGGGATCGGTACCCGATACGTGGTCGAGCGGGAGACGCAGTGACTGGTTGCATCTCAACGTCTTCAGGCTCGTCTCGCTCATTCGCAAACTGGTAAAGAAGGTCTTCAGCCACACCGCCGGGGCGATCGGGCTCTGTTGCAACCTCTTGAGCCTCCTGGATCCTCCCACGTGGTCCTCTCGCTGGGCGAGTCTGCGCAATATTTAACACTTGCGCAGACTTCCCGCGTCCTACATCGTTTGCAGCGATCGCTGGGATCCCTTGCGCACGTCGTTCTCGGCGGGACACACGTGGGGCCGGTGGAGGCTTCTTGGTTGAGGTAGTGCTCCTCATGAGAGCGTCACCGTCATCTTCAAACTTGAAGGAGATCCGCGAATCGTCCAACCGAGGAGGTGTGAGGTCTCCGGTCGGCAACGGCGCGGATGAGTCATCTGCACTCGGGACGAGCTTCTGCAACACTGCGTACACCCCCGCGAGCGTAAGGACGGTGGTTTCCAGATCGTACTCGCGTACATCGGTGGAGATCCGCTGTTCATGTACCTTGTAACCAGCATCTTCGAGCACGCAGAACAGCATCGTGACGGCGTGAAGCGGATCTCGGATTGTTAGCGTGCGCGGGTTGCGAACTGGACCCGTGAGAGGCCATGGCATCGTCAGCCCCAACTTACGCAGGAGCGGATCTCTCTGGAGCAGAAACGCAAGCTCTTGACGGAAGTAGTTGACTTCGGCTTCACGAAATCGTTTGTCTTCATCGTGAGTGTCGTTGCTGGGGCCATGGACCGCTAGCGCCGAGATCTCCAATTTCTCCGTTTTCTTCTCGGCTTTCTTCTTCGCATCTTCGACTTCCATGTAGTCCATCGCAGCGTCTAGAGCATCGCTTCGGGCAGCGGGGTCGCGAATGACCCCCTTCAGATGCTCGCGCTCCAGGTTTCGACCTCGCTTTTCAGCGACGCCGGGGTCCCGCTTAGCAGCAGGTCCAATGGAACTCGGTTTTTGGACCGAGTCCCGGACGGCTCCTTTCGGAGCCTTAACGGGGAACTTCTCTTCGTAAACGAAATCCTTCGGCTCAGGCGTCCCCATTGTCTGTCCGTCGGTGGACCTAGTGTTTTCACGTTTAACTTCCGCCGGTCCCAGCGGAGTTCCGTCTTCCCTTACCTCACCCTTCACCTTCACGTCCCCTTTCGGACTAGTAGATCCGGGCACGCGCACCATTGTGGTGGAGTCCCTCAGATAAAAACTAATAAACTCCCACACGTGTCCTGCCACGCAACTACGGGGGGTTACCCCTGCAAGCCAAATACCCAAAGACAACGAGAACTAGTCCCGAGATCTCTAGGCCTCACCTTGTGTACCCTTGTAGCAAGACTCGGATCTTTATCTAGCGTAATTCCTAGAAGACGTGTAATATGAAGGGGTGAATATGGGGTTCCTTACACTCGCAGGCAGAGACTTAGGTTAACTCTGTCGCGGATGCACTTGTACAGCGAGGTAACTCTTCCCACTGTACGACAACTTGTTGTACAATATGTACGAGATCTACTGGAGATCTCGTGCCGCAGCTAGTCTGCGGGTTCAAACCAAAGTGCGAGACGCACACCAATACCTTACTAAACCGTTTAGAGTGTCCTACTGTCGAACACTGAGAGCTGATCTCCTGAGTCCAGACAATGCAACACACTACGCTACTAGAAGGTTACCGGGGAGGCCAAATCAATCCAGAACCCCGAGTACACTTCGCAAGTAGGTAGGAAACAGTCACAGTACACACGTAGGCGCTAACCGCACAACACAAAGACTAATATGAAGAAGTACCTTGTCTCGTTGTTGGAAATTCTGAACTGAACTGCCTATCTACCAGCGGCTCGTCTGCCGGCCAACCAACCAACCAGTATGCTGCACGCCTTTACCTCATGACGTCATCTGCTGTCTCCGTGCGGTGTCATCGTCCTTGTTACAGACCTCCCCGTTCTGGATCTCCGTAAATACGCCATCGGGTTTCGTAATCAGTCGCCGGCCTTCTATACGGGATGCCGAGCTAGGGTGTCCCATAATTCAAGTGGCTCACTCTCGGGTCACCTTCGGGCAACCTCCGGGTCCATCGCCTCACAATCCTTCAACCCGCATTACGACACTATGCTGTATATCTCACAAGAGGATGCTTGCGTATCAAGTAGAATAGCAGCACTGTCCCTGCTGGAACTACACACAAATAAAATTCTACTTCAGGTTCATACGTTAGAAGGTTATCACGGTTGCCTTTATTTTGGTTCTTATGCAGATCAGGTCTGGGATTTGAACATGCTGATTATGAGACCGAATCGGTAGACCTGAACGAAACAGCCACAGCAGTGGAACATGACACGACAATTCTTCTCCATGCTCCGTTCAACGTTCTGCCCTGCCAAGTAATGGCAGGACTTCTTGTAGGTGAAGGTGGTCTACGTTGAATGAGCAGACATTATGCAGTAGCAAGGCCCTGATGCCTTACAATCACGTCTTTAGTCATTTCTTAAAGCCTGCGCCTCAATTTGCAGTATTCTGCTGCTTTATCGAGCTGGCAGTCGCAGCAAGATGCATAGACGGTAACCTTGCATGATGGGCTCTCTTATATAGTGAGGCAATTGTATTCGATTCGATATGTAAACTATGCATTGGACGTAGCAATGACTTATACGCTACCGTGTAAGGCAGCACGGTCTAGTCGCTCCTGCGAGCGCCTTTGAGCAGTATGGCAGCCAACCCTCAGTGTTCACGCCGCTTGACATGCTTCGCGCTCCCATGCGAAGCCAGCGCTCTGCAGGGTGAAGAATTCGCCTGCACGAACCTCGCGTTGCCCCTCCGTAGCGAATATGACAACCGACGAGAAGTGCTTGGTGAACCTTATCACGCAGTCACGGGCTTGGGTGCCACGAAATATCCTTCTCCTTCTTGTAGCGGGTGCGCGGAGTGCGCACGGGTGCCCCCAAAACGTGCTGACCGCTTGGGAGTGCGGCGAGACTTGACCTACAACTCATCAACGAGGCGAACTGCGTCTTCCCCACCACTCCGAATCCTCGTCGTAGAGCTTGGACAGCACAGTATGTCGAGCTGCACGAAGCGTGGGCGAACTTGAGTCTGTAGTTGTCGTGGAATACTCGAGGTCAATGCTGCGGCGAGGCCGGACGTGGGCGGGCCGACCGCCGTCATGGACTTGGTGTCCTCATGCTCCATTCATCTTGTCCGCGTCTATCGTCGCCGTACACGGCGTCGTAGGCTACGACTCGTAACGCCTTGTCTCCGACCGAAGAGCTCGTGAGCGGGGAAGCAGAAGCTGCCACCTCTGACCGTCGTACGGGAACACGGGCCTAGGGCGCAACACACGCCGAAGTCGTCGCCGGCGCAGCGAAATTCAGACGGGTGGCATTTGCCGTAGCTGGGTCTGAGCTCCGCGGTGCCCACGGTGAGCTCGACAGACCTGCGATTCTCCTTACACCCACGGGCTCGGGCGACATCGAAAGCATCGAGACGAGCTCCGCCGCGGCGGCTCACGATCACGAGGGGCGTGCCGCGCTTCACACGACGAGCGCACCCACGCCCACCTTCTTCTTGGAGCGGAGGAGTTGTCTCGTGCAAGCGGCGACTTGATAAGCGACGAGCTCGAGGGAGCCGCGGGCACCTTACGCCGGCGTGCCGCGGCCTGCTGCTGCATCTTCCAGCTCCATGTCCAGCAGCTCGCTCTGGCAGCCTGGGTGGAGAGGAGGCTCGGTCCATAGCGGGTTGGACGATCAGGGCTGGATCACCTAGCTGCTCGCAACTTGGTGATACCGGTACCCACCAGCGCCATTGCAGCCACTGCGGTGAGCTCGATGGCGTTCATAGTCTACGGTGAAGTGGCTTTTGTCGTCAAAACATGGCGAATGTGATCCAATCACGAGATCATAGAAAAAGTACGCAATGATCAAATCCAAGACCTGTTCTGCGGTTGAAAAAATCCCCACTACTCGATCCAGTCAGCACGTAATGGTAGTATCATATGCCCCCAACAAGTTATGATTTACCACCGAGTGGTGCCAACGGACACGTGTTGAAGTATACTTCGTACTAGACATGCATACCATCCGAAGCGCTTCCCATGAAAGCCTCAAACTGTAATCTAGCCCAAGCGGATCTACTGACACGCGGCAAGATGAGAACCACAGAACGGCCACGACTGGCAGCAGCGTGACTTGGAAGTGACCAGAAGTCTGCCGCTTCATCGTCAAAGCAGGTTCGCTTCGGTGGTGACGCGTACTCCTCTCTGGTGCTCGCCCGCAAGTTCAATTTCGATGGGCTATCGATCGATGAAGACGAAGAGGAGGAGGTGGAGAGCGTCCTGGGTTTCCTCGGTGACCCAGTGTCACCAACTCCAAATTAAACGATACCTAGCTTTTGAACGATTCCGTCGCGAGCTGACGTGTCCAAGCAGCGTACCGTCACGCAATCGCCGCTGCAGCAACCCCTTGCAAGAGAGTTGTTTCCTGCACAGAATATGGCATACGAAGGCGCTGCAATGCGTGCTTTAAGGTTCGGACCAACATCTCAAGGGTAATTCCTTTGTTGTCGATGATGGCATTCATTGGGGTGGGTCTTGGTAAAATGCATTCCATAAGACTTTGACAGCAAATGTTAAGTTCCGCGAATCAAGATGGACGCGAAGCTTAATATTTCATTTTTAACCCTGAGTCGAAGCAAGCGCTAGCTAGGGTCGTAAGTGTGTGATGAGCTATCTGATGCAACGTGTCAACCACTCAGTAAAGGATTTTTCTCGAAATGCCCGCATATAAATTTAAATTCAGCGGCCGGTAGACCTGTGTTGCTCGCATAAGTTAAGTGAAAACTGTTCAATTCGATTCACTCAGATAGAATGCTTAGTGTGTTTGAAATCATAATCGATGTCAACGTTGCTAAAGCCAGCAAATATTGGTTAGTAGTAAGGTGATTGCTCTGAAGCTGCATTCGTGTATTGTGCTCTGAAGCTGCATTATGCAATACACGCTTCCTTGCGAGTGCAGGTCATGGGGACAAAAGGAAGTCCATTCACATGTTTAGCCGAGGACTCGTAGAGTCAGGTTGTGGGGCGTCGACGCGTGGGTGCTGAACCGCGGCGCCGGCCCGAGAGCTGGATCGGAGAGGCCGACCCCCCCCCAAGATAGAGGCGTGCATGTGAATGGACTAAGCCTGCATGATAACAGAACGTACACATAGTGAGAGTACTGGGTCCGCAGTGACTTACTGGGAGACCGGCATGCAGGTTGATAAGTGACTCGGTGTGTTACTTGAGCTTCCGTCAGCGCTTGACTCCCGCGAGGGGACCGTGATGAGGGCGAGTAGCGTAGACGTACTCCTGAAAAAGTCAGACTCAGTCTTGAGATCGAGGCCCGACCATGTGGGTTGCGGCTTATCCTGGAGTAAATCACGGGGGTACGCGTAAAGTCAAAACAGGTGAGACCTAGAGTAAGCTTTTACAAAACCGGATATGTTACTAGTGACAGGCCGAACCGAGACGATCAGAGTAAGCTCCTGCCATTCGTCAGTTTTCGCTCAACATGAGCAGAGCCGACGAGGCAAGCGGCAGCGACTTTGCCTCGTCTTCGGACGAAGAGGGGCAGCAAGTCAGAGCGACTCGTAGAGCGTTCGTTGTGTGCGAGGTGTTCCCAACCCTTGAAGAGGCGCAGATTGGCATCGACGTCTTAGACGGGTTCCACTACAAGTACAAACACAACTACGGCAATGCTGGCAACGGTACTCGTAACTACTGCTGCATGTCCCATGTTAATTGCCCCAAACGGCTGCGGCTGTCTAAGGTGGAAGGCGAAGCCCGGACGAAAGCGGAGCTCAGTTTGTTTTGGAGGAGACAGACATGCATGGAGACGAAGATCAAGACATTCAGCGCCGTGGAATTCACGGTGCGCTGAAGCGAGAGATCGACAGCATCCTGTTCGGCGGCGCTGGACCAAAGAAGTGCCGGAAGCTGCTGCTAGATCGTCACGGAGACAACCCAGTCATGCTTCAGCATTTACCCACGGAAAGTCAGCTCAAGAACCGAAAAGCTGGACTCCGGAAGAAACAGTCAGGTATGATGTTTTTGGCAGCTCTGTACTTTATTTTGGGTTGATAGTAATAATTCTGAACAATTGTGGTTGTCTTGCATTTGGTTCTGCCACAGGTGGGTGGGAGATTCACAACTTCGCAACTCTACTAGAGTGGGCGTACACACATTTGTGTACATCGAAGAGTGACTTCTTTGGTCACGAAGACGACATCAGCGCTGCGGACGCCGCAACGCAGTTTGCCAACAAGTCCCGCCAGTTTCAGCACGGTGTGATCGTTCTTGAGTGCTTTGAACACGACTTCATTGACCAGGATGGCAAGGCAGTAAAGTCTTTCGGGCTCATATTGACTTCGCGTCACATGCTCCTGAACATTCCCAAGGCCTACGAATGCCAGCAGGATATTGGTGTCTTGGGTGCTACGGATGGAACATATAAACTGCATTTCGGTAAGCTTCGAGGTGTGTTACTAGTCGTGGCAAGGTGCATTAGCTGACCGTTTTCTCTTTTTTTGTAGGTGGATGGACCCTCGTAGACTTTGGGACCTACACGACGCACTATTCGCGAAAACAGTACTCCAAAACATTTGTCCCTTGGATGTATATGTTTGTCAAGACAGAGCATCAGACGGCGTACGCAACGCTTTTTCGGACTGCCAAGCACTTTGCCCGACTGTTTTTCGGAGTCGATTTAGCCCTTGCCTATGGCAGCCTCGATAGGACCCAAGGCATTGCGAACGCTTTTAAGGAGGTTTGGCCTGATGTAATTCTCCTTAATTGCTACCCGCACCTCGTGCGGAAAAGTCGAGAGAAGATCAAGCTACTCAAGGACCCTGCGTTCTACGAAGACAACGTGCTACCGGACATTCGCTATCTCAGTAAAGCTCGCTCGGCCAAGCAGTTCAAGGCGCTCAGTAAACTCTTTCTCGAGTTTTGGATCCAACAAAACGAGCGAGACTACGCCAAGTGGTTCGAGGACATTTACTTGGGTGACACGTGGGGGAACTGGTTCTACGTCGCCGCCGCCGCAGGCATTACACCGTCCCAGAATGCCCTTGAGGCTCATCACCGCGTGATCAAGAAGGTGTGTGTCGGGACGCTTCGGGCAAGTACATCGGTCGTCTTGAACGACTCAATTCCTAGTATTCTTGGTCTCCAAGAAAGCGAGCCGGCTCGCCCTGCTCTAAGCCACTTCTCGGAAGGTAAGATGACGTTTGTTTATCATTTGCTAATGGTGTGTACCGATTGATTTTATTATTCGTGTATCTCGTGCATTCTAGGTCCGTTCATGAGTGGTGTAGTAGCGCGCGCGCAAACGCTTGTCCAAGAGAAGTCTAATCACTACATGATCAAGGACACGGGCGAAGTTTGTGAAGGCGTTCTTGTTTAACGCTTCCAAGTTCGTGGTATCGCCCAAGAACATTCACAGTGCTGTTTTGAACCGCGACCGTGCCACAATGTGAGTATTACAGCTGTGCGAGTCAAAGTTGTTAAGCTCACTATTTATTTGTTTCATTTTGGCAGCTACAGGAACTCCATCAACGGCAAACTACCGCCAGGGATGACTGTAAACCTGGTGGAATTGCACTGCTTGTCCATTCACCAAGTTCGATTACTGAGCAGAGATCCACTGCTCGATGGTGGAATGATAACGGCTGCACCATCAATCCCCTCCCAAACAGTACGTTCAGTTTGATATGTGGTAGTAGCACACTTAGGCGATTTGAATCTGACACTGTCACTGCGGTTTTAGATTCAGGCGATTCGGAAGAAGTATGTGTGCGACTGCGCCCTGTTTTATCAAACAGGGTGGCAATGCTCCCATGTCGTCGCTGCCATGACATTGCAGAAGGAGATCAGCATTCAAGGGATGCTAAAGGCGTTGCCAACGAGAAAGCTAAGTGGTGGGTAGCGCAAGCGCGTGGGTCCGCCCACAGAAGGCGGAGACAACACTCACCGATTCTCCGTCGACGTGCTGATTCGAGAGTTCTTGAAGTACCCTGCCAGACCCCTACATTGGAACCTCATGAAGGAATCCAAAATTCCCGATGACTCCGGTAGTGAGGTGGAGCAGTTTCTGTTGGGAAAGGGGATCTCGTGGGGGGAGACCAACGACGTCTTCTTCTGGATGACGAAGTTTTCCAACGGTGCGCAAGTCAAGCTGGAGTGCCAAGAGTTAGCCGAGTGTCTTACCAGGGCCTACACCCACGGTGCAGATGTTGCTGGAGCCGTGGCCTATTAAGGCGATCAATGGCTGGTGACAACAACTCGAACGTGCTAGGTTGTAGCTAGCATTTTTTTCATTTCGCATATCGAGTCCTACGATCCATTTTCGTAGACAACAATACACGTTTCGTTACATTTTATTCACAGTTCTTCGTTGCTAGCAATACTTCATTCGTACCCAATTTCTGAATACTCGTATCTCGGCTTTAGTTGTTTGGGATTACTCGTAGTGCCTCTTTTTGGTGTGTTACTCTTGGTATCGCCAATTTTACTCGAGATTAAGCTCGTTCGGTCACGATACTATCCGCGCTCTTAGGTTTTGCGGCACTGTCGACTTCGATTCTAGTGAAAAGGATGAATCCCAGAGTGAAGAAGGTCGTCCAGTCAGCTCGGCTGTCGATACGTAGCTTCACTTCACAGGTGTCGTCTATCTACCCGACGCCTCGTGCCAACGCCGCCCAGCAAATTAAGGTGTCCTCTCTCTTTGGCGGTGCGAAAATGAATCAAATTCTGCCGGTCGAGACCCACGAATCGCGTCACCCCCTCACCTCTTTCGAGCAGAATTGTCTTGGGTGTCCATTCAAGAGGCTCTTCTACGACTGCGACGATTTTGCCTACGTGACGTACAATGGGAAGCGTTGTTCCAGTGTCGAGGCACTGCTGCTCACGGGATATTTGTACTATGGCAGACACATCTACCAAGCGTCTTCCGTGCAACTGCTGCTTCTGGCGCGCTTGTTGCCACGGAAAATCATTCGCACGTTCAATGTTCTCATCCTACGATGGCAAGTGGATCCGAAGACAGGGACGATAACCCACGCGCTGTCCTGCACGTGGTACACTGCTAGCATGGAGAATCGCGCATCAACTAGCGTGACGCCAGTAGCTTAGACAGACGACCGCAACGGATACTCTCGCCACATCGAACGTGTATGAACGCCGTATTATTTATTAAGATACTCACCTATCCGCATTATGAGAGTTTGCTCAACAGCTCGTCGACAGCTTTGAGCTCATCTCTTAGCGACATCAAGCGGTCCGTTGTGTCTTCTGCCCTACTCTGCACCCCACCGAAATTTAGCACGAGCTGTGCGCTTGCAGACTGGATGTCCAGGCAAAGTTGCCTGCGTCGCTCTTGCAACTCCTCAACACTCAAACCTTCCAGTTCCGGAAATTCTACCGTTTGGTCTTGTGCATCGGGCGTAGAATCGGTAGGCGCTGCTTCCAACACCGGCATCGCAACTTTTTCGGGGCGATCAATGTCCTGTACCGGAAACAGCTCTCTTGCAAGGGGTTGCTGCACCGGCGATTGCGTGACAGTATTATGCTTGGGCGCGTTCAGCTCGCGACGGAATCGTTCGAAAGCTCGCACGAAAGAGGCATCATTCAACTCGGCGCTGGTAACGCTAGATCCACCGAGGAAACTCAGGACGCTCTCCTCCTCCTCTTTCTCTTCCTCCTCGTCTTCGTCGATTGACAGGCCATCGAAATTAAACTTGCGAGCGAGCACCGGGGTGGAGTACGCGTCATCACCGAAGCGAACCTGCTTTGACGATGAAGCAGTGGACTTCTGGTCGCTTCGAGTGGTCGGGGTGGTCACGCTACTGCCAGTCGTGGGCGTTCTGTGGTTCTCATCTGGCCGCTCGTCCGTAGATCTGCTCGGGACTGCATGGTCACTGCCGCTGTCACTGTCTGCTGCTGTACCACGTAGCGTGTCTGGCGACGAACCCTGTTGTGACAATGTCGTGTTCGTAGAGGAGACTGGCGGAGCTCCTCCATTCATCCCCAAGCCAGGCAGATTGTCCACACCCGATGAAGAAGGTGCTAGAGTTTCCGCCGTGGTTGCCCTCGACACTCCAAAGTTCGGGTATCTCATCCGAATCGTCGTCCCTCGTCGCGGTGTCGAATCCAGCGACGAAAACGAGTACGCGCTCGAGCTGAACGACTCGTAACTGCGACTCTCTCGATAATCCACGCTCGCGTCACTGCACGAACCGCTCTCAAAGGAGCGTTTGCGGTGCGGCCGCCTTCCGCGTTGCCCTCCGTCGTTCTCCTCTCTAGTTCGCATCCCCGCTCTCCGCTTGTGCGCCACCACCCCGCCGTGATGCAGCAGTTGGTCCCTCATCTGCACCGACTTTTCCAGCTTCAACATCGTCTCGGCGAACTTCAACTGCAGCGAGAACACGTCGTTCAACGCGTCGGGCGTGTTCCGGTAGTGCACTCTCGGAGCAGCCTCCATCGTCCGCACCACAGGAACCTCAGGAACCGTAGAACCAGAAGCAGCCACTGCAGGACGGAACGTCAGCCCCGTCCTCGCACTCGACGCCTGCCGTTGCGTTGAAGACAGCGGCTCCAGCGTCACCACCCCTCCAATGGAATACTGCGTCTCCGACACCGACTCATTGTTGCCCAGGTGCACCGCACTAGACCCACTCCTCTGCGTCTCCTGAGGCTCCTCCTCCACCTCCTCCTCCTCCTGTGGCTCTGCATAGCTCTCCATCTCTGCGTCTGCCGCCGCCTCCTGCTCCATCTGGCGCTGAATGTCCGCGCGTTGCTGCTGCAGCTCGGCAATCGCCGCCTGCCACGCCGCTCGGCGTCTGCCCTGCTGCTGCTGCTGCTGCTCTAGTCCCTCCAGCTCCTGCTGCTGGCCTCTGTTCATCTCCGTCTGCAGCTGCCGCTCGAGCTCTCGGCGCCGCTCGGAGGCTGCGGCCACTTCGCGCATGAGCCGCCGCCGGTTCCAGCGCGTGACGGGGCGACGCGGAGGCGCTACATCCTGGACAGAGGACGAGGACGAGTCGGAGCTCACGGGCTCCAGCCCCAGGCGCGCGAGCGAGCTCTGCAGCTCCGCCTTGAGCGCGAGCAGCTCGAGCGAGTTCGACGCCTGCATCTTGGCGGCGACGTTTTGAATTTGAACCAATCACCGCGGGAAAAATAATAGCGCGGGAAAGGAGAAGGACGACGAGAGGTGGGTTTGTTGTGGGGAGACACATAGAATAGGAAAGATAGGAGGTGCAACTGGTTTGATTGACACGCATGGCGACACTTACAGCGGTAATGGAGCCGTTGAAGTGCACCGTCAGCAAGCTTGGTAGACGAAGTGGACACAGTGGAGTGAGATGAAAAATCCGCTGTACTAACTTACATATGCACGTCCGCGTCGTTCCTTCGTAGCCAGCTGAGCTCGGCTACAGTAGCTCGCCTTTGGTCCTGTCTGTCCTCTAACTATCCCTCTCCTGCGTTCGGGTGGAGCGGCAACAACGAGTCTGTCCGTCTGCTTGTCTGTCTATCTCAACCTCTGTCCACGGTTGCGCTGCCATCAGAGCGAGTTCCTTGCCTTCGTTCACACCGGGCTTGATTCGCCCAGTTCCATCAACTGACTGGCTCGCGTTTACCCACTGAAGCTCAAAACTACAGCAGCAACCAACGCACCGACAGCGCGTCTAAAGTCGCGGGTAGAAGGGCTTGATGCCGAACTGCACCACCGTCATGACGCCGGCGCCCAGCGCGCCCGCCAGCACCATGGCCTTGGGGCCCGCCGTCGACTTGTAGAAGACGCCCGTGGCCGCCGACGCCAGGATCGGCGTCACCTGGTCGAACTTGACGATGTTCTCGATCTCCGCCGAGTCCGCCACGTACTCGAACGCCTTGTAGATCATAGCTACAGTCATAACAAACAGTAAAACGTCAGTTAAAACTCCAAATTGCAGCTAATTGACTGCAAAATGCCAACGCACCGAGACAGCCGAGCGCGTTGCCGGCCTTGGAGCCGCGCGTGGCCGCGCCGTTCATGAGCGAGTTCATGCGGATCTTGAACTTGGTGCTGGGCGAGCGCGCGAAGCCCGTGAGCGCGCCGTACGCGCCGCCGCCGATGATGCCCGAGAAGTAGGCGGTGCCGCACGAGCCGCTCATCTGCTCCATGAAGGGGCGGCCGGCCTTGTCGTAGTCCAAATAGTCGGCGTCGTCGTCGTACGAGGCCACGCCGAACACGGGCGCGATGGCGCCGATGTCGATGCTGCCCGACGGGATCGTGGGCAGCACGGGGAACTCGAGGCCGCTCGTGGCGCTCGAGTCGAAGCCCGCGCCCGAGCCCGACGCGCTCGAGTCCTGCCACCGGTCGTCCGAGTTCCAGCTGCTTCTGCTCATGCTGCCTGAGGTCTGTAGTGTTCTGTGGGGAGGGGGCTAGGAAGGAGGAGGAGAAGGAGGAGAAGGAGGGCGAGCGAGCGGAGAGCTGCTGCTACTGCTGACGTCCGTCCGTGCGCTTCTGGGGCTGACAGCGGACTGCCCTGGCCAGCCAGGGTAAACGGGAAAAACCTCGGGGAAATCTATTCTGAGGCGAGGTTTTATCGAGAATGGTGGTGTGGTACCCATCAAAACAGAGCGATCATTCCAGAACAACCATGTCAAAAACGTCAACATGCACGTCAACCAACCCCCAGGAATGGAGAGACCTTGCGAGAGCTTTGGGGCAGGCAGGCTACGCACGCGCCGATCTACGGCCAGATCCTTAGTTTATCGACTTTAACCCTGCCATCGTACCGAGGAACTACTGCCGCATCCTAAAGAGACCGGCCACGCCGCTGACCTCCCACACCGTCGTCGACCCGCTTCGCCAACTTATTTCTTCTTGCCGTACCTGCAGCACCAATACAACAGCGGGTTAGCCTTCTCCTGCTACGGTACTCAACGCAACTTCAACCTTCACAGGCAGCAAGACAGGCAGAAACTTACGACTGCTGGGTGTCGTGCAGGATGTTGAGCAGCAGCGAGTCCGAGTTCAGGTAGACCTTGTTGGCCGAGCGCGAGATGACCGTGGCGATCTCCTTGGCGGCGTCCAGGCGACGCAGCTGCACGAAGGCCGGGTTGTTCTTGATGGCCTCGCCGACGAGCTCGGCCGACTTGGACACACCGAGGGCGCGGATGACCGTGCTCTTCTTCTCCTGGATGGCGCGCTCCACGACGAAGCGGGCACGCTCGGCGTCCTGCTGGGCCACCTGCTTGGCCTCAATAGCGGCCGTGTACTCGGCGCCGAACGTCAGGTGGATGATAGACACATCCTCCAGCATGATGGCGAAGCGGTCAGCGCGACGCTTCTGCTCGAGTAGCAACCCGAACAGCAAGACAAGATCCAACAGAGCAACGTCAGTCACTGCATCCCCCACAATGAAGTTTAATGTTGCAACACGTACCAGGTTCTCGATAATGAGACGGCTGACGTGGTCACGCTGGAAGATCAGCTCGGCGGCCGTGAACTGGGCCACCACCTGCTTGGCCACCTCGTTCACGATCGAAGGCAGCACCTTGTCGTCGAAGTCTGGCAGTAGAGATCAGTTAATACCTTCCCCCTATGGTTACAAATCTAGCCGATAGCCAGCGTACCGAGGCCGAGGTTCTGGTAGAGCCACTGCAGACGCGAGCGGTCGGGCTTGGACAGCACACGGATCGAGATGTTGATCATCTGCAGGTCCTTGGTGCCCGTGAGTGACGCGTAGGTGCGCGGGCGCGTGCGCACGTCCATGATCAGGGGGCGCTGCAGCCACGGGATGAGGAAGTGCGTGCCCTGCTCGATGACCTGGTGGCCCACGCCGTCGATACGGCTGTAGACCACGGCGCGGTGTCCAGGCGGCACGTTGTAGATGGACAGGTAGGCGCCGTAGATGGCCGCGCCCGTGAACACCGCCACCTTGGCCAGCGCCGCGGCCGGGCCCTTGCTGCCAGGCGGCATCTTCATGTTCTTCATGTTCTCCATGGCGGCCTTGCCCTTCTCCATGTTAGTCCCCTTCAATCCAAGTCCAAGTCGAAAGTCACGGACGGGAGCCACGGAGCCACACAGTGGGGCTGTACCAAACCACTGGTACGTGGTACCGTCATTCTGGTCGGCTTGCGCATCCTACCAAAACGCATGCCGAACCTGTCGTAGCGCACGGTGAGCGTTCCTGCGCTGCGATTGGCTGGTTGATATTGGTGGCCAGCGGCCTTGGGCGCCATTGCGGCGGCCGCCCCCGACGTCTCCACTCCCATCGCATTCGCCTGAACAAAAGAAGTCACCAAAATGCCGAAGATTTCGCGCCACCGCAACTACCGCAAGACCTACCGCACGCCGTCGCGCGCCTTCGAGAAGGAGCGCCTCGACCAGGAGCTCAAGCTCCTCGGCGAGTACGGCCTCCGCTGCAAGCGCGAGATCTGGCGCGTGCAGTACGCGCTGTCCAAGCTGCGCAAGGCCGCCCGTGAGCTGCTGACGCTGGACCCCAAGGACCCCAAGCGCATCTTCGAGGGCTCGGCCCTGCTGCGCCGCCTCAAGCGCTACGGCATGCTCTCGGAGGACGAGAACGAGCTCGACTTCGTGCTGCGCCTGAACGTGCAGAAGCTGCTGGAGCGCCGCCTGCAGACCAAGGTCTTCAAGCAGAACCTGGCCAAGTCCATCCACCACGCCCGTGTGCTGATCAAGCAGCGCCACATCCGCGTGGGCAAGCAGCTCGTGGACGTGCCCTCCTTCCTGGTGCGCATGGACTCGGAGAAGCACATTGACTTCGCCGTCACGTCGCCCTACGGCCAGGGCCGCCCTGGCCGCGTCGCCCGTCGCCGCGCCGCCCAGCGCGCTGCCGCCGGCGGCGAGGAGGACGAGGAGTAAGCTGTTGATCATTCGATAGCTTGTTGACTTCGTGCTCTTTTGGCTCTTTCTCTCTCTCGGCTGCGTCTGGCGCGCGTGGGATCGACTGACTACAGGAACCTCTCGACGGTCGCGCGCGGACGACCAGCTTCGGAGTTTGTTTTTCGGGGGGTCAGCAATGGCGTCCGATAAATAAAATATCATGCGAATTTGGGGACTTCACACCGTTTGCGCTCGCCTCAGGTCTACCCTTGGTTGTATCTTAGGCTTGGCTGGCAGGGAGGGAGGACAACGTACAGGTCACAGACAGGTTACAGGGATTTCAGGTTCACGCAGCACCATACACTTGCAGTGGTGTAGTACAGGCGAGTACGGTGTGGCAGCGAGCTTGCCGTCAAGTGGTGACAAGGCTGCTAGAAGTTCGTCATGTGACGCTGGCTGCTTGGAACACGCTGCTGACTCATCCGATATTTGTTCGTTAAACGTGCATCCGACCACGTGCTAGGACCCTTTCACACAAACTGCTGCTCGCTGTACAGTACTCTCTTGACCTGTACGCACCCATACCTACTCCGCGACGCTCGCCATGTTGAGGAGGTTGTCCTTGGCGCGCTGCAGTTGGCCCTCCGTGACCCCTCGAGCTGGCGCCGCGGTCAGCGCTGCGATCTGCTGGTTGAAATCACCGGAACGAGCGTACGCGCGCGTGCTGTGGTCGCAGACGAAGCAGCCCAGCGCGCGGTTCAAATCGCCTGACTCAACCGCCTCGGCGCTCTTCCACATGCGCATCTTCTCTTCGAGACACGGCAGGTGGTAGCAGTGGCCGCATTCGAACACGCACGCGTGAACCGTTTCCATGCCGGATGACGGCGCGCGCAGCAGCTCACTGCAAATTGCGCACGCCTTCTTCGCTGCTACGCGCCGTCCGCGCTTGTGCGCTGCGACTTGACGGTGGAGCAGCTCCACCCGGTCGTTGTCAAACACCTTGCGCGAGCCGATGCAAAGGTTTTGCTGAAGATATGCAATAGGAGTCAGTCATGTTAGAATCCAAGGAGCAGTAGCTATTGAAGATGCCACATACCTGGACTCGGTAATTCGTGATGATCGCGATCAGCTTCTGCTTGAGGTTTTCAATCTCCATGTCGTCAGGAATCTGCCAACGTCGCAGAGCAAACCAGTCATGTAAGATAGCGCTAGCCGATAGGTATCAGATTAATGCTGCGTACCTTGCGAATCAGCTTGATCGGGTCGATCTTGTGCTGCGAGGCGAACTTCAGCAGCTCCTCCACGTTGTCCTTGCTGGTAAGACTGAGATCGATGAGGTAGTCCCATAGGCCCTCATCGTGGTCCTGCACAAACTGGATCGCCTGGTTGATGTCGCCACGCTGCGTCAAGATAAGGTCTAGCGCCTTCTTGTGTTGGCCCATGCGACCTAAGATGTAGATCATCGTATCCCAAAGAGGAGGCGTGTGGTGGCTGCAGTACTTGTAGGCCTATCAGACACGATACACAGAACAATGTCAGAGCCCCACACTGCACTATCAGGGCAATACCAACGCAGCAGTTACCTTCTCCAATGGCACGAAGTTGCTTGTCTGCAGGAACTTGAGCAGGAATTCCGGTGCAAACTCAGCATACAGTGCAACCTGCTTCTCGTGTAATGCCGAATAAATCTCCGAATTGTACTCGCCCAAGCGATGCAAGACGAGCTCGTGCAGATACGTGTGCAGCAGCTCCGGTTCGCCCTCAAGTTGGGCAACAATGTCGGTGATCTTGAGCTGCTCTGTCTGGTTGACCAACATACGCACTGCAATCGCCTTGTCAATGCGCATCAGGTTCACCACCTTGTTGGCAACGAGAGACCACAGCTGGTGCTCGGTGATCAGCTTGAATGCGAAGTCCTTGTTGGAGCAAAACTCGCCTTGACTCAGGTAAATACGCAGCGCGTGGTCATACTGCTCTGTGGCTGTGTACAACTCCGCCAGAGCCTCCATCAGGTACATCGTCTCCACACTCAATCGATCTGCGTCCGCTTCGGCGATACGTCGACGACGCACAACTGTCTCTAGCTGATTAATCCATGCCTGCGCATCGTACAGTGGCTCAAACACATGCGTCGTCTCAGTGTACTCAGGTGCGACATCCCCTTCCGACTGCTGCTTTACTGCAGGTGTATCCTGCCGCCTAGGCTTCGGCCACTTCCGGATGAGCTCAAGGAGCTGACCCGGATCTGAGTCCAGGAAGTGCTTCAACACCATTTCATACTGCACCTTCGGTAACCGCGGGCTTGCCGTCGGCATGTAGCGCGCGATCGCACTCAGTTGCCCACGCTGGGCAAACACATATACGTACTTCTCCCACAGCTTCTCGTATTCCTCGCCTCCACCGGTGAAAAGTCGATGAATCTCCTCTGCGGTCTTTTGGAACTTCTTCTGGCGCAACAAGTCGCCAAGGTAAGTTTCCATAACATCAGTGAGCACCACACGCCGAAGAGCTCGTGGGTCATGCAGAGCCACGTCAAGTGCTCGGCCATACTGCTTCCTTGCCAATGCCCACTGTACGCGGTCGTCAGCATCGCGCAGGCGGCAGATGACGACGTCTTTCGGGGTGCACACGTAGGCAAGTTGACCGTAACCTGCATCGTAAATTGAAGACGGGTCGGTCGATTCCAGGTTTGACTGGTGCGCGTGCGCGTAGCGCAAAGTAGGCATCATATAATCCGACGCACGCAGGCGCTGGTAGCCCTTGAGATTCAGCAAGTCCGCGCTAACTTGTTTACCATCCAACCGCACAACGTGAACCTCAGGGTACGGCATCTCGCCGCTCTCTCCTTCGCCTTCAATCTTGGTCGACTTTCCTTGAGACATCGATGGCCCTGTAGATGACGATCCAGACCCCGGAGGTCGAAACGCCAGCACCGACACGACTGAGCCACCACCCCACGGACTGATGCCTGTAACGAAAAAGTCGAACGTAAGCAGCGCCACCACTTCCGCCGTAATAGTTCCCGATGAATTCTCTACTGCATCCAACGCGGCAGCCGACGTCGGCGATCCTGGCTGTCCTGAGTGCCCCTTCTTGAAAGTCACCACACGCAGCGTATGCGCCCATGCTACCAGCAGCACATCGTTGCTCTGCCACTCGAGATGGCAGCGACAGAGCTCCATCGGCGGGCAATTGGGCGGCCGCTCAATGTACGTGATGCGCTGATCATTGTCCGAGTCGTAGACCTTCACGCCCCAATCGTTCGCCCACGCCACGAGCCCGTCCTTCCAGCGGATGAGCTGCACGGGGCCCTCTCCTTCATGCACCGTGCTCTCCTTGTCAATGATCCAGCCCTTCTTGTTGATGATCAGCTGACCCCCCACTCCACCGCACGCGAAGCTCTTCTCGCGCTTCATCGCGTATCTGTCCTCGAGCTGCACGGCGTACACGGCGCTGAAGTAGTTGTAGATGTTGACCTCTCCGCCTGTGCTGGACACGGAGATCTGTCTCGCCGCCGCGTCCTTGCCCTGGTTGCTGGCGTGCTTGTGTCCACTGATGTCCGAAGCTCCAGCGCCTGCAGACGTAGAGGGGAAGAGCGTGTAGACGGCCACCGTGCCGTCGTCCGAGCAGGAGGCGATGAACTGGCCCGTCTCATCGATGCACACCTGGTTCACCTTCTTGTAGTGCTGGTGCAGGCGGCGGATGAAGCGGCCGTCCAGCTCCAGCAGCAGCACGTTGCCCCCGTACGTGCCGGCGCACACGAAGTTGACGTGCAGCGCGATGCAGCTGAGCGAGTCGTCCTTGAAGATGGCGTGGAAGTGGCCGCCCACGCGCTCGTACTTGAGCAGCGGCTCCGTCGGCTCCTCCTGCTGCGAAATACAACAACAATACCAATAATTGTTTTGATCTGATTAGCATCAAATGGTTATTTGATATTGCTTTTTCTCGGGGTGGAGAGCGTTGTTTCGAGTGCGCGTTGCGAGGGGAGACGCGCGAGAAGCAGGCGCGTGGGATGGAGGGAAGACGCACCTTGGTCTCCTGGCTGGCGCTCTCGGGCGTGGCCGACGACGACATGGTGGTCACCGGTGCCGCGATCTTGCAGAATTGCAGACTGGGAATCAATTTTTGGTCCGAGATTGGCTCGGACCAAAATAAAGGTGGATTTATTTTTTGTGCAAAAAAGCTGAAGGACAATCACTCTGGGAAACTTCAACAACCGCTGGACACGGACGCCCGTTCCACCACCTGACTCAGGTTTGCACTTCAATCCACACGAATTCGTCGCCAATCCTGTCACTGCTGCTAAGAAAAGCTCCGTCACAAGGTCTTCAGAAATAGAGGCAGCTCGCCGAAAGCGACTCAACTCTACCAATAGCAGAGCATTTTCCATTCAGGTCTTCTCAGAACTACATACACTTCTATCAGCTTTGCTTTCAATGTCTGCGACTGGAGACCAAGAAGTTGCTTCCTTTCGCTGGACGACGACTCACTACCAGCAAGAGCGCGTCAACCGCATGAATCGCAAGCGGACGAGTCTTCTCCGGCCTTCCGTCTTTGCTGCGTGCTTGGCGATTGCAGGTCGTGTGGTGCTGGGCCCGCTCGCGGTGCTGCTCCTGTTTACTGCCACCGACTACCTCGCCGACGCGACATTCCTCATTGAGGTGGACCGCAGCTTCTTCCTGTACACGCAGCGCGACTTGTCCATGGCTGGAAGCTGCACCGACTGCGTGGGTCCATGCAAGATTGGACGCCGTGTTCAACGAGGAGGCGCTCACCAGCTTACCAGGCTTTTCCGCTCTAGTAGGACACCCACCGACGGAATCGTTGTACGACTTCAGCACTTTGAGCGGTGAGGCCATCGCGCTCGGAGAGGAACTCGACAACAGCGGTGCAATTTGCCAGAGTGGCATCAACGACTGGGGAGCCATCACCAGCATCTTGACAGCAACGCCCCAGGAAGTTTTGGACGTCATCAGGGTGCTCAACCTTAATGTTCCGCCGCAAACAGTGCAAGAGCTCGAGCTGGGCGTTGAACACGCGGACGAGTGCGTGACCAACTGGAGCATTCTGGCCATTGTGCGGCTGTTCTACTTTCCGACATCGCTGAGTACTAGAGAGTTCGGCAAGATATCCGCTGGGGCTATCAATGTGTTCCCTGAATACTCCGAGTGCCGACCGGAAGTGACCGTTGATGTTGGATCAAAGCTCGTGCACTCAACTGACGGCGTAGACTTGTTTGCTACTGCGCCAGATGCACTGAAGCTCTTCCCCTACAGCTTCACGAGCAGCATGCCCGCACAGTCTCGCGTAGTAGCTGCTTCCCAGACAAAGTACGGGGCTACGACGGTGCTGGAGCCCCAGATGCACGCATATTACGGAGACTGTCGAGTGCGCGAAGTGAACGCTACGGGTATCTACATTGAAAGCTCATGTAATGTGTCGGAGCACTGGGAGAGTTATGGTCTGATGGTGCAGGCGCCCGAGAACGTCCCGCTGTGTAGTACCGGTGGAGTTTGTATCCGCAACTACTTCAACACGGAATGGGAATTGATGACGAACATCCTTAGTACAGAAAAGTCTACCAGCACCGCCATTTACCAAAACACGTACCGGACTCGATACGCTGATTCAGTGGGGATCAGTACGCTGCCCGGGGTTGTCGTGATGCAAATACTGTTCATGGGCGTCGTCAGCCTCTACCAAGTGATGTCACACAAGCGCTCCGTGCTGCTCACTCAGATTTGGGCTTACCGGTGCCAGAACGGTCGGATGCAGCCCGTCTACCTCGCGCAGATTTCCTACCACTTCTTTTACAACTCGGATCTGTACTTGCTAGGCTTTGCCACTGGCACTTTGACAAACGAATCGATTGCCAACCTGGTCTGCTGCTTCTTCGCCTTCTCGTACTCGTTCGTCAACATGGCAAAGGCGCGTTCGGGTGACCAGAAACTAGATCGAGAATTTCGGCTGGTGTGGGAGGCCATGCAGATCGCGATCACGGTGGCAGCGGTGGTTGCATTGAAGTGGGTGCAAAGCACTCCGCTGGCCACTATTATCTCTGACAACGCTCAGATTTTGCGTAAGTCATCGACACTCGGCGCCAAATACTGCGGCCTTAATGATTCATGCATCGTGTTCACAGTTAACATGATTGTCGTCGCGATATTCGCATAACTGAGTGTGGGGATGACGGCACTCATTGCCTCAAAAGTTGCGAAGCAGACGAGCTGAAGAACAAAAAGCGCCGGGTACTCAACTCAACCAAGCAAGAAAGTCAGCTCAGGTCAAGTCCTGACGTCCACACAAAGTGACAGTGTTGGCAAGGAGTCAAACCGCAGTCGAGACAGCAGCTCTGATGGTCTGGAGCTCACGTCATTTGAGCAGAACTGCATCGGAGCACCTTTCGACAGGCTGTTCCACGACTGCGGCGATATCGTCTACGTTACCTACAACAGCAAGCGCTGCGTTACCGTCGACGCAGTTCTTCTTGCAGGGTATCTGTTCTATGGCGAGCACATTTACCGCATTTCGCATGTAGAGAAACACACCCCATGTCATAGGTTTAGGTTAATTACTGCACTCGAGCCTAAAAACAATGTAAAACCCAAAAACTGGGTCATGCGATCATTTCGTACACAAAATTGGCAAGATGGTTGGTCATGCGGATGGCGCGGAGCGATCTCCTCTAGGATGGCGCTTAAGCTAGCAACAAGTCTAGGCGCCATCTACAACTATGTTGCACAGGAACCACACCACTTAACCAATTATCTACAGCGTTGCTTCTTCTACTACCATCGCTGCAGCAGCCGTATTGTGCGCTCTCTCGAGCTTGCGCGTTGTGGTTTAACCTCGTGCTCCCCATATCCCGCACTCATCAACTGGGCCCACACCAGGCGTGGCTACTAACTATCACTCCGACGAGGCGTATGCCTCCAAGCGCGCGGGGAGGGGGCAGCGCGACGTTGGCGAGCAGTGCGCAGCTTTTTCCCTCTGCCTTCGCGCGCTTGGAACTGGTGGCTCAATGTGCAGGCAAAAATGCGCAAAATACCCAAATTAGGGGTGTATCTCTCTACATGCGATCCCCACGGACTTTTCTCTCGCATCTCTGATTGGTCTAAACAAAGGTGTAACTCTTAAACCGCTGTAGCGCTCTACATGCGAAATGCGGTACCAGGCGTCCTCTCTGATGCTACTGCTGATTGTCCGATACGTTCCGCGCAAACTGCTTCGAACATTTAATGTGCTACTTCTCCGCTGGCACATGGACCCGAAAACGGGCACGTTGACGCACGTACAGTCATGCACCTGGTACACAGCAAGCAAGGAAGACCACAAGCTTGCTCAAGCAGTCCCCGTGGCCTAGTTCACAACGACAGTGTCGTTGCGAACGTCGTTACGACACTGTGCTACGAGGTTTCTGTATGATAGACTGTACAGTTGTCTCAGATCAATCTACACGCGAAAGCGTTGTCGGTGACTTACAGCAGAATAAACTGAATATGGAGGCTCCGCGGTTTGAGGGACCTGAGTGAACAGCTACACATTACTATTAAAAAAAAAATTTTGCCGCCCGATTTGACGTGTTATCTCGGAGTCCGATTTATATAAAATGGAGCTCCTACATGATCGGTTAGTCCAATTTATCTATATCTGACCCGAGTTAGTAGCATAAGGCTCAGAGGAGAAGCATTCCAAGTTGGCCATACCTCCCCACCTCTCATGACGCTTTAGAACTGCAAGACATTGGGGACAGCAGTACACTGTATATAGCCACTTCATATCACTATGGCCAGCTAAATCACCTGTGTGATCATCTACGGCCGCTACAACTTCGTACCACGCCGATCTGAGAGGGCCCCAGACATGTTTTCGCGGCGGTCCCTTTTGCCGGCGAAAAGCGGTATTTATGGCCCCTGCTTCGCAACTCGCAGCCCCCAGACGCAAATCGGGCCAGATATAGTTTGCTTCCCTCAGCCCCTCCGGCTAAATCGGAGCCCTCCGCCCGATATATCGGATCTTGGACCACCCGATTTGCCAAAACGGCAATACTTGTAACTTAATAGCATAAGTATCATAGTGCTATTGCCGTTTGCAGATATTTTGGCCAACGCATGCTTATTATCTCGTTAATAATCTCGATTTTAGGCTAGCAAATTCTTAAATAAGACCTAGGTCTGAATTATATATATCGCCAGTATTGCCGTTTGCAGATATTTTGGCCAACGCATGCTTATTATCTCGTTAATAATCCGATTTTAATCCAGCCAGCTCTTAATTAAGACCTAGGTCTGATTTATATATCTCGCCAGTACGGTCTAAGATCCGAGCTTGGGGCTCTGTTTTCTCGGCCAAGGCGCTTTTCTACGACTTGGAAACGCAGAAATGCCATTCTAGACGGGCCAAACCGAGTTTCTGGGCCTAAAAGCGGCCCCCATCAAAGCATAAAGCTAAATCAGCCCTCGCCTATCTCGTGTCCACTCATATTAAGAGACAGGCGTGGTCTATTTTACAGGGCAAAGTCGGCAATACCTATATTTATCTATTATATTATTTTACATCCAGACTCCTGAAGGCACATTAATAGTACTGATGTGCCTTCAGCGTAAGGCATTCGATGACAACGACAACGAACAACGATAGTGACTGGAAGCGGTACCTGAATTACGTGCTCGGTCAGTGGCACCACTGCACGAACGAACGCGGGCGCTGCAATCGCGCCAGGCCGAGCCGTGGACTTGGCGTAAAGCACGAGGGGGCGGAGGAGCCACACAGCTTAAACAAACCAAATACAACCCGTTTGGTAAAACCCAGCGCCCTCTGTTGTGATATTTCCTAAACCTTCCTTTGAAATGTTCGCTTGTTCTCTCATCTCATGTTGGCAAATATCGCCATGGACGATCGCAAGAGTCGTCAGGTATTTCGCTCGGACCAACCAGCCCGGGCCCCCCGCTGGGCAGAAGTCACTCGCCTTTTAGACGTTGACCTCAGGCAATGGCGGGATGCATATTTCACTGGAGGGGCTGAAGAGCCTGGCGCGGACGCCGAGTAAGGAAGACGCGACAGAGGCGATACGCAAAGTAGGAGCCCCAACCTGCAGATGACGGGCTAGCATCTGCGGGACCGGTCGTTGTAGTCGTTAGGAAGAACTAAGTGACAACAATGTACCTCAATTCAAAAAGAAATTTATCCTGCAATCGATAAGAGCTCGTCAGCGGCCTTGTTGAAGGCTCTCAAATGATGGTTCCACGTGCACACATGGGCCCGATCTGCTACCCTCTGCATTACGCGTAAATGCTCCGTAAATGTGGAGCTCTGGGCGGACGCCGTTTCCTCATCTGCGCCAATATAATCGCGCTATCGCCCACCACGTGGAGATCGGTCAGTCCGTTGGTGAGTGTGTAGTTCAGTCCTGCACACAGTGCCCGGTACTCTGCTTTATTGTTTGTAGTTCGTCGCGATGCCAAAGAAATGCTCGCCATCCATTCAACGGTAGGTGTCGGTTCTCCTTGAGGAAGCAAGACTATCAGGCAACCAGAGCCACCAGGACCAGGGTTTCCACGGGATTCTCCGTCGAAGAACAGAATTGTAACCGGCTTCGATAGCGTGATGGACGTCCACAACTGTGATTCCCAAGTAGAGCATATGAAACTATCTTGGCAGCTTCATGTCGCCCTCGGGATGGCGAGACTATTGCAGGATAAATATGACTGCAAAAAAAACGATCAACAGGGTGGAATCACCGCGATTATCACGCATAGCACTTCGATGCCCTCCCCGGAATAGTACTCTTCGATACGATACTTCAAGAGTAATCAATCTGCCTGCAGAGCACAGTCAACAGGGACGAAGCAAAGTTGAGAGATGAGCCCTTGGGTCTCATGAGTCTTAAGGTGGGGGCGCCGTGTCCTGCTGCGATAGATACAATATTACGACTACAGAAAACAGTCAACAGGGAGGAATCACCGTGATTACATATTACTTATATCATATAAGTTATATGCATGCAGCACTTCGATGTTCACCTCTGAACAGTGTACTGTATCCTGCGATAGGATACGTCAAGAGTAATCAATTTGACTACAGAATACAGTCAACAGCGAGAAATCGCGCAAAGGGGGTCATTGTAACTGTGGCAAAGCCCCCAATATTTACATCGCAAGGTTCTATAATGCATCGGAGCGTTCGGAGAGTTATGGTCTATGGTAGTGCCATCGTCGCACAAGCCATCGTCGCACAAGCCACCAAGAACATCTACGCTGTGCAGTACTGGCCTGCATCCGCAACTACTTCAACACGGAGTGGGAATTGATGACGAACATCCTTCGCACAGAAAAATCTACCTGCACCGCCATTTACCAAAACATGTATCAAACTGATACACTGATACAGTGGGGATCAGTTCGTTGCCCGTTGCCCGGGCCATTGGTATTTTAACAGACATATCGATTGCAAGCGTGGTTTGCTGCTTACTTATTGTACTTGTTAATCAATAAGGTAAAGCGTGTTCGGGTGACCAGAGACTGGATCGAGACGTTCGACTCACGTGGGAGGACACGCAGATTGTGGCGGCGGTGTTTGGGTTGAAGTCGATGCAGCACACATCGTGTCCACACTTAACATCATTGCCATCGCAATAGTAGTATCAATGAGTGTGGGAATGATCACACTGGTTGCCTTAAAAAAGTTGCGGTAAAGGTGGGTCGCAGCAGAAGATGCGCTCGGTATTCAACTCAACCAAGAAAAAAAAATCAGCTCAGGGTAAGCCCTGACCACACAAAGTGACAGTGTTAACAAGTAGTCAAACCGCAGTCGAGGCAGCAGCCCCAATGGTCTGGAGCCCACGTCGTTTGAGCAGAACTGCATCGGCGCACCTTTCGACAGGCTGTTCCACGACTGCGACAATATCATCTCACATGCTACTAGCAGTAAACAAGGCATGTTGGCTGTTATTCCTAATTCATAGCTCCACTTTATCGAATGAAAGGCAGAGCCTTCCTAGAGCAGGTAACGCAGCTACGAACGCGGCGATTATAAACTAGTGGTGTACGCCGAAGGATGTTATGAACTCACGTTAGCCAGGCTCGCGATCGTTGACGCTTTTGACATCAGCATAGTACAAGTATTAATAGTAATGTCTCTAGGGTTTGACAGAAAAAAGTATCAAAAATATGATATAATCGATAAATTATAATTATGTTACTATAGTAGTTTATAACTTCGCATGTAGCTTTTCTAATACAAAATATAGTATTTTTCGATCGCTTGTATTACTATCTAATTTCTAGCGGCATTTTGGCGAACGCAGGGGCCCGCCAGACACAGATTGGTGCTTGCTTGGCTTTATGGAGGGAGAAAATTGGCTGCTGGTAGGTATAATCGTGTGAAAATGGTTGTGCAAGGGCAGTTCGTCGCACAGGGCCGGCCTACAAGAGAGTTTAAAGGCTATTACCTCGAGAGATTGTAGCGTTCTGCGTGGGCTAATTCTGCAATCATCCACTTGCCCGCTAGATCAAGCTCATCCATGAAGTGGACCAGCTCCCGCGGCTCGTTCTCCAACCTAACCACGATCGATCCATGCGTGTCAGGGTGTTCACCGCGTCTGCATCAACGAGCTGTACGGCGTGGGCAGCTTGTCATCAAACACTTCCACACGGATTTGGGACGGGCAGTCTGCGTGCTGAGAGAAGCAAGGGTCGTTAATAAAGCACAACAAGAAAGCGATCCGTCGCATGGCACTTGATGGTCAACAGCGAGAACGGTATCTTGTTTACTGTTCCTCTACAAAAACGTCAAAATTGTTCTCACTTACCAGGCTGTATATTATTTGAGCAACGAATGTGATGTGGCCAATAGGGATTTCCCGCTGAAGGATGGCAGACTAGCAGGTCCCGTACGCATGCATGCAGTTGATGCCTGAATTAAGCTGACCTCGCTCCAGTTCAAATGCTAAAGTAGCATCCCTAGTTTCTAGCTAAATACAAATAGTTCGTACAATCCCGCGCCTTTATTTTTGGCAACGATCGCTCATAAATTTTCCTAGAGTAACTTGCTGCGTAACCCCTTTCTGGTCACTCGGTCATTGTTCGTTTGTTGCCAACATGGCCGCGACTGGAGAGCCCGATACTGACTCATCTCTCTGGGCAACAGAGTATTACCGCCACCAGAGTTCCCAGCGCCTGAATCGGAAACGGAAGAGTCTTCTCCGGCCTTCCGTCTTCGGTGCGTGTTTGGCGATTGCCGGTCGGATCGTCCTCAGACCGCTGGCGATGCTGCTCCTGTTCACCACCACCAGTTACCTCTCAGACGCGACGGTTCTCATCAAGCTTGACCAAAGCTTCTTCGAGTACACGCAGTACGATCTGTCCATGGCTGGAGGGTGCACAGACTGCGTGGGTCCGTGCAAGATTGGTCTGCTCAAGTACGCCTTCTTCAACGGAGAGGCGATCACGAGCGCGCCTGGGTTTTCAGCCCTAATGGGGACGTCCCCGAAGGAATCCCTCTATGACTTCAGCAACTTGAGCGCTGAGGCCATCGCGGTCGGGGAGGAGCTCGACAACAGCGACGCCATTTGCCAGAGCGGCATCAACGACTGGGGAGCCATCACCAGCATCTTGACAGCGACACCTAAGAAGTCCTGGACGTCGTGAACGTGCTCGATCTGAATATCGCGCCACAGACGATGCGAGAGCTTGAGCTGGGCGTTGAACACGCGGACGAGTGCGTGACGAGTTGGTGCATTCTGGCCATTGTGCGGCTGTTCTACTTCACGACGGCGGTGGGGAGGGCGCAGTTCGGCAAGGTGTGGTCACCGTCTTCCCTGAGTACACGGAATGTCGCCCAGACGTCACCGTTGATGGCAGTACTATCGGATCCAAGTTGGCGTTCGCTACTGACGGCAACGACTTGCTCTCGGATGTTCCGGATGTACTCAAGCTCTACCCCTGCATCTTCACTAGCAGTATGCCCGCACGGTCTCGCGTCGTAGCAGCCTCCAAAACAAAGTACGGCGCTACCACAATTCTGGAACCGGAATGCACGCCTACTACGGAGGCTGTCGGGTGCGCGAGGTCAACACTACTGGAGTCTACGTCGAAAGCTCGTGCGAGGTCTCCAAACACTGGGAAAGTTATGGGCTGATGGTGCAGACTCCGGAGGATCTGCCTCTGTGCAGCACAGGTAGCGTCTGCATCCGCAACTACTTCAATACTCAATGGGAAGTGATCAGCACCATCAGCGCGGACAACCCCAATCGAACCGCCATTGCCCACAACTCGTACCGAACCCGGTACGCTGACTCGGTAGGGATCAGTGTTCTCCCCGGTGTCGTGGTCATGCAGATCCTGCTCATGGGCGTTATAAGCCTCTACCAAGTGATGTCACACAAGCGCTCCGTGCTGCTCACTCAGATTTGGGATTACCGGTGCCAGAATGGTCGAATGCAGCCCGTTTACCTCGCGCAGATCTCCTACCACCTCATCTATAACTCGGATCTGTACCTGCTGGGCTTTGCCACTGGCACTCTGACGATGGAATCGATAGCGAACCTGACTTGCTGCTTCTTCGCCTTCTCGTACTCGTTCATCAACATGGCAAAGGCGCGTTCGGGTGACCAGCAACTGGACCGTGAGCTCCGACTCATGTGGGAGGCCATGCAGATCGCGATCACGGTGGCGGTGGTGGTTGGATTGAAGTCGGTGCAGCACACGCCGCTGGCCGCCATTATCTCTGACAACGCACAGATTCTACGCAAGTCGTCGGCACTTGGAGCTAAGTACTGCGGTCTTAACGACGCTTGCATCATGTTCACGGTCAGTATCATCGTTGTCGCTATAATAGCATCCGTGAGCGTGGGGGTGTTCGCAGTCATCACCTCCAAGATCGCGAAAAAGATGAGTGCCAAGGCAAGAGCTGCCGGGTATATCGCTCAGTCAAGTACGCGAGTCAGCTCAGCTATCGTAGTGCTGCGGGCTGGCATGAAGGATTCAGGTCAAAAGGTCGACCCCAGTGAGCCCCAACTCACGACGTTCGAGCAGAACTGCATCGGTGCGCCATTCAGCAAGCTGTTCCACGACTGCGACGACATCGCGTACGTCGTGTACAACGATACTCGCTGCATTACTGTCGAGGCAGTACTCCTCACGGGGTATCTGTACTACGGCGAGCACATTTACCAGGCGTCCTCCGTGATGCTCCTGCTGATTGCGCGATACGTTCCCAGCAAGGTACTGCGGACGTTTAACGTGCTTCTGCTGCGGTGGCACGTGGACCAGAAAGCGGGGACTTTGACGCACGTGCAGTCTTGCTCGTGGTTTAGAGCAAGCAGGGAGAGCCACAAGCTAGCCAAAGAAGTTCCCGTGGCCTAAGCCTACAGTGTAAGCAACATTGATAAAGACCTATTCGTATCGTAAAGCGCTTCCTGACAACTTTTGAACGCATGAAACAGCACAAAGTTGTGAAAGCTGGACTTGGGATGTGGGGTACCGTTTCCGATCCACTAATAACTTGTGATAGAACATTATTAGATGCACGTGATGGCGGTTGGAGCTTGCTCTCGCTGTACATGGTAGTGACGACGCCGGCAATGAGCCCTTCCTCTCCATGCCTACGTAAAGCAGTCGACGTAATACGCTCAAGAATATGTAGGCCACGGAACCAGGTGTGGGCGACGGATCTGAGCCAAGGCGCTGCGGAGAACTGGACGACAAACTACTATCAACGCGAGAGGCTTCGTCGCAAAAGCCATGGATGGAGAAGTCTACTACAACCGTCAGTGCTCGGTGCTTGTCTAGCAGTCTTCGGGCGCACCATTGTCGGTCCGATCGTGCTGCTGTTGCTGTTCACTGCTACGAATTATCTCTCACCCGAAGCCACGTTCCTCATCACGTCCGACCACAGCTTCTTCGCATTCACCGAGAAAGATTTGTCCATGGCTGGCGGCTGTACAGATTGTCTGGGTACATGCAAGATCGTGCTATTGACGTATGCGCTGTACAATAAAGTGGCTCTCACGAGTGGACCTCCATTCACAGCGTTCACCGGTATGCCCCCGACGGAGTCGCTGTACAATTTCAGCTCTCTCAGTCCTGAGGCGCTCGCATTGGGGGCGTCTCTGGACGCCAGCGACGCGTTATGCCTGAGTAGCGTCAACGAGTGGGGGTCCGCGATGAACGGCTTGACCGGGACGCCTCAGCAAGTGCTGGACGTCGTCACCACTCTCAACCTGAGTATTCCGCAGCAGACAAAGCGAGAGCTTGAACTGGGTATCGAGCGAGCTAACGAATGCGTCACCACGTGGAGTATCATGGCGCTTCCTCGACTGTTTTTATTCCCAGTGTCCGTAAACAGCACCGAGTTCGGCGAAATCCCCGCTGTGGCCATCAATATCGCCCCCGATGTGACCGAGTGCCGCCCAGACGTCCCCCCGGATGAGAGTCTTCTCGGCTCGAAGCTGGCTCTTGCTACGGATGGCTGGGACTTGCTGGCGGACGTTCCCGAGGCGCTCACTTTGTTTCCGTACAGCTTCAACAGCACTATGACTCCGATCTCGCGTGTGGTCGAAGCCGGCGAGGAGACGAAGTACAAAGTTGATACCGTCCTGGAGCCTCTGCTGCACGCGTACTACGGAGCCTGTCGAGTGCACGAGGTGAATGCTACAGGCGTGTACATTGAAGACACCTGCGAGATCTCGAACCACTGGGCTTCTTACGGTCTAATGACCCAATCCCCGGACGATATGCCGCTATGCAGCACCAGTGACGTGTGTATCCACAACTCCTACAACTCGCAGTGGGAATGGACCAGTGAAATCACAGAATCGGAACCAAACCGCGTCGCCATGTACATGAACACGTTTCGGAGTCGTTATGCTGACAAAGTTGGTATCAGTGTGCTACCTGGCCTGGTCGTGATGCAGATTTTCATCATGGGGGTAGTTAGTCTGTACGAAGTGATGTCGCACAAGAGGTCGGTGCTGCTCACTCAAATCTGGGCGTATCGCTGCCAGAACGGCGCTACTCAGGTGGTGTACCTCGCCCAAATTTCCTACCATCTCATCTACAACTCGGACTTGTACTTGCTCGGATTCGCGACGGGCACGCTAACGACCGAGTCGATTGCGAACCTCACCTGTTGTTTCTTTGCCTTCTCGTACTCGTTCGTGAATCTGGCCAAGGCTCGTTCAGGGGACCAGCAGCTGGATCGCCACTTTCGATTAACCTGGGAAGCCACTCAAGTTGTCATCACGGCTTGTGTGGTCACTACACTGCGAGTGGTGCAGCGGAATCCATTGGAGTCGATTATCTCGACAAACGCACAGATTTTGCGTAAAACTTCAACTCTCGGGGCGAAATACTGCGGTCTCAACGATGCCTGCATCATTTTTACCGTGAATGCTCCGACACTGATCGCACTCTTGTCGACCATTTTGGGCCTCTTAGCTGTGACCACATCGCTGATAGTGAAGAAGACCAGCCCGAATGTTATAAGGGTTGTACTGTCATCTCGAGGTTCTCAGGGAAGCTTCAAAGGGATCAGCCCTACGCGGAAAACTAAGGCACAACCAAAGATTACGACGGTTCGATTTAGCCTTAACAAGAAGAACCAGACTCTGCCACTCGATGTTATACGATCGCCAGCGTACAATCGTCTCACTTCGTTCGAGGAAAGCTGCCTGGGCTCGCCGTTCCGAAAATTCTTTTACGATTGCGACGATTTCGCCTACGAGACGTACAATGGGAAGCGCTGTACAACGGTGGAGGCATTGTTGTTAACGGGATACCTGTACTATGGAGAACACATTTACCAGGCATCGTCGGTGCTGCTACTCGTTTTGGCGCGTTTGTTGCCCCGAAAACTCCTCCGCACCTTCAATGTGCTCATTCTGCGCTGGCATTTGAACCCGATCAATGGCACGCTAACACACGCATTGTCCTGCACGTGGTACACGGCGAGTAAAGAGAACCATGCACTGAATGGAATGACGCCAGTCGCTTAGTTAGAGATCTAAAACAAATAAAATTTGTAAGTTTGTCGTTGTGGACCTCGAGAAGAAAAAATTAAGCAAAAACTACAGAAAAATCGCTCAGGAAGGTCGCTCACAAAGGCACATTTACTATGGAAGAGCTGCATTTAGTTAAATGCAGCAGTGAATCTCGGCACACAAGTTGTGAGTTGATCCTTTTGCTGCTTGGTACAAGTTTGGTCGCTGACTTCACGCCACCCTCCGTTACGTGCTGAGCGGGGCAATGGAATCTGCACCCCCGCGTTTTTCTTCTAGCCCCTTGTTCACCCCACACTGTCTCATTGTCAGGCACCATGGTGGTCACAGCTTCCGCGAGGTACGTATGCTGGGCTGTACCTTGTTCAAGTTCGAGAGATCCTGTACTTTGGGAACCCGATCATAGCACTGATCATGCGATTCAACCAGAGGCGCCTACGGCCAGGACTGTGCGGTCTACCTCCACTACCCGTCGATTTTTACTCGTCTTGCCTGTCACCCACTCCCCACTCCACAGCCACTAAGACCCCGAAATCGAGAACCGAAAGGCGACTTTGGTGCAATCGTTGCCTTGCCATTGAAGAGCTCACGATCCGACGACCAACTGCGTACATGTTCCGTACTCGCTCTATTTAAGGTCACATTGCAACGCCCGACTCGGCATTCAGTCGACAAAGACACCAGCAGCAGGCAGGCAGGCAGACGCCCCAACGCGTCTCTCCTCCTCTCCCTAATTGCATCCTACCCACCAGCTCCACGCACATACTGAGACACATAGTCAGCATGGCCGCCCCGAGTGACGTGAGCGCGATGCTGGACGTGGCCATCGCGGCCGCGCGCGCCGCGGGCGCCCACATGAAGTCGCACCTGAGCACGTCGCGCGTGGAGAAGACCAAGTCGAGCAAGGACGACCTGGTGACGGTCGTGGACAAGCAGTGCCAGGACCTGGTCTTCGCCACCATCAAGCAGAGCTTCCCGACGCACGAGTTCCTGGGCGAGGAGAACGTCGCGCCGGGCAGCGAGGCCTCGGCGCGCGCGCTGCGGGAGCTGGCCAGCAAGGAGTGGCTCTGGATCGTGGACCCGATCGACGGCACCACCAACTTCGTGCACCACCGCCCGGCCAGCGTCGTGTCCGTGGCCTGCGCGCACCTGGGCGACGTGGTCGTGGGCGTCATCTACGACCCGTACCGCGACGAGCTCTTCACGGCGCAGCAGGGCGAGGGCACGTTCCTGAACGGCCAGCCGGCGCGCGTGAGCCACGAGGCGTCCTTCTCCGAGGCGCTCGTGGGCTTCGGCATTGGCACCAAGGACAGCGTGAGGCTGCCCATGCTCGACTGCGCGCGCGAGTTCTCGGCCAAGTGCAGGGGGCTGCGACTGCAGGGCGCCGCGGCCATCGAGCTCGCCTGGACGGCGGCGGGACGTCAGTCGGTGCGTTGCCGCAGCGGCGTTGTGTGAGGTTATTGTTGAGATTGGTGTGCTAACGTTGACGTATTGGTGCTATCGGTTTGATGCTGCGGCAGGCCTTCTACGAGCTGGACCTGAACTCGTGGGACGTGGCGGCGGGCGCGCTGCTGGTGAAGGAGGCCGGCGGCCACGTGACTAACAGCGACGGCACGCCCTTCTCGCTCAGCACGCGCAACATCGTGGTGTCCAACAACAAGGGCGACATCCACGCCAGCATGCTCGAGCTCATCAAGAAGGCCGACGCCGTCAACGTGCGCAAGTAAAGACGAAGACTACGACAGATTCCCCACTTTAGAGTAACGCGGAGCGCTGCTATCATTCATCAGCCTCCCTCCAATACACAACTGGCAGCAATTCCCAAGCCAGTCTCCAACGCTATTATAACGTTAAACACAGCAGAGCAACCAAAAAGGGTAACTTCCTGCACACGTACGTGGCGATCGTGCCCTAACCTCCTCTCTCGGTATCATTTCCGACCAATCCCGTGCCGCCTCGTCTATTCTTAGCAGCGAAATCGGAACCCGATACTCGCCGTACACAATCTTTGTGTAACTGCAGCCACACCGCGTCAGCAGCTCAGTCCCCAAGTAGCAGGCTGAGCAGCAGCTCCTCCCAGCACTACACTACTACGACGCCGAGATAGAGCCATGGAGCAGCAGCTTCCGGCGCCGTACCAGGTCAACACGTGGTTCTTCGTGTGCGGGCCGCTGGCCGTCAACACGTTCCTGCTGGGGCTGGCGGCCAACCTGCACGTCTTCAAGAAGCACAACCTGGCCTTCGACCGGGTCATGGACATGCGGCCGGACGAGGTCCCCACGGCGCGCGGCGTGCTCAAGACGGCGCTGGCCATGACCCTGCTGCAGCTGCTGCTCTTCAACGGCGAGGCCGCGCGCCGCGGGGACGCGTTCGGCGTGGACGAGACGCGCATGGAGATGCTGCTGCTGGGCTACGCGTTCGTGGCGGCCGCGCTGCTGCTGTGCCCGCTGGACGTGCTGCACTACAAGTTCCGCATGTTCGTGCTGCGCAAGCTCGCGCGCTGCTTCTGGCCCTTCCAGCACTTCTCCTTCAAGCTGCCGGCGCACGCCACACCTTTTATTGAGGTGTTCATGGCCGACGGCATGACGTCGCTGTCCAAGTTCATCCAGGACCTGTCTGTGGCGCTCATGCTGCTGCTCATGTCGCTCAACAGCGAGCCCGAGGACGTCCGCGAGTCGTACATCTCCAAGCTCAAGGAGTCGCCGCTGCCCTACTTCGCCGCCAGCACCCCCTACATGTAAGTGCTGTACACTGATGATGTGTAAGCTTTGGTGGGATATCTTACGTTTTTATTTATTTATTTTACTTTAATTGCAGTATTCGAGCGACGCAGTGTTTGATCTCGTTCCAACGGACGACGAGCATGAACGACCGGTTCCTGCACCTGCTCAACACGATGAAGTACTGCTCGAGTCTGCTGGTGATCTCGGTGGGGGCGTATCCGATGCTGATGGGGCTCGCGCGGCCCGAGCAGAGCAGCTTCTTCCTGCTGTGCGCGGTGTTCAACTCGCTGTACTCGTTCCTGTGGGACGTCGTCATGGACTGGGGACTCGGACAGCCCAAGCTGCCTCGACGCGTGGCGTTCCTGCGGCACCAACTGACGTACCGCCCGCGCAAGATTTACTACGTCATTATCGCCGTGGACTTCGTGCTGCGGATCATGTGGGTGACCAAGTGGTGGGATTGGATGCACCGCGGCGTGCACTTCAAGCTCGTTTCGCAGGTCGCGGAGGTCGTGCGTCGTATCATCTGGAACTTTGTGCGCGTGGAGTGGCAGTGCATCAAGCTGGATATCCTCGGCACCAAGAAGCTCTCCGCGGACAGCCTGGAACTCGAAGACATCATTGAGAAGATGCCGCTTATGGAAGAGGACGAGGATGACGACGTAGAAGACATGAAGCCAAGGATGAGGCCTGTCAGCAGACCTAACTCCTTCTCCGCGGAGAACAGCGGCACGGAGACGAGCAGCACACTGAGCCAGAGTCCCCCTCGCGACGGCAACGGCGGTGAGCTGCTCCTTCAGGCGATGCGGAACGCTGCCAATTCCGAGAACGCAGCACCCGGCGCCAATGCGGAGGGAGCACAGCACGACGAGATCATCGCTCCTGCTGCTATCACAGTCGCCAGCTACCCTGACAAGCCACAGGCGATGCTGATCAGCGGCGGCGACCTCACGGCGTCCACACACCTCCGACGAGACTCGAGCCCGAACAAGGCGACCACCAGCTCTGCCGACGGCGCGGTGGTCGACGAAATGTAAAATTGAAGCGTGAATGACATGCGCAAAGACAAAGTACCACAAGAGATAGATGCCAGCTCCATTCCCTTCCTACTCCATACGAAAGAAGCAAATTAACTCGTTCAAAACGGAACCGGTTGTGCTCTACCTTCTCCGGTTGACTCACTCCAAAGCTTAATGCACATCGGCGCTCTCGACGCATTTCTTGAGCGGCGTGAGCGCAGGACGCAGCTCGCTGGCCAGCGCGTGCAGCGCGCCGATGTGCGGCGAGTTGGGCGCCACGAGCGTGATCACCAGCGGCGCGTGGTTCATGTGGATCAGCACCACGTCGTCGAAGAACGCCGTCACGCTCTGCACCGCCCCGAACTTGAGCTTCCCAATCTGCAGCCACGAGTGAGTCAGTCAGCTCTACTCCTTCTCAGCATTTTAGCCCCACTGCAGCCTGCTCCTGACCTGCTCTGCTGCGCCAGCAAAGACCGTGGGCAGCACCGTCTCCGTGTACTCGTACGACAGCTCCGACTTCTCCTCCGCAGTCACTGCAGCAACGTCAGCCACACTATAAACCACAGCCCCCAAGCTCCTCTGCATCTGATGGCGTACCTTTGAGCAGCGGGACGCCCTCGGACGTGCACACCAGGATGGCCTCCAGCGCGTCGTATCTGCAGCAAAAGAGCAGAGAGATCCGACTATAAGAACCCTTGGGGGCTGGAGATTGTTGAGGCGGTGGCGTCGCACCTGCTCAGCACGTCGTTGAGCTTCTCCTGCAGCACGGGGCTCTGTGGGTAGTTTCCAAGCAGAGTTACAGTGCAGATTAAGTTAGTGGCACTCATGGGGACGACGCACAGAGCGCGGAGCACTTGCCATCTCGGCGGCGGCCTCCATCGTTCCAAGCTCGAATGTGTATATGAAATTGTGTGCTATCAAAAACAAATTGGGATTTAGTCCTGGTATATGATTTGAGCGGATCAGTTTGGACGAAATATTTGCGACCGTCGAGCAGCGACCCAAAAAGCAATTTTCCTTCATTGCGGCATCGTAGGGGGGGGGGGCAAACGAGAAGTTCGTTTTGAGTAGGAGCCGAGGCTTGAACTGCTCTGCAAGGCAGGGCTGTGAGAGGCTAGCCCCATTGATAGACGGCTCGTAGTGCAAGATGACTTCTCGATTCCCTTGCTTTTGCTGCTGCTGTTCCGGTGAATGGCAGGTGTGACGAAGAATCTCTGTCGCTCTTTCGTTGGTGGCTTGCGTTGAGTTGTAGAGCCTGTGTTCTGGATACGCTGCTTTTGCGGCTTGGTCGTCCACTGCCTTGGCTGGGGACATGGTTGTCGACTTGATCGGGGCAATGAGGGGCTTAGCCCCAAATTTGTTGAAAAGTGAGCCACGAAATTGGCTCGAATCTTGCGGTCCGCGACTGCTCGTACTTGTGGGCCTTGGCTTCGGCGCTGATGGTGTTGATCATGGTTGCTGTGCTGGTTGTAGAGCTGAAAGACGTTCTGCTTGCGCGTTCATTGGCTGAACGAACCAATGTTGGTGCAACTCGTTGGGCTGCAAGTTGACGCGAGTTGTGAGAGTCTGGCTGGTGATCGGCTGCTGCGACTTGGTATGTGCGATGATTGAAAGCTCAGGTATTGGTGGTTTGTGGCGCTGTACACTTGATCTGTTGCTCGATGGCCTCTTGATAATTGCTGGTACCACCGAGCTCGCTGCGTTACTATCGGCTCACGTGGTCTGAGCGATTCCTCCTCAACTTGGGCTGCTTGTGATCGTGATGGACGTTGCTGCTGCGTCTGGGCGGCGTGGTTGGATTGCTGTATCGATTGCGCGAGGTGGCGACTGCATGCTAGCTGAAAATGGCATCTGTGCCTTGGGACAAATGATGATCCGCTGAACTTTATCATTGCTGCTGACCTCGGCTGCTGACTGCTGAGTACTCGGGCACTGGGGACCGGCACTAGTTCGTTGTCCTGGATGGGAGCACACTCGGGGTCGGAATTGTAACTCCGCTGACGGCTGACTGCGGTGGGGGTACAATTGCGTGGGTACCGTGCTGGTGCTTGCACTTGTGCCGTAATTTGCTGATAGTATTCTGTTGGACTTGCTTGGTGAGCAGCAGTAATCGATGACTGGGCCTTCTTCGGGTCGATGAACTGACAGTGGCATCCAGTGCGTCAGGTGCCCGAAACTTGGTGCCGCTGGTGCTGGAACCTGCTCATGCTGTATGTATCAGCCGTGCTGCTGCATGTCGATCGAACTTGAGTACTCGAGTACTCGAGGGGTGACTCGATGTCCAATGTCGATGCTGAAGCAGCTCCTGCTGTTGTATCGGCTGCAGCAGCCTGGCCATGTCGATAATGCTGATAAGTCCTGGCGCGGCCATGCCGCGCTGCCCCGGAGCGTTTGTTGGGCTTCGGACGCCACTCGGTACTGGTGTCGCATTGTTATTGTGGCCGAATACTGTACTTGGTATTTGCAACGTAATCCTGGCTCTGTATCGATGCTGCTGTACTCGGTGTCTTGAGCTGTTGCTGAGAGCTAAACGCGACGTCTGTTCCGAGCTGATGCCGCCCAACTCGTTGTCTGCGCCAATGTGTTTGCTGGCTGCTGCATTCGGTGTCCCTACCTCTGCATTGCTCACCGCTGTTCTTGGCGTTTCTACCAAGGAGTTGCTGATTGCTGCACCCGGGCTGCTGTTGTACTCGCTGTCTGTGCCGAGTAGTTGCTGACTCCTGTACTCGGTGCTTGTATCGAGCCGTTGCTGTTGCTGTTCATACGCGTGGTTGGTACCAGTGCGTTGCTGACACTGTCAGCCTGACAGTACTCGGTCTCTGTACTGAATGTTGCACCTGTAACACAGGTCCTGGATCTGTACCAAGTGCTAGTGCTGCCTGGCGCACTCGGTGTCTGTACCGAGTTATTGTTGCCTGCTGTACTTGGTGTTTGTATCGAGGGGCTGCTGCTTCGTGGCTGTACCGAATAGTTGCTGACTTCTTGAACTCGATGTCGGTACCGAGTCGCTGCTGGCTGCCTGTAGTAGGTTTCGGAACACTACGAGGGAAGCTGGCGCTACCGGGCAAACCAAAGCTCTGTTGATGGTTTAGATGTAAATCTCAAAGTGATCTCTGTCTGTCTCTGCTCCTAGCTGTCGGCGGCTTCATGCCGGCGACTCCTGCTAGCGCCTTCTGCCAGCGTCTTCTACCAAACCGACCTCTCTGTCGGTCGCATTGGTTTCGCTGTTCTCCCCTATCCTAATGCCAGCTTGGTGGCGTCGTTCTGTAGACGTCACCCGATGAGTGGGCTGGGCTTGCTTCTATGAAACCCGCCACTACACCGCCCTTCCAAGCCTTGCCCAGCCAATCGGGTCAAGTTGTCCTGCTCGTTCTGTTGAGCTCAACTCAAATCCGTTTGAGTGTCAAAGTGTCAAATGTCAAAAATACATGTCAATAATGTTTGTCGAAAATGTTGTCGAAATTATCGAAAATTCTCGTTCTGTCGAAAATTGAGACTTCAGGTTTTGCTTGCGTCGTACTGCGAACGAGGTGCATGGAACATGTCGATGGGTCGGTGAGCATCGGCTGTTACGCCTCGGAGCGCTGCTTGGTCAGTGCAAGGACGTGGCGTTCGAAACGAGTATCACCACATCGTTCTGCGAACTGTCGTAGCAACGCGGGTACATCCTTAGCTAGGGACTTGGCCGTCTCGTTGGAGTCCTCAATAGGCTCTAGGCCCTTCCAGCCCACTAGCACGTCGTAGTCCTTCTTAGCGCTGTTCCATGTGTAGTCCAGTAGTTCATTGATCGCCAGGATTTGGCCTTGGGCCGCTACATGCTCACGGATCTCTTCTGTGATCTGCAACGAGCTGTCAGCATATAACCGGGAGCTGTGGACGTCTGTCTCCTCCCCGGTGACGAGATGCCGCACCGTGAACGAGTGCGAGTCTGCTCGTGTGATTTGATATGTCACTAGTAGCTTGTCTTGGTGTTTACTGTCCACCCTCGACCTTAAAACGTAATCACCCACGTCGAAGTTGGGCTTCTTCGCGTGCTGGTGGCGCCTTTGGTTGCGCTCGGTCTGCTGAGCGCGTGCGTTGATCATAGGCTTGTGCATCGATCGAACGCTAGCTTTCAGTGCCGCCAGCCAAGGCTCGATGTCGACTGGTTGCTCTGGTAGGGATAGAATCTTGCGCTGCCTCGAGTCCACACAAAAGTCCAAAGGTGACGGCAGCGGCAACCCACAGAAAAGCTTCACTGGGGCTCTGTTACCCAGAGAAGGAACCGGGGTGTGATTCAGATTCCCCTGTAAAATAGGCACGAAATATCATGTGTGTCGACTTCATATTCCAGACAAAGTGCTCGCAGCACCTGTATAATATCACAGGTGGCGCGTTCGATGCTGCCATTGATTCACGGACTATAAGTCAACGTGAATTCTTGACGTGACTTCAGTCGCCGGCACACTTCTGCCACAACTGCATTTTTGAAGTGCGACCCCTGGTCGCTGATCCACAATGGCGGTATGCCATATCTGCTATGCCATGTGAGGATGGCTTCCGCAGCCACAGTACTTGTAGGAGTTGAGCAAGGTGTTAATTCGCAAAAATGCGTTGCTTCATCCTTAAGTACGAGTAGGTAGTTGTCACCGGCGAAACTCTCTCCAAGCGACAGAAAATCCCAGTGGAGTGCTCCATTTCGCTCGTTGGTTCTGTATGTTTCACCCCATGGCCTTTGGATAATCTTGCGCCTTTCACGTGATAGCGTAAAAGACAGGTCGACAGGAATTCCTCCACCCGCGCTCTCAGGCGGACCAGGTAAATAAATCTCCTAATCGACTCCATAGTAGCCTCCCGACCACGGTGTCCTTGCGGTCCGCAATGGGCGACAACTAGGATGCGTTGAATAAGACCCTCGTCTTCGTCAGGTACCCACAGTTTGCCGTTAATGCACCGCCCTTCCTTCTCACTGCCAGTAGCCCCTGCTGGTCGACACGCCTTATGTCGATTTTGCGATTGGAGTATGGCGTCGCGGTTTGGCCACTCGAAATCCGGGTCGTTCAAGGGCCGGATGGGATGTGGTGTAGATAGTACAGTATCGGTAGTTGGCTGTACTTGAGATACACGCTTGCGTCCTCGTCGAGTTCGTTTTCGAGGTGCTGTTGTGCCGGTAGCTGCCGCGGGAGTACGCTTACGGAGTGTCATCTGCCGTAGGTGAGTCGTCTGAACGTGGTTACCTGCCCAACGGGAGACCATGTCGCTCCACACATTCGATGTTCCGTCGATGTGCTCAATTTCATACCGGTACTCAGCTAGTTTCGTTGCCCACCTCAGCAATTTCCCACGAATGTGCTTCTTAACTTCTGCTCCAGGTGCAAATACGTAGATCACGTTTCTGTGGTCACAGAACAACTTAAACCCACCCGGTCGTAGCAACAGGTAGCTCAACTTATCGCAAGCGCAGACGATAGGATACGCTTCTTTCTCGATTATACTCCAATGACATTGCGAGCCGGTGAATGGGCCGCTCAAGCAGGTCAATAGTTGATGTTGCTGCTGGTGCACGGGCTCGCCAGCCTTCCAATCCAGCCCTTGTGTTACTACCAGGCTCCACCCGATGTTGCTCGCGTCGGTCATCACACACATAGTTGCGGTCTCGCGAGGAAATGCGAGCGTCACACTATTTGCAAGTAGTAGTTTCAATTTATCGTAGGCCTTCCGCTGTTCAGCAGTCAAACTGATTGCAATTCCAGCTGCAACCCGTTTGGTTCGCTTTGATGCACTCGCCAAAACTGCATCTAATGCATCCTGCAAAGGCCGAGTCGTTCTCGCGTAGTCTATTAGGCTCTCCCGCATCCAATTGGTTGCGCACAAGAATTGCTGTAATTCGCCCGCCGTGCTTGGGTAGGGTTGGTCTCGGAGGGCACGGATGCGCTCTGGGTCACGAATGACGCACACCGGAGCCTGATATGACCTTCCCACACCAGCGGACTTCCTTTTTGAAGAGCCGAGACTTCTTAACACTGAGCTTGAAGCCGAAAAAATCGAGTAGTTCAAACAATCTTTCCAACTTGACTAGGTATGTCTGCACATCATTCGCAAACAGTAGCAAGTCATCTATCCACACAAGTAAATGGCGCCGCAAAAGCTCCTCCAAACACTTCTCGATTGTAGCTTGGAAAAACAGCGCAGCATCAGTACATCCTTGGGGACGCGTCTTGGCGTGTACACCTTCTGATGAGTCATGTAAGACAACATCTCTTGGCATTCCTCTGCGAGCGCGATCTGCCAATATCATTTAATGAAATCGAATAAGCCAAAGAAATTGGCCCCTTTGATGGCTTCCAGGTCTGTCTGCAAGTCGGGCATGATCCCTACGATCGCTTCCACCAGCTCATTCATAGGTTTGTAGTCTGCCGTTTGGCGGAATTCTCCACCTCCCTTCCGAACTGGTAGAGCGGGGCACGTCCGTCTGCTCTCTCGGTTTTCGTACACCCACCCTAACTTCACCAACTTGTTGTTGAAGTCCTCCATGAAGCGACGAACTTCAGGTGGGTACTTCCTCGCCTTACATCTGTACGGTTTTGCACCAGGCATTAGGCGGATACGCATTGGCGGCACTTTAGCAGGAGGATCCGCACCCAAGCGAACTCGAAACAGGTCGAAGCGCAATGCGAGTGAGCTCCTTCTTAAACTCACGCGTGAAGTGCCTTAGGTGCTGGCTGGAGCAACTGGTGTGACTGGTGGTTGAGATGTGTACATGAATATTGGTACGCTTCATTTGCGCTCGAAGCAATTTGTGGAGACGTCAAATTCGTCTCCACAAATTACGACGGATATGCTACGAGAAATACGACATATATGTGACCGTAGCAATTATCAAGTTTGCGTGGGTTTTGGTAGAGCTCCAGTGCAACAACCCGTAAAAACAAAACACAAAATAGGCTGAACACAAAGTTATTAAAGGTGACACCCCCTCTCGTGTTGATGTTAACCTAAACGTCTCGCATAATCGGAGCCTCATCTTCTTGTACTTCGCCAACTCGAAACCAGTCCGCACTATCTCGCGGACCAATTGGGATAATGCCTTTTTACCAGTGTAAAAACTAGTGTACCGTCTTTGTTTTATATTTATTATCTATTTTTTACGAGTGTAGCATTGGATCCGTGTTTTACGGTAGTACATATTCCTAGTATGCAACATGTATTATCAATTGGGGACGAAGTCCCCATTTATAATCATCTATCGCTCCTCTTTACTCTACAGTATTTCTTACCTCTCTTTATTTACTAAGTACCCCTCTAAATCTGAGACATGAACGGTTAGGGTTTACATATGGAATCGCTTCGCCGGGGCCAAAAATTGCGCGAAAAACCTCAGTAGAAGAACCCTCTCTAGATCCATAGAAGGGGTCTACTGCGTAAAAACTGGAGTGACTTCTTCTGAGAAGCGGTCGATGCCATTAAAGTGGGAGGAAACGATTTAGCCTCGACAATAAACGCTACTTAAAATCAAACAGCCGGCTGTTGGTCGCACAAGTTGTGTTTTTCTTAAATAGGATCCCTCATTTTATGTTTTGGCGCTCCTTATTAATCGTTTCTCCGATGCATCAGCTTTAAAAAGCTTTAAAAAGCTGATGCATCGGAGAAACGATTAATATAGTAGCATATCGCTGCGATTCTAACCCCTGAAAAATACCTTAAAGTTTGTATGGTGCTTCCGGCCAATAGGAGTGTGTCGTCTGCGATTCTTAGCATTTACAACCAATAGACACTACCGTTGCTTAAATTTTCGACCAATTAAATCGAGGGAATGACTGTCAACCGCTGATCTGAGCATTCCAACGATATCTGGTCGGAAACGCGATTTGATATCGAGCATGCCATACAAATATCAAGTGAACTACAAATAGAATAAATATTCATAGGTTTCCAACCCCTGCCAGATCATCTCCGACTCCATTCTGCGTTCCGACGCACACAGGCATGTCGGTGGCATCGCTAGTTCCTGCGAACAGCCAGAGAAGCAGAGCGACGGCTGTGAAGTCCTTCGAAGACTTCCTTGCGAAGAAGGAGGTGACGCTCACAGAAGTGCATGATCGTATTTCTAAGGACAGCACAGGTAAGAGTTTGTTTGTCATTCTGGATACGTATGGGTGGTTCTTAGTGAAAAAAAGTAGGAAGGCAAGGAGTAGCTCTGTCCAAGAACACTGTGCTATCTTATTTTGGCAATGTTAAGAACTGGCTGGCGGATCTGTACCCGCAACAGGGCCAATGTGTAGCTAAGAAGCTGCAAAAGATGCTATCAACTCTAGATCGGTACTGTGAAAAGGGGCCGGAGCAAGGTGTCACGAAACAAGCGCCACCATGTACTAAGAAAGATATAAAGACTATCATCTCGGCTCTCTACATGCACGCTTCCGCCAACTCCGACTACCTGGATGCGGCGCTAGTGGCGTTGATGTGGTACCTCTACGGTCGTGGTTCTGAGGCTGAGCAATTGGAGAAAGCCCAGCTGTGTGTATACCCCGGTACGAATCGTGCAGGATTTTGAATTTTTGTATTAATTAACCCCACGATTCATGCTGACAATTCTGTGCGTATATGCTAGGCGGTGTGATATTTCTCCGCTTTAAGCGTATGAAGACTGCTTCGCAACAGGGAATATCCCTGTTTAAGGATCCTAACGATCCCTTCACGTGCCCGTTACACGTGCTAGCTGTCGCTCTCGCCCTTCAACCCGCTCCAGGAACTCGCATCTTCCCGCAATTTGCTGCCGTACCTGCGCTGTCCGCGTCCGACGACCAAGACGACGATGGCGAGCTGGGGCTGATTGCGCAGCTAGACCGCGAGCTTGCGGAAGCACCTACATGCAAGACTCCACAGCCATGTCGAGCCAACTCGGCCCCTGGTGCCCAAGCTTATATCACTAGACTATTAGTCACGGTTAGTGGGCTGCCAACAGCAAAGGAGAGTGGACTCACGAAGGGACTTACCTCGCACTCCTTCAGAAGAGGTGGAGCCAAGCACGCCAACGCCGACAGTCGCATTAGCCCGAACTGGGTTGTTGAACGCGGGGGCTGGAATATGTCGCGCGTGAGCAAGGCGTTTTCCTACATGCTGAACACAACACACGAAGATCAACAAGTTGCGCGTCAATTGAGCGGGCGACCGACTTCCAGACCTTACCTCCCTGGACGGAGTCGTCTGAGCGCGCGTGGAGAAGCTGCAGAATCTCCTCTTCGCTGCTGTCACTGGTTTCTCGACAGTGTCTTGGAACTTGGATCCTCAGGTGCTCGAAGTGTTGATGGCGACCTTGATCCTTCACTTCCCCGAGATGGAACGTCATCGCTTGGATAGCCTGTACGCCCGTCGCATTCATGAAGCCCTTGGTGTCCTCAACATACAGGCCTCCGAGCTGTTGGCATGGTCGATCACCCTCCGAGCTGCATTCAATCCATCTGCAGAAGAGAAACAAGAAACAGTGGCCGAGTCCTCTCAAAACATGTTCCGTGTTCTCGAAAAGCTGTCGCAGCAGCTCAACGAGCTATTGCTCCGCCAAACACGCGTAGAGGAAAGGCTGGCTGTTTTGGGGGCGAACGCAGAATTTATTGACAAGAAAACAAACACTACCGAGCAGCAGCACGAAGACGTTGAGCAGTCGCAGCCAAAGCGCGCGCGCAAACGTGCCTCCAAAGCGCTATCAACAGTGTGGTTCGAGTGGTTCACTGCTGTACCACGCATGTACGAATCAACAACAGTTAGCAAAGCCATCCTTCACGAGTCACGACACGCTGTTGCGTTCATGATGCTCTGCTTACCTTCTGGGTTCAAGCTGGACCCGGCCTCGCCAGCGTACAAGGCGGAGGTCCACGCTGTTGGAGTCGAAGCCGAGAAGAAGACGCTTGAATACTTGGCTGCACAAGGCTCACAGGCTGTAGCCGTTGGCTCGGTCGTCAAAGCCATGCGTGCGCTTCACAATGCAGACCACCTTTCCGTCCTCCTTGACCAGTTTCGCGAGCGCTACTATGAAGGCGAAGTCGTCGACCCGACACCCAATTCCGCCCTTCCGCCATTCCTGCGCTTCACCTAAATGCACACGCAGCACACTAAACAGTCAATAAGATACACAATACGTACAACAGGAGTAGCACGCACTCTCTTAGCTGACCTGCCCAAAAAGAAAGCAAAACACATAATACTTTATGCCCATGTCGGGGTTTGAACCCGATCCTCCAGGCCCGAAGGCCTGGCGCTCAACCTCACGAGCTCCATGGGCGCGGGTAAGTTGCATCCATCAACAGCACCATACTCGTCCAAACCCTCGGTCACTTGAGCCACACGCCACGAGAGCGCACAGGCGCAACCCAATTCACGTCCCAGTAGCGCACATAACCCAGCAGCAAGTGGCCCGGCGTCAGTAGCACACACGGCCCAGCAGCACACAGGGCCCAGCAGCACAGGCGGCCCAGCAGCACAGGCGGCACTGCAGCACAGACGGCCCAGCAGCAAGCGGCCCAGCAGCACACACGGCCCAGCGGCCAGCAGCGCCTGTGTACACGCAGAGACAACAGCAGCACAGTCAGCACAGGTAGCACAAGCAGCGTTGCACGACTCGCTGCACTAACCTGGAAGCTTCTGGACTGTTGGCCGAGAATCCAATCAGCGGCCGTGAAGTTAAATATCAGCTGAACAAAAAACCTAATACCGTTGCTAGACCGATTTTGGTTGGAAGCAGTCCGACCCCGTTGGAATTTTGACGGTATGGTGATCTGTCATTACCAATACTAAGCTTACTAATAGTTAGCTATAGTTAGTTGAGGCCAGCGTATCCCCACGCTCGCGGTGGCAAAAAAGCATCGTTCAAGCTGACATCACAATCGTCGTCTATTATAAAAGGGCGCGTCTTCCCAACATTTGTCGTGTGCGAGTAAACGTCTCTAATAATAGCAGATTACGCCGCCCCGGATGCTCAGGGGCACATGAAGCAATCATGAAGAAGCGACTTTATATCACGATAGCGTACGTCAGACGACCGCCCCTATCCGCAAGCTTTAAACGCGCTACGTTAAAAGCCAGAGCTATTCGACCAAAACACGGCTTTACATGTAGCACTAACCTCACAATAGAGGAGTAATCAGTGCTGTAGCTCTGCGTCGTCCTTATTGCACGGCAGGCCCATATAATTTTGTGGTCTAGTCTTTCCTGGAGAAAATTTTAATACTATTTCGCAATTCACCACCCAGGAGGCGTCAGCGGCTTGGACATTAATGTTATGGGCCCTACTCGTCGGGACGCTCATTGTCCTGCTAACAACAACAACTCTGTCAAACTCGTAATGCTGAATGCCACGGAGTCGCCGACATCCGTCGCACAGCAACAACAAGCGACACTTGGCTGGCATCACCAGCTCCCAGCGACCCAATACCATTGACGAAGAGCGCGGCACAACTCCTACCGGGATCTCAGCGTTGGTCGGCACATTGAAGAATAACGTCGGCAAACTGAAGCTGCGCTACCAGGGCTGGCAGAAGATCAAGTTCATGAAGAAGATGGAAAGGTTGTTCGAAAAAGGCGCAACACCCGAAACACTGGCAAAGAAGTTCGGATCAACGAAGAAACTACAACTCCAAGAAGATTTTAGGCAATTCTACAAGTGGAGGACGAGCTGGGGGGTGTGGTCACCAGTATGCAAAGGAAAGTAAAATGAATTCTGATGTTAGCTCCAACTCTAAACTAGTGCTTGTTCCTGCTCCTGGCTTTTGCCTACGAATTCGTACAGCTTCTCGAATCCGGCTTCTAGTACTCTAAGCACCAGAGCGAGCTTTGCTTCGGATCGTACAACATGCACTGCGGCAGACACGAGACCGGCCAGGGCTGGCCACACAGCCTCCCCAGGGCCTGCCGCTCTTGAAATATGCAATGCCACTTGGTCATGATGTTGCGAGTGCGTTTAAGCTTCATCCAGCTGTGCCTTGAACTCCTCGTCCTGTTGCTGTTCTGTGTAGTTGGCCACCAGCACTGGCACGTCGCGCAGCATGGTCTGCAGTGGCTCCCATGAGTCCTCGATGTCTTGCAGGTACTAGTACCTCCCATTGTTGCGTTGCCGAGTTGTAGCGGTGGTCGCGGAAACACTCCACTCCTGGCACGATGCCTTGCTTGGCAACGTGCTCGAGGATCTCTTCATCGATGTTCATGCTTGCGTCGTCGTAGTACTTGAGCCTGGAACCATGAACCTCAAAGGTGTCACCAGTAAGGAGATGCTCCACCATGAACGAGTATTCGCGAGCTTCTGTCACGCGGTAAGGGCCCACCCAGCGTACCATCAATTTGTTGCCGCGTAGACGCTCGTCGACACGAGACCAAAGTACATAGTCTCCAACGCTGAAGTTCTCGAGTTTCCCCTCCTTAGCCATTTTCTGATACATACGGGTCTTCTCCTTTCGATCCACAACCTCTTGATGCATCGAGTGTAGGCTCTCACGCAGCACCTCTAACTCCTCCTCCACTGTGTCCATGTTAATCTTCATCAACTTGTCCTTGGTCTGCAACGTGCGGGGGAGCAGCACCGTGTCCAGCTGCGTCGGCACTTGGAGGCCTGTGAAGAGCTCTAGGGGTGCATTGCCACCAAGCGAGTTCACGGGTGTTTGGTTCAGTTTGGCCTGCACGAGAGGCACCAAATGCTCCCAGCTCTTGGTGTCGAGCTGGTATTCCAATAGCAGCGCTCTCACCACCTGGAGCACGTCTCGGTTGAGGCGCTCAACAGTGCCGCTCACCCACGGAGTGTAGACGGGCACGAATGTGTGCAGCGCCCTCAATCGTTCCCCCAGATTCTCCATCAACTCGTTCTTGAAATGGGTGCCATTGTCCGAGACCCACATTGCCGGCAGTCCGAATCGTTTAGCCCAATCCAGTATAGCCGCCACAGTCACCGTGCTTGTAGGCGAATCACTCGGCACTAACTCACAGTAGTGCGTCAGTTCATCCTTCAGTTCCAGCAAATAGCGCATGCTTCCGTACGAGTCTCCCATAAACAGAAAATCGAAGTGCAGTACCTCGTTGCGTCCGGCAGGCTCGGGGTGATCGCTCCATGGACGCTGGATAAGCTGGCTGCCCTTGATGTGCTTACAGAGCAAGCAGTCTGCGACGAATTCCCTGACCAACTTTCCAATGGACTTAATTCAGTACTACGCCTGCATCTGGCGCAGCATGACGTCGGCTCCCCGGTGAGCGTTCAAACCGCAGTGAGCCACGATGAGAATGCGCGTGATCAGATCCTTGGCCGGCGTCGGGATCCACACCTTCCACTCCACCTGAAGGAGCTCAGAGTCCGGTGCGGCCGACGCAGTTGCCGTCGACGGCGCTGAGCGGCGGTGGCGTTGCTGCGCCTCTACGACTTGATCAACAGACGGCCACACGAAAGCTTCGTCACTAAGCGGGCGAAGGCGCGAGAGCTCACGGGACGACCGAGTCCGCACAGCCTTGACAGACACTTAAGAGGTGTCGGCGGGAGCCAACCAGCGCGACACTAAATCCGCCCAAACGTTCTCAGAGCCCTTGACATGTTCGATTTCATAGCGGTAGTCCGACAGCATCAGGGCCCACTGCTGCAACTTTCCGCGCACATGCTTGCGAACCTCCGTGTGGGGCAGAAGATCTGAATGAGATTTGCGTGGTCGCAAAATAATTTGAACCCTGCTTCGCGGTGCAGCAGATACTCCAGGTCCTTCGCAGCCTTGATAATGGGATCACGATTAGTGTTGTTTCTTACCAAGTTAATAACTCTTAATAACTGGTATTAGTAATTTTAGGCATTTAATAACGATGGTATTACCTTTGTGTATCATTTGTGTATCGTAATACTTAAATATTGTCTTAGCATTTTAACTTCTGGAAGAGCAAGCTTTTGCTCATATCAGCTTCCCACACAATGCTAGCCTGCACGCGCGCGGTGCGTTCTCCGGTCCCAGGCTGGAATCTCTCCCCTAGATCTACGCGTCGCTTGGCACCAGCTCGTTGCTCGGCCAGGACGTGAACGGCGCCGGCGCCACGCTGGCCACGGGGCTCGCAAAAATAGGCAGGCCCAAGGTGCTCTACGACGCGTACATCGCCCCACATTCAAGCTGATCAGCAACGGTTCCGCAACGCAGTAGTCAAACGCCCGCTGAATGTCATCAAGGAAGCCATCGTGTACCTGCACTTCTGCTTTTCGGCCCGAGACGATGGACTGCGACAAGGCCACTCAGACTGCTTACAGAAGATCTCTTCACGCGCCATGCTAGTGGACCGAAACCATGACTCTCGGCCTGGCCCTCGCGGACCCCATGTATACGTCGGCGGGCGACCTGCAGGCCGACGGCTCGTTCACCAAGGACCTGCGCTTCTTCAGTGGCCAGAAGTCAGCCATGCACGCGCTCCGTGCCGCCGGTGTGGGCGTCTACATCATCGGCGCGTCACCCGAGTTGTACACCATTCCAACCAGTTGCTTCGGACTAGGCGACATGGTGCCCAAGGAGAACAGGTGCGACGTGCGCTTCACGACGGACGAGGCCGATGCTTCACTGCTGAACGACAGGACCTGCGAGTTCTTTGGCACTACGGAGTCCGGCACCAACAACACCTATCTCCTGCAGGGCGGGCCTAGCCATCAGTACGTGGACCACGTCACGTGCCTGCTGGCCGAGGGATTCATCAAAAATGAAGTAAGTGCCGGTGGGAGAGCGTGTAGCTGGATATGGTCGATCTCATGAGTTTGTGTGTTGTGCTGCAGATTCGTAAGAGAGGGAAGGGCTTGAAGAGTATCATATACATCGCCGAGGTGGCCATTATGCTGTTACATGAACGAACAGCTCGCTGATAAGGGTTGGACGAGGCCTAAATGTTGCGCTACAAGCGTTGATGTTACATTATTACTGCATTCTTAACCAAATATGACGCTTCTTTATTTGTGGGAGTGCTAGTGCGCGTTCTGCTGTGCCAATGTGCGCCGTTGCGCTGGCAGCTCAGTGACAGAAGTTCAAGTTAAGGTCATCTCGTAGAAGGGCAACCTGTTTCGGCGGGTACGGCACGATGCACTGTATATGTGAGCTAACTGATGTGAAGCTCTACGATTATAAGAAGAGCAAGAAGAGCTGGCGTTTGCATTATTTGAACTCGGATTAGTCAGGGCAAAAGCGGTTTAGCCCTCCACCTCTCCTTCACCCCTAGCAAGTTCGCCACCACTAAGGTCACCAAAGTGTTCTGCGACCGCCATGGCCACGGGTCCACACGCAGCTTCACCACGCACAAGCACAGAAAGGTTGTGTGCGCGCTGAAACAGGGTGGTGAGGCCGGCAAGAGCAAATCGAACATCCTCGGCTGCGTGCATGAGTGATCAAGGCTCGAGTAGCGCGACGACGAATATACCGTCACGTCCGGCAAGCACCATCAAGTCTACCCCTATCATGAACAACTACCCAAGTCCGCAGCAGAACCAAAACTCCTCACGAGAAAATGAAGCGGAGGAAGCTGCTAGAAATACCATCAGCCGAGGCAGCATCTAGAAGAAATTCGAAAGAGGTTGAAGCCAATGCATTGACACACATTTGCATGGGGACGACGACTCTATTGACTAACTAGTGCATGATATGTAATCAAGAACGCGTGAACGGAATGAAAATATGGATCGTGTTGCGGGCTTAGCTAGCGTGAACAAAGTCAAATATGCTAATGCTCCCAGGTTGGACCAAACAGCACCCTCGGCGAGTGGTGGGTGCGTCCAGTGCTCGACTGTGGAGTTGGAGGTAGTCCACGACGGCCACTGCTACCCCCTGAAAATACGAGACGATCGCTAGTTGGTAGACTCGGTGTTGTTGCACTTGCCGATCCGGGCGGCCTCACGACCGGTGGCACAAGCTGGCGCTCATCAGCACGCGTGAAAACGGTTCCGCTGCTTGTTGACTGCGTAAGTGCGACTGACTGCGTAGGAGCGACCGACTGCGTAAGAGCGACCGACTGCGTAAGAGCGACCGACTGCGTAAGAGCGACCGACTGCGTAAGAGCGACCGACTGCGTAAGAGCGACCGCAGCCTCGTCACTGCATACTGTGCTGGTATTCGTCGCTTGGTCGGGTAGCGGGTTGGCTAGTGCAGACGAAAATAGTGTTCTTCGAGCTAGCGGGGGTGGACAGCTTCACGTTGGTCGGTCTGCGAGGGCGTGAAGAATCGTGATCGGTGCGCCGTATTAGACCGACTACCGCGCATGCGACTGGAGCTGTTGGGAGCAATTGGCGTAACGATGTCATCATCGCTGTAGTCGTCACTCGCGCTGCTTTTGCCCTCTTCTTCTGCATTGACTTGATAGTGCACTGCACTAGTTGCAGCCTTGTCACCCGCATTCGAGTACAAATATGCTAGCTTTTCCACGCGATCGGGTTTCAGCCGATTTCGTCGCTTGGTGCGGATGAAGTAGTGAACACTCCACGAGCGCTCACTCGCAGCGGACGACGTCGGGATGCTCAAAACGCGGGTAGCCAAAGTATGTAGGAGCAGAAACTTGTTAACCTTGACCAGCCACCAGTCTAATAGCGTGTCCCTCGCGTTTTTTTCGTGGTCTTCGGCTGTCCAGGACTTATTCACGCGAATAAAAGCCATGACAACTCGGCGAACCGCATTTGGAGATACGTTGGAGGGTAGACCAACTCGTGTAGCTAGATCTACGCATGCATAGACTGCATTGTCCAAATCATCACCTTCAAAGTCGTCCGTAGACTTAGTTGGGTCCAGTAAAAATGCAGCGAGGATTGATTCGCGCTTGAGGGTGTTCCAGCGGGAGCTAATCTGGCCTCGGATCGTGTTAAGAATACCAGAAGCAACATCATCAGTTTCGCGGTTGTAGATGACGTGGGTTTTCAGTCCACGAAAGTATTCATACACCATCGAAAGGCAACACCCATCCTTTTCGAGAGCGCCGAGAGCTTGGATTATCGGGTTCACCAGTCACATTACGGCTCTGGCATTCACCCAAAACATGCTATCAGCCAAAATGGACTCGACGCGATTGAGTTTGGCAGCAGCATCTCCGTAACGAGCCAGAAATTCATGGTTGGAAAACAACTCACGCAGCACATCTTCGTTCCTCACGACACTGGAAATACAATTTGTGCTCGAGTACCACCGCGTCGAAACAGGGATGATTAGCGCGCGCTCGACGCGGTGGTACTCGAGCACAAATTGTATTTCCAGTGCTGCCGGGTACCAAAATACTTGCGTTGCAGAGCCCGAAAGCGATAAAGAAGCGCTGCACGTTTACGCACAAATTTGGTAACTAGGACGGCTTTCTTGAAGACGTCACTCATGAACTCCATCCCGAACATGTCTTTGAGTAGAAGATTGATCGTGTGTGCCGCGCAGCCGTTACACGTTAGACTTGGTATCTTGGCCATTAGAAGCTCCCATGACTTACGCCTGTTAGACGCGTTGTCCGTCACAACAGCGCATACCGATCCTTTTCCGACGACATTTTCAACAGCTTGAATCACCTTTTTCAACTCTGACGCCATGAACTCCCCTGTATGCTGTTTGTCGGCGCAGCGCTCCGATGACCAAAATATGGGTCGGATAAATGGAGACGTCACCATAAAGTTGATAATGGACTCGCTGTTGGGATCGGACCATCCGTCGCATACAATGGCAACGTACTGCTGGTCCCTCAGCACCTCCATAACGCTGGCAACTTCCTCCGCGTACGCGCTGTCAAGCAGTGAGGTCGCCAAATCTTGGCGTGAAGGGAGCGTCATTCCGGGCCGGTACTTCGTCAGGATACACCTCATGGCTCCATTTTCGATGACTCGAAATGGAATGCCGCAGGCATAGAACGCTTTGGCAATCTGAAGATGGAACTCCTTCTTTTCAGTCACTGAGACCGGTCCTAGCACACTCGTAGCCATTTCAGGCCGTGAACGCTTGGATGGACTGTGGGGCCTATCGGAAGTGTTGGGACGATCTCGCTTGGAGGGTGTTACAGGGTAATTAGCCCGGACGTCCGCTGGGGCGCAGGGACAGCTGCGAATGTGTGGGCGGAGGTTTTTCTTGGGCTGGGCATTCTTGATGAGCTTGGAGCAGTGTCTGCACGTCACGTCGCAGTGCTGCTTCTTCGGGTTGGCCCAACGTGGCACAACCACAATGTACTTGGTCCACACGCCAACTGAAGGGCGACCAAGGCCAGACCTTCACTGCTAGCCCGGTCCCCGTTGCGGTGGCCATTTTGGTCCATGGAACTTGCAGGCTCTACAGGAGCAAGTTTGCGAATGCAGCGACGAGAATAGGCCCCGTGCGCGAGCTGCCTGCCACGTGGAGCATACGCAGATTCTTGTCGGTAGACCTCCACGTACGTTGACAACTTCACGAAACGCGTTGACCGAATATTTCTGCCACAGCAACTATACATATGAGGTATTACCGTTAGCAGATCGTATATTTCTGCCACACCAACTATACATAAAAGTTATTAACGTTAATAAATGGTAAGTACGAAGGTAATGACGGTAACTGGTAATAACTGGATAAGGATTTGACCAACTCTAATCACGATAGATTCACGCAACCAATTAGCTGCGCAAAGCAGCTTCTGCAAATCTGCCGCTGTGGCTGGAAGCGGCAGTGAACACAGAGCTGCAACTCGTTCGGGGTCGTGGCGAACGCCCTCACCGTCAATGAGGCGTCCGCACCAGGAGATCTCACGCGCGAAGAGACAGCTCTTGTTGGCATTGAGCTTCAGACCATACTCGCGGAGGCGAGCGAAGAATTTCTTGAGCACCGCGATGAACTCCTCCGCAGTCTTAGCGAACACGACGATATCGTCCACCCAGATCAACACGTTTTCGTACAGCATCTCGCGAAACACCTCCTGCATTTGGTTTTGGAAATGGATCGGCGAGTCGGTTGCTCCTTGTGGCACCCGCGTGGGTGTGTACACAGTGTCATTCGTGATGAAGCTGAAATATTCACGGCAGTCCGGGTGCAGCAAAAGCTGCCAGAACCCCTTGAAGAGATCGAACGTTGCGAAAAAGCATGCACCCTTAACCTTGGCAATCACCACCAGTAGGTTTGGCATTGCACCTGCGATAGGTACGGTGCGCTTGTTGATCGGGCGGTAGTCGGTGGCGCACCGAAAGTCTTCGACGGGACCCTTCTTGCGAACGGGAATGGCCGCACAAGCCCACCTACACTGATTGTTACGTACAACCAGCTCAAATTCTTCCAGCTGCCTGCCGTAGTCCCGAAGGAACTTGGTTTTCAGCTCAGAGTACTGGCGAGGCTTCGTTCGATACGGTGTGGAGCCGTCGACCAATACGACTCGCAGTGGCTCGAGCTTGGCGGGTGGGTCTGCGCCTAGCTTCGTCCGCCATAGATCAACTTCTTCCTTGGTGACATCTCGCAGCGCATCCTTAAATTTGTGTGGAAACCCGGCCTTGACAGCGTCGTCCAACATTACGTCGAGTCGGTCCATGATTTCATCCAGGTTGGTCGCGCCCACGATGTCATCCTCCGGTATACCATCCTCGTCCTCCTCGGGGGCACCTTTGGCTGCGAGGCGCTCAACGCTGATCCCAAGCGACTTCAGAGGTCGATCACCAAGTAAGAACTCATCCGCATCTCCATCGATCACTACACACTGTAATCTGCGCAGATTGACCGGACCGGCAGCCGTTAATAGCTGCACGTCAACTTCACACATCTCGGTCCAAGGAACGAGCCGTCCGTCTGCCACTTCAACCTCCATCGGCACATTGAGCTCTTCCACCACGAGGTCATCATCCAGGTTCCTCAGTTCATGCGCAATGTGGCGGGTAATCACGTCGTAGTCAGCGCCAGTGTCGGCTCGGAAAGGCACCTCCAATATGCCATTCCAAATGGCTGCACGCTCACCGGGCTGCCCAATTGATCGCACAGTCTTCGCACGCAAGCGCTGGTTCTTCATGTCATTCATTCGTTTTAGGGCTGCTTCTTTGTCTGCCTCACTAGCGGTGGGGCAATCCTTCACCCAATGTGCTCCATTGCACACGAGACAGCCATCGCGCAGCGGTGCGCGGGGCTTGTCGGCTTCTTGCTTCGACTGCTTGGGCTTGCTTGATGACGAGTGCTGGGGCTGTGAAACACGAGGCTTCAACGAAAGCGCTGGCTTCTTGTTGGAGTGATTGGTCTTGGGGTTGCTACGAGGTTTATCCACCTGCTTGAGCTCCTGGGCCAGCATGTGGTAGTGCTGCTGCTCTCGTGCGCGCTCCACTAAGGCCTCGTAGAGCGCAATATCATCCTTCTTGAGCACTGGCTTGGTGATGACCAGGCGCTCCATCTCCCGGAGGAGAATTTCATCACGGAGAAATCGATTCAGGGCGCAATGTTCTTTAGCAGGTACTTGCAACGCAACTTCATGCGTTCGTCGTAATTCGGTTCATTTTCGCGTCCACTACCGAGGATTCCACCCAAACCATGGTCCTCCACAATCTTGTCAAACAGCACGAAGTAATTTACCACACGAGCTTCGGTGTCTTCAATCTTAAGGTCCATCTTCAGTTCTTCCTTGAAAAGCTGCTCCATGTCCGGGATGTGGCTCATAAAACCATTTCCAAATCTACGGTCTCAAACCCAAGAAAACAGGGCCATAAGAACGCACCGGTGAGCGATTGGGAGGCGTAGTTCTTCTTGACATAAATTTCAGGAAATGGTACTAGCACAAACATAGGATCTAGTCATTGCTACACCGCAAGACCTAATCGCGTGGCTCAACCACCAGATTGTTGGAGAAGCGATAATATCGCTATTATCACGCGATAATTTATTGAGTATGCTTTTCTTTTTTTACGGTTACCTGAAGTCAACGTCTGCGGTCTCGACACTGACTGCTCGGTTCGGCGATACTGCTGTGTACATGTGCAACATAATTAAACTTGCAGTCGTAAACGAAAACTCAAAAGTCCCGAGGCTACCGAAGAAGGTGATGGTTCACTGGTTGATCCCTCGATGTGAAGGACGAAATGACAAAGTTTTGGCTAAGCGGTCGGGAAACGCCGAATCAAGCTCTGGAAAGTATCGGATTGTCGTTTTTACAGTGTTATTTTTATTTGTACTTATATATTTTGCTTTGCAGTTATTTTGCCGACCATTTTAGACGCTAAATATGGCAAAGCCTGCTCCTAAATATGTGTGAAAGAAGATACACGACCTGCTAAAATTATGCATAAATCCACCTCCTCATATATATATATATCGACTTGGGAGGGCCTGTCAGCAGCCATGCATTGGCCCAGTACACCACCGTCCATGATCCCCAGCATATCCACCCTCTTATGCATAATTGCCGTGTGTGAAGGTGCTTGTGGATAAAAACCGACAGAATTGTGGCGCTTTTAGCGTAATTCTAGGCCTCCACCCATTTATGCACCTCGATTTATCGTAAATCTAGCAGGTGGTCGCTATAAATACAGCAAATCTCGCCTCATATTGCCAAAAGCATTGCAAATCACAATATAGCTATTGTGCTTAGCACGAACTTTGGCATGCGATTAAGGAACGAGCAAATCCTTCCCGGTGATCATATCTCGCAGCCTAACTCTAAGTTAAAGTTAAGGTAATCAACCGCCAGTACCAAGCACAACGCAGAGCAAGAACGGAGCGGTTGCCACTGCAAGAATAAATCGGTTCTCGCTGCAAGAAAACAAACTGATAAGGTCCCCGATAGAATGGCGCCAACTCCTTGCATAATAGTAAGCACGGGGACGTTTTCTTCTTCGCTCTCTTCGTCGTGGCGGTGCGCGTTAAACCAAGCTCGAATTTCAGAGCACGGCATATAGTAGCAGTAGAAAATTTCTACTAGAAATGTTTGGATGTGCAGGAAACGCTGACTTTAAAGCTGCTTGCAGCTACTCGATATAAAAACAGGGATGTTCTTCAATATTGTAGACGTAGTTTAGTACGATAGATCGCCAACGCATGTCAATCATCGACTAGAAAGCAATCAGACAAAGAGAGCGAGTTAGAATTAGAATGTCAGGGCCGTAGTATTGTCGGATTTACTCCGGCCATTCAACGAAAGTGAGCATAACTCAAGGTTAGCTCGTTGTCTTAGCAGCTATTCTATCTTAAATCGACGAGTTAGCCTCCTAACTCAATGATGGGCTAATCACCGTGATTTGCTAAAACAACGAATTACGCCGTTGTTAAGACAGAAAGCATGCAAGGCACAATAGATGTTAATGTGTTAATTCAGGTAGTACGTGGACGCTTACAACTCCAAGTATCCCTCATGAGAACACGACAGTGATCGAGTCTTTGACGCGGGTCACCGCTGTGAAGCTGCAATTGGTATTATTTTACCCTCGTGTCATTCCTCGGTGGTTTCCACGTCCTGGCCCAAGACTGGAAGAGCTTCAACGCACACTAGATGAAGGCAACAAGTAGCATCCATCGTGCAGCTACTAGAGAAACTCACGTTCGCTTCGTTTTAACAAAAGTAAATACACACAAACGTCAACTTGGCTGGTGGAAAAATCTCCCTTGTGGTTTTGTCATGTTGAGAAACCAAAAAATCACTTCCAACACTACAATTTCACCCTAACGAAGTCTCCCTTCAACACCAAAACGACACCACAGTCTGTCGCTTAGTTGCCCACGGCCCAGACGCGCACAATGCCGTCCGTGTAGCCCGAGAAGAGCACCGTGCCGTCGGCCGACCAGGCCAGCGAGATGCAGTGCGGGGGCTGAGCGTACTTGCCCTTGGGCTCCTCCACCTCGGGCTGCAGGTCGTGCACCACGATCTTGGACTCGAGGTCCCAGATCTTGATGCCCGAGGTCGTGGCAGCGCACAGCCAGTAGCGGTTGGGCGAGAACACGAGCGCGTGGATGACGTCGCCGGCCACCAGCGAGTAGAGGCGCTTGCCCTCGTTCAGGTCCCAGAGGTTGGCGGTGCCGTCCTTGCCGCCCGAGGCGCAGATCGATCCATCCGGGGACACGGTCACCGTGTTGAGGTAGCCCTCGTGGCCGAACAGGTTGGTGCGGAGCTTGCAGTTGGACAGGTTCCAGATCTTGACCACCTTGTCCCAGCCGCACGACACGATCAGCGGGTTGGCCGTCGAGGGCGAGAAGCGCACGCACGAGACCCACTCCGTGTGGCCGTCCTCCGTGATGGTGTACTTGCACTCGCCCAGGGTGTTCCAGAGCTTCACGGTCTTGTCGCGCGAGCCCGACACGATCTGGCGGTTGTCGGCGCTGAAGGCCACCGACAGCACGTCCTTGGTGTGTCCCACGAAGCGGCGCGTCGTGATGCCCGTGTTCAGGTCCCACAGACGCAGCGTGCCGTCCCACGAGCCGGACAGGGCGAACTGGCCGTCCGACGAGATCACCACGTCCTCCACGTAGTGCGAGTGGCCCTGCAGGCGGCGACGCGCGAAGCCGTACTCCTCGCCGTCGTTCGAGAGCTGCCACACCAGCAGCGACTTGTCGCGCGAGGCCGTCAGCAGCAGGTTCGGGTTCTCGCGGGTCGTGGCGAGGGCCGTCACGGCCTTGCCGTTGTGGCCGTCAAGCTCGGCGCGCGGGTAGATGCTGGTCTCGGCCATGGTGTCTGTGAGGAGGTTTTCCAAAGTGAGGGGATGGAGAGCTCCTTTATCAGGGAGGGGGAGACCGGAGGACCAGTTATCTTTTGAGAGACGGGGATTGAAGGAAATTCGGACACGAGTTTCGACAAATGAGAGGAGAGTATTAGATTTGGAAGGGGGATGTGTAGCCATGAAGGAAATGTAGCCATGTTGACGACTTGACTTCAAAGTGCTACCGGTAGTCGTGTAGCTTGCGCTTCACCTCTTCCCGTCTCACCTCGAAGTAGAAGCTGGCGAAGAACAACACGAGCGCGGAAACTACGAGGTGTAGCGTGAGAGCGGCGAAAGCCAGCTCTAGCGACAGCCAGCCACTCGTCGGTACGCACAGCCACACGGCGCTGGCAGTGAACTGTAGACCACAATCCAATGCCCTCTCCGACAGACCTGCAGCATTCATACCCCGTCGTAAGTTGCGCCTAATTCTACAGTGTGAGAATAAAGTTCGCCAACATACCGCGATATTCCCGCAGCTTGCGCATCAAGTAAGCCGTACGCAGAAGCGTCTTAACGTTATCGGGGACGAGGACGAGGACGTCCACTCGATCACTGGATTGTTCGGTACGCTGCTGGCTGCCAATGTGGTCCGATGGGTTCATCAGGTTGCGTTGTGTCAGGACCGACGACAGGAACATCGGGATTTCTCCTCGTTGCAGGTGCCGCACCGCGGTCGGGCTAAGGCAGTTGCCGTCTATCCTAGCTAGGTAGAGCTTCATAGCGCACGGATCGAGCTCCTGGTAGCATTTCCTTAGAATGCTTTCGTGTAAGACCTCTCGTAGTGCGGCAACGTCTCCACAGACGTCAACGGTGAGCACACAGCCCGCGCCAACGACGACGCACTCGAGTGTAACCATCCTGGAAAGTTGAGAAGTGAGAGGACGAAAGGATTTTTTGATATTGTCCAGTGGTCATTGATTGGTGTTCCATCCACATGGGGTGCTTTGAGACACAATGGAATCCTATCATGGTGTTACTAATCTACCGCCGTTTGAGCCTCCAAGACGATGCCTGGCTCGAATCACGCAATTGTGCTTCATCACCACTGCGAGTGCTATCGACAGCAGTACCTGTAGCTTCATGTGTCACTCCTTCCAGAGCGATATGCCGTGGCTTGCAGAATAAGATCCAGCGTTGATGTTAGTTATGGTGACTATCCACAATTCTTGTACTTCAGTGATGGAAACTAACGCTATTACAGAATTTGTTTAAATTGTATTGCAGCTTGACCATCAGTAGATCGGAGAAATGGAAAGATTAAGCAAACCCATTTCTTGGGGAGAGTTGTGAGTTTCTCCCCGTAGGGTGGGGAGAGTGGATGCTACTTCTCGGTATCATCTAGCATGCGTCGAAGTTTTTTCCGTCTTGCAGAAGAGGACCAGGAAGTGGAAACCGCCGAGGAACGACACGAAGGTAAAAAATGCCAACTGCAGCTTCATAGCGGCCCCCAACTCGCGCCATTCGTTGGCACGCACCACCAGGCGATACACATACCTGCGAATGTAGACCCCACATCAACATCTGACCAGAGAAATTCACACACAGTTAGCAACAATCCTCTTGGTGGAGAAATGCACCGGGGGTATTCTACGCACCGCGATATTCCTCCATCTCGCGCCTGATAGATACCGCTCACAGAAGCGTCTTAACGTTATCGGGGATGATGACGAGGACGTCCACCAGATCGACTTGATTTCCGGTTCGCAGTTGGTACTTCGTGCTGCCGATTGGGTCCAGTGCATCCGGTAGCGTCGTGTCTGGATTGAAGTCATGAACGTCGGGATTTCTCCTTGTTTCAGCTGCGTCGCATCGGCCGAGTTGAGCCACTCGCCGTCTCGTTTCGCGACGAAGAGCCTCAGAGCGCAGGGATCAAACTGCTGGTTGCATCTCTTCACAATCGATTTGTGCACGATTTCTCGTAGAGCAGCAACGTCTCCGGAGACTGGGACAGTGAAAGTGCAGCCAACACCAACGACGAGGCATTTAAGTGCAACCATCTTGGAAGATTGAGAAATGTGAGCAGCTGAGGAAAGGAGTTATCTCACGGGTGGTTGGTGGATTCCTTATGCTTCAATCAAAGCAATAGCGTAACCTTCATGATCAGTTAGAGCCCTCTCTTACCTTAAATCTAAATGCATCTCCAGTTGAGAAAGCGCCGATCTACTGCACAAGTTTGTTCCTTTGCCATTCAGATCTGCTTCTCGCGGATCCAAGCAAATTTAAACGTGAAATCGACCCCTGATACCACGTGTACAGACCCCATGAGCTATTGAATGCAATTACAGAGCCAGATAACACTTACCGAAGTGTACGACGCGGAATCCCATCGTCAAAAGCGCCCACGTGATCAATTTGTCTTGGATCAGCATCGTTTGCGTCTCCAAGACGAACGCCAGGTGGTAAAATGCTTTTACACCGCAATTTCGCTGCATAACGACTGCGAGTACGATGAACGACAGTAGTTCCAGCACTGCAAGAACAAATACGCTATGCACGGTGGCCGTGGCATTCTCACGCGTGATCCCTTCGATATCCAGGTGATATTTCGCGTTCGGGAGTCGAACAATCATCAGCACAAAGCAGCCATAGAGAACAGGGATAATCGACTCCAAGTATTCCGTGAGAACGTGGCACTCGGAAGTAAACATGGTTTCAAGCGTCTCCTGAAGAATAAAAGACTTGCGCTCAGCTGAATAGTACCTTTGTGTTTCTCTCCGCACACGGTTTTCGACAGCTTTCATAGGTACAACGGGGTGAACTCTGGCCAGCCCCTTAGTGTGTACGACGAATACATCTGGCTTGGACGGATGCGCGGCGTGCGATCTGTGCCTACCGGAAGGTGAAGACTTGACATTATCGAGCATGCTTAGTAGCTGTTGAGTCGCGTCTGATAGTCGGTACGGAAAACTCGAACGCAGCTGAATTCCCACCCGCATTTGTCTCGCGTAAACTTCCGGCTTTTGACAGAGTAAAACAATCGATGAGAGCAAATTATCACTATCGGACTCGCCGACAACCTCGCGAAGGCGTCTTTGGATGCTGCTAGTGCGTCTGAAGTGGCCGTACAGTCCAAACATCACGTGAAACATATCGAGCGCGACAAAAGTGACTATTGTAGTCGTCGAGGTCGCCTGCTGCATGCTGGTTGCGAGGTACAGGGCGTTGAAGAAATCGACTGTAAAAATGACACTCTCAGGCGTCAAGTCCTCCATGTGCGTTGTCATGCGCAGAAGTAGGTACTTGATCAGCGACTTGATCACCGGCAACAGCAATATTACGAGTAGTTCGTGGTTTGTTTCTGCGGCAATGGAGAATAGCGCTTGATATGCCGGGTACACGATGATCAGGAGAACCTGGGTGCAAATATACTTGACAAAGCGGACCGTTTGATCCAAGTCCGCCGCTGCATCTTGGAAAAATTTCCTACCAGCTACTACGCGAAATGAAATGATCAGCAGCACGTAGAATACTGGAAAAGTCGATACCACGGTAAAAGGAATAGGGAAAACTGTCCCCGACGCGACGTGCATCATCAGAATCGGGAAGCTTGAGCCAACGCAGCAGGCGATCGCCACGCGTTGACCCTGCGAGATGTTGACTTGATCGACGAGATGATGCAGCTGAACGGCTGCAGCGTGGGCGATGGCTGCAGTCAAGATGCTAGCTCGAATCCAAAAGCCGTAATTTGCTAGTGAACCACTGTTCGGATCTTGCAGAGGCACTAGTTCTTGTGCCACCACGAGAGTCATCGTAGGCAATGGAGTGCCCAAACAAACAAAAATTGCGCGACACAGAGACGTGGTCCGAGTGTATTCCTCGAGTGCCAGTAGCCGCTCCAGCGAGTATTTGCCGCCGCGATGGCTCACCTGCAGCCTGGGCCATAAGCGGATCACCTTTTCCACCCAGGAGGTGGTCCATTGCAAGCAAGCGCTAAGTACCTTACGCTGGCGATTGGAAGACATGCTTTTCGTAAGTCTCCAGGAGAACCCTCGCTGATCTCTAAATAGCTCTGAAATGCTGAATAAAGTAATGAGAAGTTTTGATAATCATAGCACGGTCAATCTGGGAGTTAGGTGGCGTGGAGACATACAACGTGACATCTCTATTTCCCCATTGAACTCTCGATTCACGCCACTGTGACAAAACGCCATGAAATTCTTCTACAATGCTGAGGACCCGCAGTGAGAAGCACCATCAATCCTGAGCGGTTGGTACCTACGGCCGAGTAAAATCTACTGACGGGTACGCTCCCGGGCGACGCATGTCGAGGATGGGGCTCGACATGCTGAATTACGGGTGAAGCTGAGTATGCATGTGTATTCCAACCGGTTGTGGTTTGGATTGTTGAATGGCGGGGAACCGGATTTGACTGCGGCGCCACAATCTCATCTCATAGTAACCTCACATTGCCACGATCCTTCTCATCGATCAAGCAATTCGATGTACCAGGCGCTTACCACATTATAGTATCTTGAAGTTGGATGCTCCGATACAGCTAATCCAGTGAAGGTGCCAAGCCGCTTGAGTCCTGTGAGTCGAATTGAGAACTGATTGATTGAATGAAGTTACTCCTGGCATCTCCTAGCAGCTAGACTACTCATGTAGCGCCTTGAAGGCACCGTGTGTACCCAAAGCAAGGGTTCAAACGAACCCAGAACGAAACTCAGATGAAGTCAACCCTTACGCCAGGGAGGACAGGCGCTAGTGTCGACAGGGTGCAGAAGGAGTTGTCATTCTCCCTCATGCCAGGATGTCAGTGTTGTTAAATCAACACGGGAAGATTCGCCTGATGTTGACTCGGTACTCGCTTGATCCAGTGTCGAGGAGCACATTGCCGTTGTCGTAGACGGCCTTCACGACGAACGGGCCCTTGGCGACTGGGTCGGTTTTCTTCCTTTCACGAGCAGGGACACGGAGCATGACGTTGTCACCTACACGATAGAAGTGCTGCAGTCGCCGCATAGTTTCACGATCGTTGTCCTGCATGATGGCCATGAATCGCTGCTTTGAGAGGAAGTTCCAGTTGGCGAAATGCAACTCGCGCGTGATCATGTCCTCGCCAAACATCAATTGAGCGGGGGAAGCTCGAAGTACGGAGTGATAGCTGGCCCTTATGGCGTAGGCAGCATAGTCGAGGGCGACTTCCAGCTGATCATGCAGGTCCGGGCGTACGCGAATGATGTTCATAATTTCCAAGTGCACGCGCTCGCAGATCGCGTTAGCCTGCGGGTTCTTTGCGGTGATCGGTTTGTCCTTGATCGCCATCGAGGTCAATAGCAGCTGGAACTCGTCTCTCGTGAATTCAGGTCTTTGGTCATGCACGACCAGTTTTGGGCGAGGATAACGGCAGAGCCACACGCGCTCAAAGCTCAAAGCCGTAGTTGCCGAGGTCTTGCCGCGCTGCATCAGGACCTCTAACCAGCGAAGTTGCTGTTCAATCACCGTCAAGCAGTAGAAGTCCCCAGTAAATGGCCCCACCAAATTCGCGTGTACGACGTCGAATGGGCGATCGGTGTTGGATGCAGGAGTTGGTGGCAGGTATCCACACTGTTGCTTCCCACCGTGCAGCTTTGCCTTCTTGCAGTCCACGCAATCTTTGACGTACTTCTCCACCGCTGTCTGCATTCCAGGCCACCAGAATGTGCTCATCGACTGATTATGCTTTTCAGCACCAGGATGGAGCAGGTAATCGTGGTAGAGCTCCACGATACTACGACGCAGCGTCTCCGGCACTACGACACGTTTCCGATGGTGAAGTAGCACGACGCCCAGCGCAGGACGAAGTGAATAACCAGGACCCGCTTCATTTTTCTCCAGTCGTGCAATCACTTTCTTGCAGGAAGCATCTTGAAGCTGGTGCTTCTTCATGACGACGCCATCAATTGCTACTTCTTCTTCTTCAACTGCGAAAAGTTCCTCTTCGGCGATCTGCTTCACGAAGTCGTAGCGGAGTCGGGAGAACGCGTCAGAACCCACGTTTTGCTTGCCTGGAACGTACTCAACCTGCAAGCGATACTCTTCGAGGATCAGCTTCCAACGCTTGACTCGCAGAGAGTTTTCGCGTGGAAACAGGAGGTTCTTGTGATCTGTATGCACCACCACAGGAAATCCCAGCAACATTGTGCGATATTCTTTTAGTATTTCCACAACGGAGAGCAACTCCCACTCCATCGTGGAATACTTCCGCTGTGTGTCTGTCATTGAGCGAGAGAAGCACGCGATGATCCGCTTGCCCTGGAGGATGACACCTCCAATCTGCTGGCCGCGAACACGTGAAAAGGACGGCTGTAATCAGGAAATGCTAGCCACACATTGCGAGCCAGCGCCGTCTTGATCTCTAGAAAGGCTGCAGCGTCCTCTGGCGTCCAGGTGAACGGGACATTCTTTGACGTCAGGCGGTTGAGTCGGGCTGTCAACGCCGACTTGTTCGGGACCATTTCTCTGTAGTACGCGATCATACCCAGGAAGCGACACAAACCTTCTTGTTGCGGGGTTCGGCGATCTGCTGGATGGCTTCTACCTTCTTCGTCTGGGGCTGGATGCCGTCCGCTGTTAGGGTGAAGCCCAGGTAGTCAACCCGATCGCGAAGAATGTGACACTTCTTTGCGTTGAGGGTCACATCGTATTGCTGCAGGCGCTCGAACACGATACGCAAATGCTCAAAATGGTCCACTGCATTCTCGGAAAAGATGAGAATATCATCCAGGTACACGATGACGAAAGGCAGGTCACCCAGGATGCGTTCCATGCAGGCTTGATACTCGTCTGGGGCTGTCGAAATGCCCATCGGGAGCTTCTTGAACTGAAATTTCCCAAACGGCAGGCAGAATGCCGTGGCTGGGCGACTTTCCCTCGCCAGCCGCCTCGCGAAGTAGCCCATGTTCGCATCCAGAGTGCTCATGCACTTGGCGTTGCCCAGTCTCAGCAGTATTTCGCGGATTTTCGGTACGTAATACGGAGATCTGCGCAGGTACTTGTTCAACTGGCGGAAGTCGACTAATAAGCGAAGAGATCCGTCAGGTTTCACGAGAAAGAAAGCTGGCGCAGAAGACTCCGAGCCGTAGATCTGCTCGATCACATCGAGCTCAAGTAGCCGCTGCATCTCGCGGCGGGCCGCATCTTCTTGGCTGCGGGGGACGCTGTATGGTCGCGCGTGCTCTGCCGTGTAGTCCGCTCGCAACGGGAGGATGTAGTCGTTCAGGCGGATGCGGCCGAGTCGCCCGCTGTACAAGTCCACATACTCTTCCAGCAATTTCAGGTAGCAGTGCTGAAGAGCTGCCTCTAAGTGCAGAGGTATCAAATCTAAAGGCGTGGCGGCTGCTGCTTTACCTGCAAAGTATTCCAAAGCTTCTTCCACAGTCAAGTCGGAGTCAGGGCCGGTAGCTAGGTCGATCTTCTTGCCAGTGGTGTGGACGGCGAGCTCGCTACCGTGGTGCCCTTCCTGAAGTCGATCACTAAGCCGAGTGCCGTCATTAAGTCGCGCCCAATCGTCATATCGTCCGGAAGTGAAGATAATACCTCGAATTGGTGGACAATGACCGAGTCGCGTTTAAGTTGCGGGATCCGAAAGCGCACAACCATGGCGCCTTCACTTTGCGTTTGCCCCTTGACCAATTTAAATGAAGTTGTAGAGTTCTCCAGCCGGGCCTCGTGTGACTGCAGCGTGCGCATGAGAGCTGAGCTGATAATGCTGCGCGAGCACCCACTGTCCAGCAAGGCTTGGTAGCGGTCCTTGCCTGCCTCGAGCTTGATCATGACGCGCATTGGGGGAGGCGAGCTGGCCGGCGACGCGTGCAGACCCACGAAAAGATACTCCTCATCGCTGGAGCTTCCGGCGCGCTGGCGCTGTTCGACGCGCGTTTGTTGCTGGCCACGCTGTCCGCGTTGATCACTCCTAGGCCCGCGTCTCTCGTCCAGTTGTTGGTATTCCTCCTGCTGATTATCGTGGCGAAGAGCGCGGCAGTCCTGGGTGTTGTGCGTGTTCGTCTGGTGAAAGCTACAGTACTTGTTACTCGCCAAGTTGTTGCCGGTGTTGTGGCCGTTGCCGCGACCATGGTTTCCTCCTCAGGACTGTTGCCGATTGTTGTTGCTGTTGCTGCTGTTATTGCGATTGCTGCCGTTACGGTTGCCGTTGCTTCGACGGCTGTGACCTCGTGGATTCTCGTTGGCGTAGTTACGCTTGTCCTGTCCGCTGGTACGGTGCAGTCGCTGTTCGCCCTGCTCAATGCGCTCGAAAAATGGCACGAGGGCGGCCACGGTAGTATAGATCTGGCCGCTCGCACCGTATTTGTTCTGCCACTCGTACGGGAGGCCGCGCTTGTAGAGGCGACAGAGCGCGTCTTCGCACATCGGCGAGTTCTCGTTCAGCAGCGCGAGCGTGTGCTCCATGCGCACCAAGGCGCGGAACCGCTTGCTGTACTCTGACAGCAATTCATTGCGGGCCTTCTTGATCTCCCACAGCTCCTCCTGGAGCTTCTCGCTGTAGTCCGTCGGCAGCACGACAACCGATGCCTTGCGCAGTGCGCGAGTGAACTCCTCGTCCATGCGCACGTCGTCGTCGGTGATCGACGCATCTTCAAATGCCTCGCGGAGGTCGCCCTCGAGCAAGATGGTCGTGTTGAGGAACTTGTCCTCCGCGTTCCAGTGTTTCAGCTTCGCCAGCTGGTTGAAGTGGTAGGTCCACTCGAGGAAGTCCTTGGGGCCGCCGTCAATGAACTTGGCCATCTTCTTCGTGACGACCTCCTCCTCGATGCCCTTCTCCTTGTTCGCAGCACGCACTGTGATTGATTACGTGAGGTAGCGCTCCTTGTCGTCCTTCTTGGTGGAGCCGCTCATGATTGACGGGTAAACCAGGTCGGTCTTCTTTGAAATGTTTCAAAATGCCAAGCCGCTTGAGTCCTGTGAGTCGAATTGAGAACTGATTGATTGAATGAAGTTACTCCTGGCATCTCCTAGCAGCTGGACTACTCATGTAGCGCCTTGAAGGCACCGTGTGTACCCAAAGCAAGGGTTCAAACGAACCCAAAACGAAACTCAGATGAAGTCAACCCTTACGCCAGGGAGGACAGGCGCTAGTGTCGACAGGGTGCAGAAGGAGTTGTCAAAGGGGTTCTGTTACTACGAACTCGCCTGTTTTATCTAGCGTTTACCGCCGAGTATTGCAGCCAACAACGCTGAGGTCGTATGCGCCCCCCCCCCCCGGACAGTGATTCAGCAAGAAGAACGAGGGGCTAGAAGACAAGGTGACAAATTGTCCCTGACAATACCACAAACACATTAATTTTGCATACACTATATCCCTTCCCACCCTCATTCAAACGCGTGCACGAGGTCCAAGCAACGAGCCTCTCACTCGAACAAAAAACGAGGCGAAGTTCTCAAGAATTTGTTTTAGAAATGTGCGCTAGCGGAGGTTAATCAGACCAGCGCTCCTTAACTCTAAAATACTACTACTTAGTAGTAAATGTCAGTGAACAACTGATCCGCAAAAAATAAATGCGCTGCATTTTCAACTCTGTGCCTAGATCGCTGGTGTTAGGAGGTTTTCTCAGCCAATTCGCAGTTCGAAGAACTGTCGATTGGGGAAGGTTTTTGGATGACATCGAACGACATTCACGCTCATTCGTCACTTCACCCCCGTGCGGATGACATCAAACAACATTCACACAACATCATACAGCACTCAATAGAATCCGGTCTGAATTACACTTACAGCTTTTGATAGATGCCTATTCGCCTCGGAGCTTCTTTTCCTTCTAGATTGATGCCAGGCACCACCAGAGGAGTGGAGCTCCAGCACAAACATTTTATTGTTCGAAAGAATGCAATTCTTGCTATTGCACAGATAACGTTATGTACATGTACGTTGTTCGTCGTAGTAATAGCGTCTGTGACAATTACAACCCTCGATGCTGACCTTGAGCACAACTGATGTCATTACCTTATCACTGGAACTCTTCCAAAAACAACACAAAAATAAATGTGTCATGAGCACAAAAATAGGGCTGCATACCCAGTACAATATGCGAAGACGCAAATATCGTCTCCACAAATTGTGTCATGAAGAATTGTGTCAATTTTGGAACAGTTCCACTGCATCGTATTAAACTGCATGCGGCTCCAGAGCACTCAACATAGTACTCACTCATTTCATTAGTGTTAAAGCTATCGATTCAATCTGTTCAGTCCTGGGTCATAACTTATACCCTCCTCTTTCAGACACAGATTTTCTTCTGCATACATAGAGATTTATTGAAAATCGTTTGGTCACCTGAGTTTGCCGTGACTTAAATTCTCGGCAGGCTGATATTCTGTGAATCCCCACACTCATTGGAATGTGTCTGGATGGATTAGATAAAACATTCCACTAAAACTTCGCATAAACTACTTGACCCCGGTGAAATTTATCCTACGAAAAAGGATCAAATCCTTTGTTGATGTGGCACACACAGACCGTTTTATCCTAGCGGGGCAGGCGTCTCCCATCTTATCGGTCGTGTCGCATTTGACAAAGCGACCGTTGGAAGCATAAAATTGTAGCGGTATTCAGACCAATACTCAGCTCAAGTCTAAATGCGATTTTTATCCTAGCAGATAGGATAAATCTGGATTTTTGATAAGCTGTTAGAGACACTTTTCATGCGGCAATTTCGCAATGATGGACAATGAGAGACACCAAGTGGACACTAGTATCTTGTAGAGGAAGGAAAAGGCTTTGTGTGTGTGGCTTCAGACACTCGTATTACCCAGCACTAGTTTCTGTAAAAAGCGCTAAACTTTTGATCCTTTCTTTTATCCTACGGCCAGGCTCACTGGGGTTAACGTTTTTAAGGCTATGCGATCCAAGATGGGAATTATAGCTTGATTTTTTTTTTTCATTCAGCATATTTTTATCCAAAGCCAAATCTATCCGCCGGCAATGCGGTGACGTCCTATACGGTGGCGAACGAATTCATTCAGCGGAGACTCAAAAGAGCTGCACCTGGTGTTATGTATTCTCCGTAGAAAAGGCTAAAAGCTACAGCAAAAAGGATGACGACCGTGTATGAAATCGGGAGAAGTATAGTTCAAATCAATCGAGATATGAATGGCTCGTGTGGGGCCATTAAAACTCGACACTCGCTTAGGCATTTTATCTACGAAGACTTTGGATGATTAAGTATGACTTAACTACATTGTGACCCGCAGAGATCCACCGAGCCCATTTGCTGCTGTAGAATAATCTTCTACTTTATCCTGTTCTTGTTAAAACAACTTAAAAGTACATTGTCACCAATATTAGTTCAGATCATCCTGATGCTACATGAATGCGGCACGTTCAGTTTAATACTAGATAAATGGCAATAACACACTTGGACGAATCGAAGCTGGGAGTTTTTGTTGTTGTTAGATATTCAGGCGATCCGGACAAAGTCTGTGTGTGGCTGCGCCATGTTTTATCAAACAGAGTTTGAATGCTCCTACGTTTTCTGTACGCCCCGGATTCCTGTGAGAGAGGAAGCCCGGGTGGACATCGTCAACGCGAAGGACAAACACCCGGTGTATCCAACTCCTACACGCGATCGAGATCTGCTAGACCTCAGTCTTAACTTATCAAACTTGAAACAAATTGCTGGCTTCATTGGGTTACCCTGCAAGTTCGGTTGGGCAGTTAGCCTGGAAGCGCTAAATGTTCGAATGCACGTATTTTTTCTGTTTTTTCGCCGCCTGTAAGTTTCCGAGCACACCATGCAATCTAAGAAATATAGGATTGGCATCAGCGCACGTTTCAAAGGCAGGAAGGAATAAAATTACGTTGATTAGCTACTTGTTGATAACCGTTCTACTAACTACAAAATAACTAAAGTTAAAACTAAATCCGTGGAGTCCTAATCCAACGAGCAGGAGAAGGTAGAATCACCACGGTGGGTTTGTCAAACCCAATAGTTGAAGTATCAATTCGTTGGAGAGAACTGGCAATGCCTTTGAAAAGAAGCAATCAAACTTGGTACACTTGGTTGTACAGTGGTAGATGCAGATACTGCGGCTGCGAAGCAGGCGCAGGAGATGCCCGAGTACATCGTTTCCCTGAAAGGGCATCCGTACAAGCTAGCTTCGAACTGCGAGACCCCCCGGGTCCACCACCCGGGTCCCCAATACCTCCAGCTTCTGGGAAGTAAGAAGTAAATTGACGACAAGCTCCTAGAAGACGGTTACCACATGATTACGCTGTATGCTAGCGGTGAAGCTCAAATAAAGTAAACATTGGTTGCAGAGAAGTACTAAAGATCTTGCTTTCTTGAGGAGAGCGGATTTTTCCATTAATTTTTTTTCGCTAAAGAGGGAAAATAGCAAAATAAAACAAAGAATGCGACCAGATGATAGTCAAAATCCAGGTCTGCTGAAGTGGAGGGAGACTGAATGTAATCGTGGCAAGGTCTTCTCATGTCGCCAGATGTCGAGCCATTTCTCCAAGGCACCAACGCGGGATCGGTTGAGAGTAAACAACAGGATCGCTTTCGTCACGTGTAGTTGGGATCGCGGAATGCTTGGATTTCGGACGTTGTTGTAGCAAAACTGCCTCTAATAGGAAAACAGAGCACCTCTGGACAGTCACATTGGCGAATAGATCATGACTGTCTTATGCGGCGTACCCTCACGCGTACGTCTGAAGAGCACTAACCCAGAACGTATCGATCTGGGTCACCAGCACATTATTGGGGCTAATCTACGTCGACAAATTATAGAGCTTGTAACACTACATCGCTAGATGGGTTGGAGCGAAGTCGTTCATGGCGAAAATCCGAGCGTGGCTGGAGGTACGCCGGAGTACATCTTAACCATAATTTGTTTTAGGGCAACCCGCTGAATTCTAGTACTTCCTCTTGGATTACCATTAGCTCGTCATCCCTAACAGTATCATAGTATGGTGTTATGAGGCACTTTCCAGCAATGCCGTAAGCTTTTTGTCATATCGATCGATCATGTCGTCGGAGCTTGGCATACCTGCTTGAGTTCCTTTGGGTCCTCTCTTGCAGCTACCCATTTGTCGATAAGGGCAGCCTGCAGCTTTGCCGCCAATTTCTCCGTATAGCGTCCTTCTTCCCTGCATCGAGGATCCACAGCATCCTCCTGTCGTTGTAGTTGGCTCTGAAGGCATCGATCATGGTCGTTTTCTTCTCGGGGCACAGACGGTTGAAGCTATCCAGGTACGCTGTCCACGTCTTGAACTCCGGACAGCGAGAAGAGTCTTCTCATCAGCTTCGTCCAGCCCCAGAGAACGGAAAACCTTCTGCGGCAGTTCTTCAGCTTTTAATCAGAACAAGGACCGTTCCCTCTCCACCATCTTGGCGATTTCTACGGTACTTGGGTTCTGCATCGCAATCTTGATCATTCGTTCGACGGACGCAGGGCTGTAATACGTATCAATTGGCGCGAACAATGATTCGGGGTGCCGCGGGTTCTTCCTGTTGAAATCCTTGACGTGCTGCATCCAAATCTGGAACACGCGGTCACCGAGAATGTCATCCCCCGCGTCGTCAAGAGCGAGCAGCGTAAATATTTCTTGGGAGAATCGTTTTTAGCCAGATAGCCCTCGATCCTCTTCGTCTGGATGCCAACAGCGATGTTTTCCATGCTGGGGAACCTCATAGCTCGCATGAGAACTTCGTTCACAAAAGCTTCCGGGTCGATAGTTTCTATGTTTGAGAAAAACGAAGCCACCTCGCCTGGTTTGCCCTTGAATAGTACATCCAAGTACGCGACCCACGTCTTAGAAAAACCGGACGGACCTCCTGTCGGCGGACTTAGTATGTTGAGGACATTGTTGGCAGATTTCCCACTGTTCTTCCAGACTCCGAGCAGTGCAGACTCCAAATCTGACGCCAATGCCCGCGTTTTCGCCTGCTCCTTCGCCCAGTAAAGCATTGTCGCCACTTTTGTGTCGCCAAATCCTTGCGTTAACAATTCGACCAAAGTCGTCTGCTCTTTCGGATACTTCGTGTTGAAATCCCCCACGTAGCTGGCCCAGCTCTTGAACAATGGCATCTCCAACATCGTTCTATGTGGATTTCCGAGAATGTAGGACAGTGGTTGCTGGTTGAGTCCGATCTCTTTCAGAACAGCCGCCGGAGTTTTCCCACCGTCAAGCCAAAACTTCGCCAGGTCGTTCTGCAACTTGGTGGCGATGATTCCAGTTGTCGCGAGACGTTTCGCCGCCTCAGCATCTGCGAAGAGGACGCCCCCGTTGTGGTACTTCGTAAGCGTCGACGCCATGGATACGGAGTGCTTGGGGTACTTGGTATTAAACTCGTCCACGTATTTGACCCATGCTGCAAATTCGTCGTCCAGATGGATGTATAGTGACTCGTCGAGTTTCATAAAGTGGAAGACGTCGTCGGGCTTTTGCGCGGCGGCCAACCAGTGCTGCAGTTGCTCCTTCTGCAGTCTCTTGGCAATAGCGATCGCTTCCGCGGAGATTTTCTCTGTCAGGAAGAATTTGATGATCTTGTACAGACCAGCGTCGCCGTACTGATCCGTGAGCGTCGAGACCGCAGACTTCGCCTTCGCCGGGTGTTTGGCAGTCAAATCGTCGACGTACTTGAGCCACCGAGCGAACGCGGGCTGCTCTTAACCTTGGTAAGACCCAGGCGGTAGAAAACAACGTCGGCATCTTTCCCTTCGGCGAGCCATTTCTCCATATTCCCCGACAATGCCTTGAGTTTCTCGCTGTTCACCATTTCATCCGACGCTGGGCCATTATGAAGCATCCGTTTGAGGTCCGCCGGCTTCTCCTCAGCACCCATCCACTTGTTGATCCGTGCGCTCTGCAAGTTCGTCGCCAGCTTCTCCGCCTCCGGGTCCTTCTTTGCCGCCGCCAGACTTTTTACCAATACCGAGTCATGATAGCTATACTTCAGAGCATCGATCATGGTCGTTTTTTCCTCGGGATAACGGCGGTTGAAGTCATTCAGGTATTTGGACCACGCATTGAACTCTGCACTTGCGAGCAGAGTATTTTCAGCCGACTTGTGGAGGTCAAGATCGCGGAAAGTATACTTTGGAAGATTCTTGGAGTCTAGCCAGTACTTGAGCCGCTCCCTCTTCGTTCTTCTAATGGCGATGGAGAATACTTTGCCCGGATCGCGACAGCAATCCTAGTCGATCCGCCTCCGAAGCACACAAGTGATGTCTGGATATTACGCATAATTTTACACCACAAACTCGCACGCGCACCAACGACGCTTTTTATTCCTTGGATAGATCGGCCGTAGATGGCGGCAATGTATTCATTCAAGTCATAAATTATAAAATATGTTTTGGTAGAAGAGTATGCATTGAGACTATTTACACTGCACTGGAGCTAGACTGAGACGGTTACGATTCCACTGAAATGTGGGGGATACGAAAGACTTCTCAAACAATAGAGACAATTCCTCCAAATTCCCGAGCAGATGTAGAAGCGGCGTCAGTAAATCTGACTCAGTTCTGATGACTGAGAGGCGTTGTCCCACTCGAAGCGTGCCCACCCACGCATGGCAATTTGCTGGTTTAGAAGCTTGGACGCCAGTAAGGGCAATTCGCCGTCGTGCAGCTGTGGAAACACGTTTCGCAGAGTTTTTTCAGTCATTGTAAAAGAGGTTCTGGTGGTGGCGAAGACGGAGTCGGGCCCTGTTCTTTGGATTTCGTCAACATCAACCACAATGTCGGCGAACCACAGCGAAAAGAGCCACCAGTTCTGCATCACGCACCTTCACCTCTACCCGTGTTGAATACCACATTTGGTGCCATGACCGAACGCACAAATCCACGCGTTCCACCGTCATGGGGTCTGGTTGGTCCGTCGGTCGAAAGACGTGGCGAAAAAGTCGGAAGTACTCCGCTGCCACCATCCACACATGGTACCTTGACGTTCAGAGAACGTTGCTTTTGTTCTAGCTCGGAGATCTCTTCCCGTAGATGTTCCGTGTCCTTCTTGAGGCCTGCTGTATAGTCGTGCTGTTTCTTCCGGTATCTCCGCTGTTTATCTCTTCGTTGTTCTCGTCTCATCTTCGCGTCGCGAAGTAGAAGTTCCGCTACCGCTGCGTACTGGTTCTCACTTGTCCATGGGTTGGTCGTTGGGGGCTCCCGAGTAACCTCTCGTCTCGCGTCAGGCGGCGCGCGCTTGGGGCTTGGATAAGCGACGCCAGTTTTCTGCGAGTCTTCATCTTGAGTCATGTCGGGATATCGCTCCATTAAGTTCGACGGATCCAATTCTCTTGCCTGACTCTGAGGCGGTCGCTTCGATCGTATGTCACGTTCTACTACGCTGCCGATAACATCGTTGCTGAGCTGATCACTATTGGGTGGGCGCAGGATGCTGTTCATAGTTCTTGTAAACTGCGAAATGAGAAGTGGTATGGTAGAGTGAAATCATGTATTGCAAAAGTGTAGAGTAAACTTTCTACAAATTCGAAGATGACGCAGGGAGTCAACACACATAAATTTCCATGCTTACGCCGTTCAGATAGTGCACATCCCGTTGGTCATTCCCATCTGGAAACACGCGATCATTACGACGATTGTGATTCAGGGCTCACAACTTGTGACTAATAAGGGTGAACGATGTACACCACTTGTTTCCACAGCTGCACGACGGCGAATTGCCCTTACTGGCGTCCAAGCTTCTAAACCAGCAAATTGCCATGCGTGGGTGGGCACGCTTCGAGTGGGACAACGCCTCTCAGTGCGTGACAAGCATCAGAACTGGGTCAGATTTACTGACGCCGCTTCTACATCTGCTCGGGAATTTGGAGGAATTGTCTCTATTGTTTGAGAAGTCTTTCGTATCCCCCACATTTCAGTGGAATCGTAACCGTCTCAGTCTAGCTCCAGTGCAGTGTAAATAGTCTCAATGCATACTCTTCTACCAAAACATATTTTATAATTTATGACTTGAATGAATACATTGCCGCCATCTACGGCCGATCTATCCAAGGAATAAAAAGCGTCGTTGGTGCGCGTGCGAGTTTGTGGTGTAAAATTATGCGTAATATCCAGACATCACTTGTGTGCTTCGGAGGCGGATCGACTAGGATTGCTGTCGCGATCCGGGCAAAGTATTCTCCATCGCCATTAGAAGAACGAAGAGGGAGCGGCTCAAGTACTGGCTAGACTCCAAGAATCTTCCAAAGTATACTTTCCGCGATCTTGACCTCCACAAGTCGGCTGAAAATACTCTGCTCGCAAGTGCAGAGTTCAATGCGTGGTCCAAATACCTGAATGACTTCAACCGCCGTTATCCCGAGGAAAAAACGACCATGATCGATGCTCTGAAGTATAGCTATCATGACTCGGTATTGGTAAAAAGTCTGGCGGCGGCAAAGAAGGACCCGGAGGCGGAGAAGCTGGCGACGAACTTGCAGAGCGCACGGATCAACAAGTGGATGGGTGCTGAGGAGAAGCCGGCGGACCTCAAACGGATGCTTCATAATGGCCCAGCGTCGGATGAAATGGTGAACAGCGAGAAACTCAAGGCATTGTCGGGGAATATGGCGTAGCCATCGCACAGCCAAAAGAGTAGATTAGAGCGCATCTTTTCATTTGGAGCGCATTGCTACTTGGTTGCTGTAATGTACTTTGCTCTCAACGTTTTTGGTATACTGCATCGCCACAGCACAACGCTGATGCGGGGGGCCTCGTTAGTACTTATTACTGGTGTTTGAAGCGGTGGGATCGACGACCTCTATGATGGGTAGTAAGAAAAAGTCGGAAGTGGGGTCCAATCTGTGTCTATGTCATTTACAGCTAACCCCAACAACTACGGTTACTTCGCGTCGTGCACGCTAATACAAGTACTTAGCGCCGTGGTCGGAACAACTTCGACCTAACGCACTTTAATGTGTACCGGACACCGATTACGCCGACTCCGTCTTCGATCTACCCGGCGACGAATACCAATTGCATCTACCGTACCTCACAGAAAGAGTGGAGTTTAATGGAGCTTAAAAGCAGTTAATCAACATTTGTCTCCTCTCACAGAAAGACGAAGTGGCCGACTATTCAGGCTGGATTGCGAAAGAAACTCGACTCTCTGCAAGGAGATTCTTAAGGAGAACCCACAACGACGACGAAGAAAATGAAGAAGAGAGGGGAGGATTGACCCCGAAAAGCTAAAGACTCTGCTCACGTCCTCGAAGATAAGCCCAGAAAACCTTCAGAAATGGCTCGCCGAAGGGAAAGATGCCGACGTTGTTTTCTACCGCCTGGGTCTTACCAAGGTTAAGAGCAGCCCGCGTTCGCTCGGTGGCTCAAGTACGTCGACGATTTGACTGCCAAACACCCGGCGAAGGCGAAGTCTGCGGTCTCGACGCTCACGGATCAGTACGGCGACGCTGGTCTGTACAAGATCATCAAATTCTTCCTGACAGAGAAAATCTCCGCGGAAGCGATCGCTATTGCCAAGAGACTGCAGAAGGAGCAACTGCAGCACTGGTTGGCCGCCGCGCAAAAGCCCGACGACGTCTTCCACTTTATGAAACTCGACGAGTCACTATACATCCATCTGGACGACGAATTTGCAGCATGGGTCAAATACGTGGACGAGTTTAATACCAAGTACCCCAAGCACTCCGTATCCATGGCGTCGACGCTTACGAAGTACCACAACGGGGGCGTCCTCTTCGCAGATGCTGAGGCGGCGAAACGTCTCGCGACAACTGGAATCATCGCCACCAAGTTGCAGAACGACCTGGCGAAGTTTTGGCTTGACGGTGGGAAAACTCCGGCGGCTGTTCTGAAAGAGATCGGACTCAACCAGCAACCACTGTCCTACATTCTCGGAAATCCACATAGAACGATGTTGGAGATGCCGTTGTTCAAGAGTTGGGCCAGGTACGTGGAGGCTTTCAACACGAAGTTTCCCCAAGAGAGGACCGTCGTGATCGAGTTGTTAACGCGAACATTCGGCGACACCAACGTGGCGAAGATGCTGTATTGTGCGAAGACGCGAGCTGAAACGCGAAAATTGGCGACAGATTTGGAGTCAGCACTGCTACATAGAAGGGTGGAAGAAAAGCGGGAAATCTGTCGACGATGTGTTCGACATACTACCTCCGCCGATAGTGGCCAGGTACGATTTTACCGGGACGTGGGTCGCGTACATGAATGTACTTTCCAAGGGTAAATCTGGCGAGGTGGCTTCGTTCTTGTCAGGGTTGGACACCCGCTTCCCTGAAGCTTTAGTGAACCATGTCCTCCTGCTAGCCGCGAGGTTCCCCAGTATGGAAAATATCGCTGTTGGCATCCAGACAAGGAAGATCGAGGGTTATCTGGCTAAAAACGGACCTCCCAAGAAAATATTTACGCTGCTTGCTCTAGACGACGCGGGGGATGAGATTATCGGAGATAGTGTGTTCCAGATGTGGCTGCAGTACGTCAAGGGTTTCAACAAGAAGAACCCGCATCACCCCGAATCGTGGTTTGACCCGCTCCAAAGCTATTATCAATCCAGTGGATTGGAAAGAATTATCGAGACGGGGATACAAAACCCAAGCACAGCGAAAATTGCCAAACTGGCGGAGCGAGAGTGGCTCAACGTGTGGTTACGTGAAGAACAGTACTCCCCCCAAGGTTGCGTTTGGTTACCTGCACCTCGACGACATTGACGAAATGACTTTACTCTCCAATTTCAAGTTCAAAATGTGGACGGAGTACCTAGACGACTTCAACCGTCTGTATCCCGAGAAAAAGACGACCATGATCGACAGCCTCAGGGCGAACTACGATGACAACCAATTACTCGCAGTGTTTACTGCGGCGAAGAAGGACCCCAGCACGGAGAAATTGGCCACAAATTTGCAGAGCGACCTCATCAGCAAGTAGATAACCGGTAAGTAGAAACCGGCGGACCTAAAGTAAACAATCCGACTTGTTGCTGCCAGCACTGACACCCCCTCACTTTCGATAGTGGGTTAGTGGTCAGGATCAGGGATGGGAAGTTTGAAATAAAGATGTAGATAGATGTGGATTTTGTAATTTAATTTATTTATCTTTTGATCCACAACTCAAAAGCGAATTATGGAGAAGTGGCTGCTTGACGGTCGTCGACGCTGCCAGCGCCAGCGCCACTTGCTAGTCTCGTTGCGCATGTCAAGCACAAGCAAGGACACCGTTTCCGCATTCCCTAAGCCCTTCGGTGACCCTCGTCAAGGCGACATGCGTCACCAGAGCCAATACTGTCCCAGCTTCATTAAAAAGTATGGTTCAGGCTGAATGACAAACACAGCAAAGACTACGTCGGCGTAACACTTGCTGCTGCTCGCAGCGGTACTGCATGCATCCTCGAGCCTGCCAACACGCTCTAGGTTGGTTTTCGCAGCAAGACGCAGCCGCTTCACTCCAAGGTACGTCGCCGCGCTTTAATACTTGCAATACAGACTACAGTATAGTGTATCATAGATACATTTTTGGTGTAAATGTGAATTATTCGAATGATATATTTTTCTGTTTCTGAGGGCCATATGCATAATTAATTCGAATTGTTCCGTCAGGGTTGGGTTTAGGATTTAGGAAATGCCTGCGGAAATCGTTCCAGTAGTATCGTTACCACAGCATTGCTGTTTATTTTTTTTCTCGTCTCCTACAATCTCATTCATTAATACGTACTGTGGCCTAGAGATAACAGCACCGAATACCGCACACCTTGAGGCACTTCCACGCACCGCTCACTTGGCAAGTGCATGTTTAAACGCAACCCAGAGCGGTCTGGGCCACCTTGTGGTCAGCACTAGTTAATACGGTAGCCTCCAGGGATATAGCAGCAGCCAGGAGTAGAACAGAATGCAGACGCATGGGCAGTTTTGCTGTTTAAAATGGCTCTTGCAACGAGACTTCGAGTGATGAAAGCGAATCGCAAAATGATACTTAGTAGTACTGAAGTACAACTCACACCCCTTGTGAGGGGCTCGCAACGTACAGGTAACGCATACATTGATTGCAGAAGAACCCGTTCTCTTGCGCTTTGCTTTCAAGCGGCAGATCTCATGCTCAGTTGTGCCAACTTGGATGTTTCTCCAGATTTCCCAACTACCATGTGCATTTTCCTTTTTGATGGTTGCAATACCATTATTATTAATAGCGGCGATACTGTTGGTGCTATGGTTACTTCTTAAATTGCAGAAGATCTTTTTCGTGTTCATGAACCTCGAGGCGTACATGAAATTCCTTAAGCGTGTTGAAACCTTGTCACATCTAATCGAATGATGAGGTGAGCACTAAAACTTCCTGTCACATCCACTTAAGTGATGAGACGAGAACCAATCCCTTGCAACTCCTTCACATGTTGGGACATATACAGCAGGAAGCACCGATCTGTGACTCCCAATACGTGTACAACAGAAGGCGCTTCTCGATAAACCCTTGATCATTTTACGCATTGCAACTTCCCGCTCCAGTCTTCATGCCGGCAATGGCCCGCCACCTCGTGGTGGTCTTACTTCTCTTCGCCTTCATCGCGCGTACCGATGCAGATACACCTTCGACAAGCTCCACCGTATTGGCGTCGACTTTCTTCGACTGGGCTGATGGCCGCACTGCGAGAGCGAGAACTGCCATCAGGGCGATGAGGTTCTTAAGAGGTAGTAGCGATGGTGGCAACAGTTACGACGACGAGAGAGGGGGGGTCGCCATACTGTCGTCGAACAGCTCAAGGTCATGTTCACAAAAGTTAGCCCCGAGAAGCTGAAGACATTTCTCACCAAGGAGAAACCGGCGGAGTGCGTTTTCGTCCGCATGGGTCTCAACAAGGCTAAGGGCTTGCTGTTCTCGACCAAAAACTACAAGAAGCTCGATCAGTGGCTCACATACGTCGACGATTTGAGTGCCAAGAACCCTGCAAAAAAGGGAATGTCCGCGATCTCGATTCTGACTGCTCACTACGACGACGCTGCGCTGTACGAGATGATTCGAATCGCCAGGACAGGGGAGTTGATTCCGGAAGCGAAGGTCATTGCCACGAGGTTACAGAAGGGCCTCCTTGAGCACTGGTTGGCCGCTGCGCAGAAGCCCGACGACGTCTTTCACTTCATGAAGCTTGGACAGGCAGGATACAGTTTCCGCAGCGACTCGGAATTCGCCGTGTGGGTCAAATACGTGGACGATCTCAATGCAAAGCACACCAAAAATCCAACGTTAATGGGCTCGACGCTGTCGGAAAACTATGATGTTGGTGCTTGTTCCGGGAAGCTGAGGCGGCGAAGAGCGTCATGAAAACCGAAACCATCGCCACCAAGTTGCAGGAAGATCTGAAATAGTTTTGGCTATACAGTCGGAAAACTCCGGATGACGCTCTGGAACTGATCGGGTTCGACAAGTCAGCGTCAATTACCTACTTACAGGGGAGCTGGTATGCAACGGTTCTGGAGGAGCCGCTGTTTCAGAGTTGAGCCAGGTATTCGAACGCTTACAACTTAAAGTATCCCGAAGACAAAATGACAATGATCGAGACCAACAAACCTTTCCGCGTGTGGGTGGCGTACATGAATACCGTTCTCCAAAGGAAACCAGACGAGGTGACTGCGCTGCTGTCGTCATTGCAGAGTTGCTTCCTGGAACGACCGCTGAACCAACTGCTCCTAGAAGCCAAGAAGTTCCCCAGCATGGAAAAATCCGTCCTCGCCACGCAGACGTGGAAGCTACAGGAGTATTTGGCGAAGAACGAATCCCCCAAAACAAGCTTCAAGCTACTAGCCCTGGACAACGTGGCTCTGTCCTCGCTGATCCGTTGTTCGCGAAGTGGATGAAATACGTTGACGATTTCAAGGTCAAGAATCCGCAGTACCAAGAATCCTGGTTTGAGATTTTCAAGCTCAATTATCAATGGCATCAAATCGAACGAATTATCGGGAAGGAGCTGAAAAATCCGGCCACCAGGAAAATTGCGGAGAAGATCGAGGCGCAGTGGATTAAACACGAGCTAGATGGAAAGAGCCTTCCAAAGGACGTATTCGCTTCGCTGAAGGCCAAGTTCGCGAACGAAAATCCACTTTGAGTCCGATGTTCGAGTCGTGGGCAAAGTACCTGAAGCGATTCAACGAAAGGTTTCCCAATGACAAAACGACGATATTCGACGTCCTCGAGGCGAGCTACGTCGACACACAGCTGCTGAGGATTCTCTATGCGGTGGAGAAGAACCCAAAGAGCACCAAGGAACTGAAGGCGCTGGCGACTGACCTGCAGAGCGCTCTTATCAGCAAGTGGCTGGATGCAATGGAGAAACCGGCGGATCTTCGAAGGTGGTTTCAGGACGTACCATCCGCCGACGATATGATAGACCGCTACACGCAGAAGCTCCACGCGTTGTCGGGGAACACCTCATAACCGCGTCTCGTGCATTGAATTCGGGTCGAACTGTTGGCTAGGGAAAAAACCATCGTGCGTCTTCTTTCAGAAATACAGTGTTAGAAACGCTTGATGCCGAGTTTTCAATTTCCATTTTAAAAGTATGTGTGCTGTTAAGGAGCTCGACCAGTTTACCGCAATGTTTTACTTTTTCCGCGGAAAAATGGTCATAACTTTTTTTCTAGACATCCTCTCAGAAATTTAAAAATATGCCGCAAATCTACAGAAACTCGCCTACAACAAGGTGATCTTGTCGTGGTTCTAGTGTTTTGCAAGCGAGCTACCTGCATCAAGGAAAAACCAGGATGCTTTGACGAGCGCCGGCCAGTTTAGCGCAGCGATACATATTGGGGTTTGTATGACGAAGCATCCCCCATTGCAGAAAACGCGCAATGTGTTACAGGAAGAGCCAAAATCTGTACGCTCTTCACCAAAGTGCGTACTTTTTTCACCACAAGGGCCAAGGGGGATGGATGCTTCGTCATACAAACCCCAATATGTATCGCTGCGCTAAACTGGCCGGCGCTCGTCAAAGCATCCTGGTTTTTCCTTGATGCAGGTAGCTCACTTGCAAAACACTAGAACCACGACAAGATCACCTTGTTGTAGGCGAGTTTCTGTAGATTTGCGGCATATTTTTAAATTTCTGAGAGGATGTCTAGAAAAAAAGTTATGACCATTTTTCCGCGGAAAAAGTAAAACATTGCGGTAAACTGGTCGAGCACCTTACCCACTAGAAGCACTGGAATTCGAGGCCCGTCGTGTTTTGCTTTTTTTTGTTGGCACAGCGCGCGATAGTATGCATATTATGCATACATTACTGGTCTTAATCCACCGGAGATAAAGGCTCGCAACAATACTCCGAGTCCGAATAACATGAACCAATGAAGATTTTCGTAGCGATATGAATTTCCTATGGAGCGGGTCTGTTCCCACAGTCACATCTAGCGAGGTGATGAGATGAGTACCATTCCCTTACATGATTGTGCGGTGCTGTACATCTGAATCTGTTTAGATACAATAACAGCGAACGTAAACTACGTCAGAGTGGCTTCGTACACCACCAGCTCCTTTGAACATTTTTTTTCTTCATTTTCCAAATTCGCTTCAGTCGTCTCTTGATGGACTTCCACGTCCTCTTGGGCTTGCTTCTCCTCGCCTTTATCGCGCGTATCGACGCAAATGCCCCAGTGAGAGGGTCCACAGTACTCGAGTCCGACTTTTCCAGCTGGCTAATGGGGTCCGTCCTGCAAGCGACTGGCATCTCCGCGATGAGGTCCTTAAGAGATATCGTCGGCGGCGGCGATGACGAGAGAGCGGGAGGGAACCTACTATCATCCATTCCGCTGCTCGAAAAGGTCAAGGCCGCGCTCACGACTTACAACATCAGCCACAAGAAGCTTGGCAAATGGCTCGATAAGGGAAAATCTGCTGATATTGCTTTCGTTCGCATGAGTCTCACCCCGGTTAAGGAGGGGTTATTCCATAGTCCCCGGCTCGCTAAGTGGCTTTATTACGTGGATGAGTTGAATGCCAGAACTCCTGGAAAGGGAACGCCCGCGATCTCGACACTGATCAAGCACTACGGCAACGCCAAACTATTCGACATGATTAAATTTGCCAAGCAATCTGCCAATGCAGAGACAGAGGCACTGGCCGTGAGACTACAAAGTGAGCAATTGCAGCGCTGGTTGGCTGCTGTGAAAAAGCCCGATGAGACGTTTCATATTATGAAGCTAAATGTGCGATGGTACAAATGAAACGGATGGCGGGGTCCCACCTGGATACCTATCTGATGCCGGTATCAGATAGGTATTATGATCTTCGAATTACACAATGTGCGATGTAGTCGTTGATGCTGTTTTCTAGCAACTTCTTCTTGGGTATGATGGCGAGTGACCAAGTATTTCGAAGTAGATCGTTTCAGACTCATGTTCTTGTTACCCAGCTTGTACTCGTGCCAGGGTATGCATGCCGCTCTGCCTTCGCCTATGATAGAACATAGATTTATTCAACTGTTCACCCGTGAAGCTCCTACAACGCCGTCGTTCTCTGTTGGTCGCCTACAGAACGCTTGCGCATTCGATCCACTTTATAAATCAAAAATGGAAATGACGCGATAAACATGCCCCCTCACTCTCGAAAATTAAATAAATAATTGCCGATACTAGACCTGTTTAGTGCAGTGCCCACAAATGCACTAAAGTACTTTAGTGCACGCGCTAATGTCCAGCATCAGTTGTGTGCAGGTGCGCCAAAAGTGCACTAAAGTACTTTAGTGCATCTGTAGGGACTTTCGTGCACTGCACTAAACAGGTCTAGCCGATACCGATGAATTCGGATGGGGGGGCCCGGGGTCCCGCCAACTGTTTCAAATATCTGGAAGACCCGGAGTTCGCCGTTTGGGTAAAATATGTGGACGACTTCAACGCAATGTACCCTAAGCACCCCACGTCGATGGCAGCGTCACTAATGAGCTACAAATCTGGCGGTCGTCTGTTCAAAGAAGCCGAGGCGGCGAAGAGCGTACCAAAGAGCGAAAGCGTCGCCATCAAGGTACAGGAGGATCTAAGAGCTTACTGGCTAAACAGTGGGAAAACACCTTTTGACTTGCTGACCGAGCTCGAATTTGGGTATGCGGTAATCTACAAGAAGTTCCACTACAAAACCGTTTTGGAGAAGCCGCAGTTTCATACGTGGTCCAAGTACTTGGAAGATTTCAACGCGAAGTATCCTGATCAGAAGACGGCAATGCTCGAGGCGTTAACGCGGAAATTCGATGACTCGGACGTGGCAAGGATGATTCAAGTAGCAAAGGCTGAAGGGTCCACGCGAAACATCGCCGCCAAATTGGAGACTGCGCAACTGGAGATGTGGTGGAGCAGCGGGAAATCTGCCGAGGACGGGCTCAAACTACTATGGATAAATTTTGATCCTGGATTTACTACCGCTCCCCTCGTACATGGATAAATATCTGAGGACGAACCCCAGCGAGGCAACTTCGTTGTTGTCAATGGTGAAGACTTACTTCGAGGACGAACCTCTGGGCCGAATTAGCCAAGCAGCCAAACAGCACCCCAGTATGGGGGCGTGGGCTAAGACCACGTAGAAAAGAGAGTGGCCTCCTTGTGTGCATTTGGTCGGATACCAGCAAACAGTGCCAAGTGTATTGGTTAGATCGTGCGTTTTGTCTAGGGCGTGTTAATCGCGTTCGGCGCGCCCCGCGTAACTATGCTTTTTTTTTACGACGCATGGTGGGTCAAAGGGTCTTCAGAATATCTAACGGATGCTTGCTACAGCACTGAGGTATTCCTTTGCCTGCTCCACAGTAGTGTCCGTCGCAATCAGGTCTGCTCGTTGCGTGAATATGTTCGCGGGCTAGATGGCACAAGTTAGTTCAGCATGAACTACGTTGGCGGCACGATTGTTTTTCTTTATTTACCGGGCTTTTGACCGGAAAAGTCCTTTATCAATCCTCCCAGCTGCGACGCCGGAGAGGGCGACGAGTTTTGCAGCTAAAAGCGACCACGGAAACCGATTTTGGAAGCGTGAGGCGCTGATGGTTGGCAGCTTTGTTGGGAATGCCGAGGCATATTTCGACTTGTACTTCGTGTTAACGCTTCTGTCACGTTTGCGCAGCGAGGATAGAACTCGACTTGCCGGCAAAGGTGCGATGTTCCAGGAGCACAACGAGGCGGTGACACGGTGGGCTTTGGATGAGTTCCAGACTTCCCCATTGCGGTGCACGTAAGCCTGAAGCTATAATACCACGACAACGTTATTCGAGCGATTCTATCGCCAGATGCAACTGCACTAGCAGACGCGCTTACGCTGTAGCTAAGCATTGGCCCAGCCTTAACTTGAAGCCTCTGCAGACACTCAAGCCACTCTAGTCGCCCCCCACACTCACTCGGGCACCAAACAATCATCCCACCGAAAAGACAAACACTACAATTTGGAGAGGGGCCGAACGCAACGACAGTCGTGTGTATTGATTCATCAGCCGCGACACACCGTCGTCTTCTTCACTGCGCAAAATTAAAGCTCAGCGAATAGACCTGGTCGCCAGCCGCAGCTTACGCGATGATCTAACGCAGCAACGTCCCGTGCGCTCTTTGTGAAATGGGTTCCACTTCCCGACCGCGAGGAGCGAGAAAGAGCCAAGCCAAGTCTGCAGAGGAAGATCGAGCGCTTACTTGAGCTTCTTCTTGATGCGCAGCTGGTTGCTGTGGCCGCATTTCTTCTTGCGGCAGTTGGTGGCACGGGGCGGGAGACGCGCGTAGCAGATGCGGCAGATCTGCTTCTCGCAGTTCGTCTTCTTGGCCAGGGCGGCGAGCGTGGGCTCGATGGCACCACCACGCAGGCGCAGCACCAGGTGGAGCGTCGACTCTGCAATAATAAAAATACCAAAGAATTAGCCTCCGAATTGCCGCAACTCGGTCATTTTGAGCGTATTGAGACGCACCCTTCTGGATGTTGTAGTCCGAGAGCGTGCGGCCGTCCTCGAGCTGCTTGCCGGCGAAGATCAGGCGCTGCTGGTCAGGCGGGATGCCCTCCTTGTCCTGGATTTTCTGCTTGACATTGTCAATGCTGTCGGACGGCTCCACGTCCAGCGTGATGGTCTTGCCCGTCAGGGTCTTCACAAAGATCTGCATGATTCCCTGCAAATAATAGACACCCCTGCTGTCAGCCTCCTTCTTGTTCCCTGCTAATTCGTCGCGTAATTCGTCGTCGTCGCGCTGCCATCCGCCCCTAATAAGCGCCTGCTAAAAGCCTGTCATCTCCTCCGAGAGCTGTTTCTCCGCCTGTAGAGCGAGTTCCCGCGCGCCGACGGCGCAGACGCGCAGATCGGACGCACGCGCACTACGCGCGCGGGCTAGAGGCGAGCGCGCACAGGCGGCGGACGCGCGCGGCGACATGCAGCGACAGAGCCCAACGCACCTTTCCTCTCGCAAAATGAATGCCCACTGACGGCGGCCGCAGAGGTTTCGGACCAACCAAGTGTCGGTATACAAACTCCAAGTCAGAGGGCACCTGCACTATCGGCCACTCAAAGGCGAGGAAAAAACGCAGGGGAGGCCGACGCGGTCCGCGGTTCATCGGACCGGTTCGGGAGGGGTAGGGGTATTTAAGACGGTTAGTCAATCAGGTTGCGCTACAAATTGCGTTGAAGTGGACACCTTGAAGTGGACGATACGTCCACCACTGAAGGACACAAGCTAGATACAGAGTCCGAGGGATAAAGAGTGCAATTACGGACATTACAGGTCTGGTAATTTACCAGTTAAAGTCGTCCCAGTGGTTCACTTGGGGCATGCAAAGAGCCGCGCTCTGTCGACTTCCTCGCCCTCATCCCACCCGAACTCCTTCAAAAGTCCCTGGCCGGTAACTTCCGAGAACGTGAACATCGGCAGCATCTCCTTCTGAACGACGACGAATATCTCCACAGTCTTGACCTCGAAAGACGCAGCGTCTCGAAGAAGGCAGAGCAGCGCGCTGAAGCAGCCAATGTCGAACTTGTGGTCATGTGCCTGCGCCAATTGGACGAAGCGAACAAGGCCTCGCTTCTTGTTCACATATACGGCGTCGTAGCCTCCGCGATCGTACTTCAGTGGCTTAAACCAGCCGATCGCTGGTAGCACGTACATTTTTCGAGTCAAGGACTTGACATCGGTCTTCCGGCCAGAAAACGTTGCGCTCGCTGGAGTTCAAATGGATCCCTCCCTTGCGGATGCGAGCAAGGAAAGGCATTTCTTGCACCCATCTAGTTGCCGCAGCACAGCTCAGTATGCTTCTGTGTCTTTTAACTAGCGCAGGTCCACCAAACATCGCAACGGCTGAGCCAGCATATCGACTAATTACTGTTTGCCAGCCAGAACCCCGATCTCTGCTGAGAAGGTCATTGTATCGCTCAATCGAGCACTGTCCGTCGACAACGTCTTCGATAATCTCATTCATCCACGGCACGACCTCCGATGCCCGATAGCCAAACATGTATCGCGCACTTCCATCAGCAAAATAGTACTTTGATTCCACGAGCGACCGGCGCCAATCTTCCATGGAGGTGGAATCCGTAAGCTTGGGCATATCGGATGCGTCAAGTTGAGGCTCAACGGCGTGAAAGAGCTCCTCGTTTGTAATTGCTTCGAGATATTCGTCCAGCGTCCACGAGGACATCTTGAACTCCTCAACATTGAGATTGGTAGCATCATCCAAGTTCTTTATGGTGCGATGCGGCGTGGAGATCACTGCAAGTCGTCGAGCATCCCAATTCTGCCTGAGCCAGCCGGTGCAAACCATCACTTCATTTCTGTTGCCATCCCCCACTACTTCGTCGAGAAACGCGATGTGCTGTTTTGAATCTTCAATTTCGTTCAAAATCGTGCTCAAGTCTTCTAGATAAGGCACGGTCAACTCGGTGGTTTTCTTGGAGTTGCCTTCCAGACGAACACAAATCGGAGGTTCCTCACGCATGAGTTGAATCCACGTGACTACCCATTGGCAAGTGTGAGCAAGTGCCAAGGCAAACGCAATAGAAGCTGCAGACTTGCCCGACCCCGTTGGGCCCGACACGTATCCGGTGCGTCCATTTCGCACAACTTCGTCTCGCAAAAACTCGACCAGCTTTGCAGCGTCTTCACGGCAAAATAGTGGCAGCATGCTACCGGGAACAGGAACTCCAAAGCCTGCGATAGCTGCGCGGTCAAGCTTCCAGACTCGATCATTAGCGCCGCTTAATGGTAGCACGGATGCAGTTGGATCCAGCGTTGTTGCCCGTTGCCACAAGGTTTTCTGCCGCTTGAATGATTGCAGCGGCACTACTTCCACGATCATCGCTTGGGCCTCGTCCTCTCCAAGCCCAGCCACTAATCTCGATGATCGAAGGAGCTTCCGCCTCGTTTTGTCTTCATAGACTGCTCGATTCTCGTAGACCTTCAGCTGAGCACTGTCAACGTCTTCGAGCTGGCCGTCGTTATACATCGCCTTGACCGCACCTCGGAGCTTGACGACGTCTGCTTCACCAGCTAAATCCTCCACGTAGTCTGTCAGAGCCAATGCTTCTCCGTCTTCACTCACCTACTGGAACCACCGCTTCATCGTGATAAGCAAAATTATTCTTTGGTTGAAAACTGCGAGGCTTTTTGATGGAATGCGATTTGTCAGTGAGCAGAAATTACGAAATGAACCTCCAAAAATCTACCCACAGTAAAACAGCCCATATAGTTCGTGACGCTGCGAAATCGCTTTCTTCTCGTCTGCTAACGGGTGCAGATCCAGTCAATCCTTAAGATTCTTGACTCAAGAATGCTAGCTTTTGAACCGACGCTCTGAGCAAATAGTGACACGTGATCCGTTAGCATGGCGATACAGTTCCATCGCTTCACGGCTAAAGAAGGAAAATACGCTCTTCTCCGCCAATCTTGAACCACAACTTGCTTCGAGACGAGCGGTTCGACAGTTGACCATGGTGAATGGGCCCCTTCATGGCATGAGTCAGGTGAACTCACCAGTCGTACAAGAAAGACACGAAATGAATCCAAGCGCTGGAGGGCGACGGGAATCTGAAGATGCTGGGTTCACTTTGCAAGAACCTCGATGCATGCACTCACGCTCAAACTGCACGCGCTCTGAGCTGCACGGCGGACTCTGAGGCACGGCGAAGGTTGAAGCACTCCCCCGGAATCAGACAGCGAGGCGAAGTGCCATCGGAGCCCGTGATTGGCTGACAACTTCAACATGGGTGGTCCACACCTATGATCAAGTTGCACTTTTCGCGATCATTGGATTGCGGGAATGCGCTGATGATTGCTTGTCACCGCTCGAGTTGGACCATTGCGCGCCGCGCGCGAGTAGACGGAGGATGCGCCGCGTGCCATCCCGTGCCATGCCGGACTCGCCCGTTCGGACACCTCGATGGCGACTGCGACAGGCTTGCAGAGGGTGTGCCCAAGTTATTCGTCGCTCGCGTGAGGGCGGCGCGCTGCAAACAGGGCGAAGTCTGCATGGTGTCATCGTTGCTTCAAGCACAAAAGCACGCGGCGACTTGACACAAGCCACTTCAACGATAGCAAGGCGGCCATGACGGTCGGCGTTCGGGGGTTCAAAGCAGCAGGCAGGCAGGGGCAGCCTTTGCTTCGCAGCACCTGATGGTTGATGTTTAATTGATAGTTGCTAATGGCTCGCGTGGCTGCGCGCCGTAGATAGCGTTCAATGCTGCTGACTGGTGATCGATTTAGCCGTGAAAAAATGGTCTGAAACAGTCGAAGCAGCACTCGGATCACCGGGACAGTTGCCGTTACCATCTATCTATCCTCGCTCGCACCGGTGCTTCACGCGGTCGGCGCGTCAACAGCGCACCTCGACTGTGCCGCCGCGCCAGCTGGGGCGCCGACCAGGCAGCTTCACACAAGACACAACTGAATTCAACGGCTCCGAGGCAAAGAGGGGCAACAACAGCAACAACAGCAACCAGTCTGATATGGAGAAGCTCCTCACTAAAATTGGAGCACCATCGTACCTGCCCACTCCAGCTGAGGTGCTCGACGGCGTCCGATGGCTGCGCGAGAACCCGGCCATCGCTGCGGGAGTCGTCGTGGGACTAACCAGCTACTCCGTGGCCAAGTACTACGAGTACGGAGAGGACAGCGACGAGAGCGACGAAGAGAATGACGAGAACGTCGACCACCAAGACAATGCGCCACGAGCAAGCCCAGAGGAAATTGCACGGTCCGTGACGGCATTGCACCTCGGACTGCTGAAGATTGACGCGACCAAGAGGGACCGACGACACAGCGCTGCCAGCTCCGCCAGCACAGCATCGTCACTTGCGAGCTCCGGTGGACTTCGTTCCCGTGCCAGCTCCGTGTTTGACAAGGCCTACCACGAGGTGCGTTCCGGGCTGGAATTGTAGTGGGTTTGCCAGCATCTGTGGATGCTAATGATCACTTTGTGTGCTTGTGTGGCTTCAGGAACTGCAGCTCCAAGAGCAGGGCGTGGAGCAGGTCTGGTCCTGTTTGCACGAGGGTGAATGCCCACCTGGAGAGAACTGCAGCGACCCTGTGTGGGGGTGGTTTGTGCCTGCTGCCAATGCCTCCCCAACAAACAAACCGTGAAGAACAGTCACAACCAACCCAACTCCGCGCTCCAGTTCAAGACGCAGAGAGCCATATTTATACGTTCACGACGCTGAGAGCCAAGCATCGAGAAGCTCAGCACGGAGACCATACAGTGCCCAAGTGCGCGCACACAGCTAACCTAAGGCCAAGCGATGTCAATACACGGAGCCATTTGCCACGTCGTCACCTCATTGATTTTTGCCGTGTGCAACAAGTTGAAGATCAACTTGGCTACATCTGAACCGTACTTATTCGGAACATAGCTTCATTACGTACTCCACACCAACCATGTCAACACGGGGTGTACCATTTCCATGGTACAGCACAGGCGTGCGGCCAACAATTCGTTGGTGTCTCCATCGCGCGCAGTAGCCCCAGCAGCTACAGTAGGTACTGCCGTCGCACCGTCGAGACAGCGAAGGAGGCCGCCATGACGTACTACCGCATCGGTCAGCGGCTCAAGATGACGCGCGCAGTCGCCAGGGCAATGGCGCGCTCGTCCGCGGGCAAGCGCAACTCCGCCACCATCGAGAAGATGGTGCAGACCACCAAGAGCCGCTTCGGCAGCGCCGTACGTCGTCTCCCAATGCTCCTTCAGCTTTGAAATGCATTGCTAACTTGTGGGTGGTTGGATTGACAGGTGGGTCGGCCGCTGGGCGCCGCGATCGCGACGTTCATGGACTCTGGCGTCGCGTTCAACACATCGTCCGAGTTCCTGTTCTTCGACGGAGAAGACGACGACGGAACGTAAGAACTTGCGCTTTGATTTCCCTTCTGTGTGGTGAAGACTTTTCGCGCCACGTGACGCTTCGAAGAGCTTTTGCATTAAGGCACTGCATACTGAAGAGCGTTGCGTGGTGCATCGAGACTTCCACAACCTTGACGAGTTTTTTCGGTGCGCTGACGACTGAGCAGTTAATATCCGCTGTGATTCCGTGCAATTAGATAACAGGCCGATCGGGTGGACAACTACAATGGACACAAGCGATCAGCCTTAAACCACAGCAGAAGATCAATGGATGGAGACGTGCGCTGGAAGGAGGGAGAAGATGACACTTTAGACCTCGATGCACCCGCAAGCGCCGCAACGTTAGATAGAGTACGAGACCCGAGTGTATTGGACTGTTAACGAGGACAAACAAAGACACTTTGGGCCACAGTGTTAGATGCAACACCGACCGTCTTCCACTCATCTAATCAAGCACCTCTGTCTCTTTTGACTTGCACTTTGTATGCTCGCGTTTCTAGGCCGATTACGAATTGAGAGACCACAAGTCAAATCTCCACCGTACAATAGCTCTACTGTAGCTCAGTGGCAGACACGCCTCGACCTGTAGACGACTGCAAGTATGGCGGACTCGAACGAACTGCGCGTGAGCGAGCACTTCCCGCGTGTGCCCAAGCCCTGCGAGAAGGTGGCGACCAAGTTCTTCGCGTGCTTCTACGAGCACGGCAAACAGCCCGCGGGCCAGTCCGACACGGAGGTGGGCAACGTCGCGCTGGAGACGTGCAAGGACTCGCTGCTGGCCTACAACGCCTGCGTGGACGCCGAGGTGGCCAAGAGCCCCAAGGAGCTCTTCCGTGTGCCCGAGGCGTACCGTATGCGCGAGTAAATAAATACTGCTTCATCCAAGATCATTAACCGATTGAATACACTGCAGTACTTACAGTAAACCAGGGGCTGTAAGGATGCATCTGGCTTGCCTCCATGGCGCTTCTTGTGTTTACCACTGTGTATAGTATCTTTGCATCTGCAGACTTAACCAGACGTGAAGGCAGCGAGAGAGAGCGAGATAGAGGCACAAACCCACTTCAATTTCCGTGTTGAGAAGAGTTGGCATTTTAACGAGTCCAAGGCACAGGCGTCTCTGCTCCCACCAAACACCAAACAAAACACTTTGACTCTCGAGGTCGTGTGTGCCGTGCTGTGCCGTTCAGTAAACGAGCTCGAGTCTTCCCGTATCTTTGGGCGCAGGAGATTTCTTTGTCCGAACGACCGCTTACTGCGTGTCCTTCTCCCACTCGAGGTTGGCGATCTCGTCGTCGATCTCCTCCTCCACCTCCGGGTACATGGCCGTCACCTCGTCCATGGTGGTGGCCAGCGTCGTGCGGGTCTCCTCCATCAGGCCGATCAGCTCCTTGAGCTCCTCAATGCGGGCCTTCGAGTCCGCCACCTTCTCGTTCAGCTGGGCGAACTACACAACCCCCAAGCACACACAAGAAATACACCGTCAGTACCCAAATCTACAAATGCAACAACAAATAATGACTAGGACAGTGGCGTACCAGCTTGTCGACGGTCTCCTGCTCGTTGAGACGCAGCTCCTCGGGGAGGTCGGCCGACTTGGAGGCGGCGTCCAGCTCCTCGGGGGAGATGGTGGGGAAGGAGATGCTCTTGTAGTTGGACTCCATGGCGTCCACCAGCTCCTTGTTCTTGATCACCGAGCGGTAGTAGTCGAAGTCGATGGCCTCGGGCTCCTTGACGTACGTGCGGGCCTCGGCGGCGATCTGGCCGTGCACATCGCGCAGGCTGTCCAGGGCGGCGCGCGCGCGCGGGTCCGTCAGCTTCTGCGAGATGGCGGTCCACTCGATGGCGCGCGTCTGCAGCGCGCGGCGCACAACTTGCTTGCGGAGCTGGAGCATCTTAGCGGGCGGCGAAGGTCACTTGGCTAATGTAAAGCGGGCGGCTCTGGACGGCCTTTAGCCCCCTCGTTAAAATTCAGGGGCGGAGAGCGAGCTACTGCCGAAAACGCATACCCCTGAATATCTACAGCAATGAACTCTGCATCCCAAGCATAACGCTATGGATAACAACCTGTCTAAAATGAATACGCGAATCGTCCGGTGGTATTGATTGACGCGCGCAATTCGGCTCGGATACGCTCTACGATTCAAATGTGAATCGTGCTCGTCACATAGGACCCGCCCAGCAAGTCGAGCCCAACGTTAGTGCTGCTGCCGCACACATCAACTCGCGCGGTGCTGTGTGTAGACGAAGAATTGCAGGCAAGATGAACGCGTTCCCGATGGAGACCGGCTGGCAGAAGATGAAGCGCCGCTGCCAGGAGGAGCCGCTGGTGCCGCTGGGCTGCCTGGCCACGGCCGCCGTGCTGGTTGGAGGCCTGGCCTCCTTCCGCCGCGCCGCCGACGCCGCCACGCAGCAGAAGTTCATGCGCCTGCGCGTTGCGGCCCAGGGCGCCACCGTCGTGGCCATGTCGCTCGGAGGCTTCATCGCCATCAAGCCGGACGAGGACGAGAACAAGAGCAAGCACAGCTAAAGGGCTCAGAGGTTGAAGAGGAAGAGGAAGAGCTGCCAGGTTGAAGCGCGGAGGCATAACGGACTCCATGGCATTACCAGTGCTAGTGACTGACGCTTTCGTTGGTCACTCGTGGTTTTATTTGATTTTAAGCTAAGAAGAACATGAAGAAGATGAGGAAGACCAATAAGATAGCGGAGACCTTGAGCGCCAGCAGTCTATTGTTCGACAGGCTCGAGAAGTACTTGAGCAGCTCCTGCTCGCCGCTGCTCACGTTCACGAGCGAGTCCTCCACGTTATCATCGATTCTGCAGACAGCAACGTAGTAGGTAGCAGCACACCATCAGCACAGCACACTCACACAGGCTTCAACATACTATGGACATACCTTCGCACGAGGTCTCCCTGCTCGTGGATCAATGTTGACAGTCGTCCGAAGAGCTGTCCGATGTCCACGATGTGGCTCTCAATCTGGGACACGGCCTCAGCTCTCGACTCGGTGTAGTTCTGCTGCTCAGCCACGATTTGCTCCTGTGTCATGGTGGTGATGAGGGGCTGGATCTCCTCGTTCGACGACTCGCTGGCACTAACTCCTGGTCGGGGCAGCGTGCTGGACAGGTTCACTTCCTGCAGTCTACCGGTGTGGCTATTGTTGCTGCGCGGCGGCTGCGGGGCCTTGAAGGCCAGTGGCTTGCCCAGCGCGCTGGACGCCGTCTTGCCGTACCTGGCGCGCCTGCTCTGCTGAAGCTTCATATTCTCCTGCCTGACCTCTAGGATGTCCTTGAAGCCTCTGGTCGTGGCCATGAGGTTGGACTTCATGAGCGACACGATGGCGTCCGAGTGCCTGGCCGCTTGCCTCGAGGGCGCCGACTGCCGCTTGCTGTTGATGTATTCCTGCAGGTTGTCCAGCTGCATGTTGATGTCCGTGATGTCCTTCTTCACCAGCGCCGCCAGCTCGTTGATGGCCTCGGTCGGGTCGTTGAACATGTTGTTCTGCCGCACCACTGCAGCAACAAACAACACAATTAATGACACAAAACATTAGCTCCTGCAGCATCTCTCTCAAGTCGAGTAAAGTTGCGCGTACACTGCGTGAGTTGCTGCAGCCGCTTGGAGGCCTGGTATACTTCCTTGGAGATGTCGGAGGCCGCGGCGTTGAACTGCGCGTTCTCCTGGAGCGGCGTGTGCACGGGTTTCTGCAGTAGTGACGTGGAAGGGTCTTGCGTCAGCTTCAGGGGGCGATAGAGAGCGGTGTTGGGAAGATGGAGGAGATGGAGAACGTACCTGCAGAGAAGCGCTGCCCTTGGCGGCCGCATAGTGCTGGCAGAGCTGCGCGAAGTCGGCCGTGCGGTTCGCCGCCATGGCTGCGGCCTCGCTCCTCCTTCTTCTCGGGCTCGAGTGCCGAATACTGCTAAAATGCATCCAGTTACTTCAGACAGGCGATGCTACTTCAGAGACGCGTGGGCAGGTCTGATAGTAACTCTTCAAAAGGTATATAGTAAAGTGCATGAACAATTCTACCTTTTTAATACTAGGCGAGATCTAAAACAATACAGTAGTAGTACAATAAAATACTACTGTCGATCACCAGCGGACACAGACACGGATTAGGGCTTCCTTGGGCCAAGGGAAGGTGTGGAATGGCTGCGGTTTACAGGACTGAGCTTCAAGAGAGGCACAAAATGTCTCCAGTAATCATGTAGTACTAATAACGGTGAAATGTTCTACTATCAATGAAAGTAGAACATATGAGTAAAATACTAATACCATTATAGCAAATATTTCGTCACTGAACTAAATAAATGTACTATTGTAAAAAATCATATTTACTATCGACAGGTGTGCTTGTCGTTGAAGTGGGGCTGTATTGGATTGGGCCCGACGTTTGTTTTTACAAGTCGCAACTTCGTGCGGAAACGCAGAGGTTATGGAGCAAGCCCCGCATATCAATTACAAAGATGAACTCGCATTTTGTCCAGCCAGATAAATGAGCTTGCTGCCCTTCGCTGAACGCACCACATGTAGTTTTCAAGTAGTGGGTCATGGAACATTACGCCGGCAGTTTTTTTCCTTACCGTAATTTACCACCGAGAACATTCCTGAAACCTTCTTTCGGGACAGCAGCGATTTCAACGACGACCCCTCTCGACCACTTGAGAGCGAGAGGTAGTTTTAGAACCTCTGAACCGGTCAGATCTGATAGACGTTGATTTGACGACGCCCACTTTATAGCGAGAGCCGCGTCTTTTGGATTTTAGGGCGTTTCGGGACCGCTCGTTCAAACTATATTGATAAAACCAATAGAACATTACGCCGGCAGTTTTTATTTTCATAATTTCTTACCGTAATTTACCTCCGAGAACGGTGCTAGAACGATCTTTGTGGATAGTCGTCCGTTTTACCAACACGACCTCTCAACCACCTCAGAGCTCGAGGAGGCGTCCCGTCAGCCAGCGACCAGACGCGCGACCCTGTAGTCGTGCAGGATCGCACATACGAGGGTAAGATGAAACTCCCAATAATTACTGGCACATTACCACGTCATTTTCAGAATTAATTTTATTTCAAAAAAATTAAGAGGCTATGTATATAGATACCCACACATAGAACATGACGATCGAACTATCTTTCGGAAAATACAAAGGTCAATCCATTGAGGATGTATTCAAGAATGATCCTGGATACTGTCGTTGGATACTGTCGTTGGATTTACAACCAACCCAGTCTCAACATTAGCGAGGAAATGAAAATCTTTTTTCACTCAAGATTCCTAAATAACGATAACTCCTATATATGACGTGGGGTAAGTATCGAGGTAAATCTTTACAGCAGATCAGTAAATTGGATCCAGGCTATCTCGATTGGCTAAGAAAAAGTCAATTCGTGATTGACAAGTGTCCAAAGCTACCCAAGGAACTGAACTAAAAAATATCTCTTTTTTTACTTACGCTGTAGTGAAGTCTAGAACCTCTCCGGTTAGTCTATCGAACGTTAGTTCCTGTTCGCTAATTACGAGGATCAGCATATTCACACCTTGGCATCCGGCGTTCGTATCTTGGATCTGAATAGCCTGAGGTACATCGCGCTCAGTCAGGCGACTGACATCGGCAATAAGCATGCGGTTTGTGAGCGACCACGTCTGATAGTCAAGTAGACCATTTTACGAGCTCAGGGGTTAGATCTCCGTTAATCGCTGAAATCTTAGCAATTTCGTTGGTAAAGTGGTGGAAATCATAGTCATGACCGATATCGAACACCTGAGTCGAGCCAATACGAACGTTAAAGTTGCGAATCGACGACCCGGGCTGAAGCGTGTATGGAGAGCTGTCGAAGGGGCTCTGGAACTGCTGAATAGTAGCAGAAGCAAAGTTGTTTGTCTGTTCCGCGAATGATAAAAGCACAACATATTTCGCGTTTTTAACACTTGCCGATAGCTGTAAATCGAAAGAAGCATTTAGTTGAGTCGAGGACTTACCAATACCAGCACGCTGGTAAAACCACTGTGCGTAGCAATCATTGTAGCGAACCTTCTTAACCGGCTTAGAGATAATAGCTTGAGGGTTCTCAAGATGAACGAAAGGGACATGCAAACGAGCAGTAGTAAAAGGCATGTATGTACCATCGATGGTAGGTTCAAGAGCATTTACAACCGCTCCCCAAGCAACACTAAAGCCAGCAGACACGGCAAGCCCACCATTCATTGGATTACCGGTAGCAGAAGCGGCAATCATGACCGGACAACTATTACCAGACGATAGAGTTGTAGAGGTTAGCGACATACCATTTGAAGCATCTACCGCGACTACAGACGTTTCCTGATTCACACGGAAACGCAGGCGAATTTGAGGGTTAGCCATTAAGTCAAGCTCACGGAAGATAGGATGCAGATCGGTGAGCTTAATCTTAAGCATGTAGTTCCACGTTCCCATGATTGCGTTAGCTGCAGTACCACCAGCTACGAAAGCTCCACGCGAGGTCTGGTTAGAAATGGTAGTCGATGCAGCAGCACCACCTACCGACGGCCACGAACTGGAGAAGTCAGCGCCAGCCGTAGGAGGATTCGATAGAAGGCGCTTAACGAAACCATCATTAGGAATAGTTGCACCACCAGGAGGAGCCGAGACAGCAAAGGAAGACGAGAATACCATGGTGTTTGAATATCCATCACCACTGGTAGATGCGGGTCCAGAACTGTATGATACCGACTGAGCAGCGTCAGGGTACAAGAACGATTCAGCTCCGTGCTTTTCAACGTACTGAGGGCTGTAGCCAGTCTGAGCACGAACGTTGTTCCAAAAGAGCTTGTAGTCAGCCATAGAGACGATAGTCTTTCCGTTTAGTTCCAGACTCAGACTATCAATAACGTTCCAATTTCCGCATTTTAGAGTAGCACATAGACGATTGGCAGCGGCAGTTTGAGCAGTGCCACCATTCTTCATTGAGACCTTGTAGGGAAGCATAATGTAGGCATCACGAAGGCTTGCGAAGCCCTCGGAACCGTTAAGCTGAGCCGTAGCATCGATAGTGATGACACCATTCTGGTACGAACCCTGATTTAGGTCAATAACGTGCGGTACACGCTTGCTCGAAGATACCTTGATCTCCGGGTCGCTCTTAAGCGAGCTCTGGTACAAGTACTGATCGGATAGTTGAGTTTCGCTCATTGTTGAATCTATATGGATCCTAATATAGTTTGATAAAATTAAATATTATGTCGCACCTCATCAAGCCAATCACCTCAGATCATGATCTCATCGAACTCGCTGAGAAATGAACGTTCAACTCGATAATATATTCGAATCAAATGAGATAAAGTCCCATCCCCCCAAGAAAGGGTCATTTCTGATTCTACTTCGCCCTCCTAATCTTGAGGTAGGACACTGGACGGCGGTTCATAATGGTGAATTCTACGATAGTATGGGGGAAGGACCACCAAAGAAGTATGGTATCGATCGATACAACACCAAGCAATACCAAGGAACCTATGGAGACTACTGTGGACCATTCTGTGTCCTATGGCTATATTCGAAGCAATACCGTAAGCCAAATGTATTCAAAACAATGAAAGATCTAAATTTGGCAATTCTGGAACAAATTTAATTCAACGTATATAGTAATCATGTATCGCGAATTAACAATCTCCAGTGATATTCCTGCGCGGAAGCTTACCAAAGCTTTCAAGACTGGTAAGCTCAGCCTCACCTCAAGCGAACTAAAGGGTAGTGGTTCAGTCATCCATCTCCACCCTGCTTCGTTTGAAAAGGCGCTCAAGGCTCGTAAAGCTGGACGCGGTGTCAGACTCGACATTACCAAGCACGAAGTGAAGAAGGGCTACAAAAAGGCTCAAGGAGGCTCTATCTGGTCCAAAGTATGGGGAGGGATCAAGTCTGCATACAAATTTGCTAAGGATTCAGGTCTACTATCCAGAGCCGTTGATGCGGCGGTTCCTGCTTTAGCTACTTATGCTGGTCAGCCAACGGCTGCTGTTCCAGCCAGAGCTGCAATCAAGTCCCTAACCGGCATTGATATTTATGATTCCGATAGCGACAAGGAAGGAGGTCGCGTATCAATGGCTGACGTAAAGAAGGCTGCAAAGAATGCTCTTGCATACACGAAGCGCAAGGGGGTCATCACCGACGCGGTCGATGCTGGAGAGAAGTTCCTACTATCAAAAGCTACCAAGCCGGAACATGAGGATCTAATCAGATCTGTGCGAAAGGAGGTTCGTCGCCGCTATGGTGTAGGCGTAGCAAAGAAACGTCCAGCGAAGGGTTCGCCAGAGATGAAGGCTAAGAGGGCTGCGCTCAGGGCACGTCGTAAGACTGGTGGTTCGTTTACGTTGTAGCCGCCCTAAACAAAATACTCTGGATGTCTTATTTTTATGGACGAATCAGAAGCATGATGGATACCGACGTATCTCTGAAAATCACTTTTTTATCATTTTGGTTATAGATACTGAGTGTATACTAGCTCGAGCGCCATTATGACAGTTCATCCACGCATACTGGCTCGGTTTGTATGAAATGACCTTTCCAATAGCGGCATCACCTCTATCAAAAGCACTGACAATATCACCAGAAGCCACGTATTCGTTTTTGATCAGATCGCAACGAACGATGTAGGAACTGGTCGGGTGAATCTGAGGAATGATGTTCGATAGCTGAGTACTTGCAACAGTAGCTGATGTGGAGGGGTATGTACCCGCTGTGAGACCAACTACTTTACCGAATTCAGCATTATCGATGATCAGTCGAGGAACGCGAGTAGTAGTCGGCAATCCAGTACCACCAGAGGAGTATAAACCGGAGGTTGGTCTGGTCCATGTTCCACCGGTAGTTGGTAGAGTTGTAGGCGTAGGAGAGAAATCAAGCTGACAAGCGTAATAGACACTGTTAGCACTCATTTTGATATAGAATACGTTACTCACCGACGGATCGATGATGCGCCCCAGCATTGACAAGAGCAGTCTGAATACTTCGGTTGATATCGTCATACGAATAAATACCATCAGGGAAGGATACACTGATTGTGGATGTAGTTGCAGCGGTAGGTACTTCGATTTTGAACGTTGTGTTCTGAAATTGCATTGAATCAATGTTATACTCACTGTTATACATCGAAATCGATTGAATGGCACATACTACATCGCGGAAGTCAGCCGCCGATCCGGGAATGGAGTATTTCCAGGTTGAATTGGTTTCATCTTGTACCAGTTTGGTGCTGTCGAGTTTGATAAAGCTGGACATATTGATTATATGTTTGTAGGCATATTTTTGTTTGATAAATTGGAATTAGTCCTCGATACGAATCGGTCTATCGAAGTTATACCTGATCTGACCCTTGACCGAATCAATGAAGAGCATTTGGCCTTTTCGCTCCGTGGCTTTGTTGTAATAATAGACGATTGAACGCTCATCTACTCCCTTGATATCAAAATCTTTCACAACCATCTGGAGGTCTAGCTTAGAATTAGCTTTCAGGATCGCTACGTACTCTGAGTTCAATCTGATCATCTTGTCCGTTGCGAAGTAGCTGTGGCTCAAGAAGATGGTTGATAGCCTGAAGTGGCGCCCTCTAGTGAAGTAATGTGAGAACAAATTCTTCTGAAGAAGCCTATCGTTGCTGTAGTCATCGATGATGACGAGCTCAGGCTTATTGGAATTAATTGGTGTATGACGTACCCGTTCAACACTCGGAGGCGAGTCAGGGTCGGTGAATGTGATAAAGCCATCAAGCTTATCACGAAGATACTCATATAACTCCTGGTGAGGATTACGAGCAATGATCGTTAGATGAGCAAATACGTGAGGAGAATGCTTGAGGATGAACATACATAAGTTGTTCTTCTGAGAACGATGGCCCCAGAACCACCATTCTAAACAGCGCTTTGATGTCAAGTGCTGGAATATCACCCATAGAGGCGCTTTTGAATTTTTTTAGGGATTGAAGCTCCGAAATCTGGAATACCGCCCATGATTATCGTCAAAACTATATAGGATCAAACAAAGATGAGTTCAGGTTTTTCTTATCCTAGCCCGATATTCACATCGCCGATTTATAATCCGGCATTCTTTCTCCAATTGGATGCCAGCGGGTTTCTAACGTATGACTATGCTCAGACTCTTTATCTGAACAAGTATGACTATCGCTTGACGTACATTACCGGTGTCTCTCAAGGCGTAGCATCACCTGGTGTAGCGCTTGTCCCTGGAAGTGGTGGGAACATCAGCGGTCTTGGAGCACTAAGCTGTAGTAGCCTAACTGTTAATGGTGCTTCCGTTTCAGGCGTACCAACGTATGTAGCTGATATTACTCCAGGTACTGCCGCTATCAACAAAGCTCTGGTGCTTGGTGCATCAGGTGAAATTGCTACTACTAGTAGTTTGACGGCAACGTCGATTACTGGCACGCTGCAGACAGCGGCTCAGCCTAATATTACTAGCTTAGGCACGCTATCGTCCCTCACTGTGAGTGGAAACATATCTGGTACATTGGCAACTGCTGCTCAGACCAACGTAACTAGTGTAGGGACACTCTCGTCGCTCACCGTGAGTGGAAACATCAATGGAACGCTAGCGACGGCTGCTCAACCAAATATCACCAGCTTAGGTACGCTTACTGCTCAGCCTAATATAACATCGTTAGGTACTCTAACCGCTGTAAATTGCTCGGGTAATGTATCGGGTACGCTAACAACAGCTGCTCAGCCCAACATTACCAGCCTAGGAACCCTGAGCTCGCTCACAGCGACGTCGATAACAGGAACGCTACAAACCGCTGCTCAGCCTAATATTACTAGTCTAGGTACGCTTAGCAATCTAACCCTTAGCGCTGGTGGAACCGGTTTATTCATTCCGAATCTGAAATTTTGGGATGGAGTCAGTTCTTGGATGAATTTCAATCATGCTTACTTTCTCAATGTTATCGAAGGGGGCGCTTCAGCCAGTAGCGTTGTGGTTCTCAATAGTACGAAAGATTACTCAGGCATTCGCGATCTAACCATATCACGAAACTTTATAGCTTCGACTTCAATATCATCGCCTACGATCACATGTGATACGATTAGTAAGTCAGGTACTCAAACTATGAATGCAACGACCTTGAATATCAATCCTACTACGCTTCAACTCAGGGGAGATACTCTCAATGCCACAGGTGCGGAGCTGAACGAGCTTGCTGGATGCACAGCATCTACCGTTGAGCTGAACTATCTAGATCTTACCACCGGAGCAGGAACTGCAGAAGCATCAAAGGCTCTTGTACTAGACTCTAATAGTAGCATCTCATCAGGTATCTCATCTCTAACGTCAACCAATCTGATATCCACTACTTCTACCCAATGTCAGATTGCGGCCGGGACATCATTTACATCAACAACGCGTGCCTCTGATTTTAATCTCATGATTCGTAATCAAAGCAATACGGTTGGCGCTCAGGCCGGATTATCGTTCACGATTGAAGGTACTAGTGATATGACAACGTACACCCCTAGCGTTAATCTATATTGTACAAGAACCGCTACGAGTCTTCAATATTCAATGGCTGATTTTGCAATCAGTACACGGTCAGGAGCTAATGCATTATCACCAATGACTGAACGTATGAGAATCACTCAAGCAGGATACATTCGCTTTGGATCAGCTACCAGTACTGCAAAAATAGATATAGTTTCGAGCGCGAATTTACTAAGCGGGTCTTGGCAACGTGCAATGCGTATAGCCAACGATGCTACTACTCCAATCGAATTTGAAATTTAGGTATACAACGATGTCGCGGGAGGAAGTAGTGGTGTAGCTCTAGGCACCACTACGAGCAACCCGCTAAGGTCCATGGTTGGAAACACAACTCAAGCTTATCTAAACAGCTCAGGAAGACTGGGAGTTGGTATGAGTACGTGGTCGCCAGAAGCAACCATTCACTCAGGCGGAGAGGTATGGGCGAATAATTTCATGCACGTAAAGGGAGGCGGCGATGGATTTGCTAGGTATCGATTCAATTGGTCTCAGACTGACTATCCAGCGATTGGTACTGATTCAACCGTAGGAGCTATCAGGTTGGGAAAATGCGACGCTAATTACGCGTGGACAGCCTATGTCCCGGTGCGTGGAGGAAGCTATACCAATGCAAGCGATGAGAGGTTGAAGGCGGACATTGTAGACTGTCCCTATGGTTTGGCAAACCTTATGAGAATGAGACCTAGAAAATTCAGGATGGTTCAAGAGCAGACTGTCCATGTTGGCTATATCGCGCAGGAGCTGTATAAGGTCATACCAGAAGTAGTAGATATCGGAGCAAACGATGAGCTTAATCCGGATGGGTTTCCAGTGAATCCATGGGGAATCGATCTCGCCAGTTTAACCTCGGTACTGTGTAAATCTATCCAAGAACAGCAAGGCCAAATCAATAATCTCAAAGCTGAACTCAATGAGTTGAGAGCGATTATGTCTGAGTAAGTATATAATGGTATCTGTCAAACTCAGTTCGTGGCGAAGACCGCTTGCCCTCAGACTACTAACGCTAATGTCGTTGATACTGATCAACTACAATGTGATCGAATTGTCGAATTCCACGAGAGGGTTATATATGGTATTGGCTCAGGGATAATTTCGCACCGATAAATATAGAGCAGATCTTGAGTACTTCGTTGTAATAGAGTATTATGGGCTACGGACCAAGTAAAACGATCAAAAAGGACCTGACTAACCCTGAAACTGGCCAAGTCATCGGTTCAATAACGATGCACGCTGGAGTGGTTTCGATAGGGAATAATGCTTATATCCCAATGTACAACGTACATAGTGGCAAGAATGCTGTCATGGCTATCGATATCGGAGATAAAAATCAAACTCTATCGAGAGAAGAAAACAGACGTAGACATCAAAGTATATCCGCTCTGCTATATAGAGCAAATGTCTTCACAGACTTTGACTTTGTTTGGCTGGTAAGCCCAGACTCGGCCGCCTTCCGTTTGGGTAGATGCCTCCACCTTCTTGGTCGACTTGTCGAGGTCAGTAGCCCACACAGCGGCTTGGGTCTTCTGGGGACGATCATGAATGATGAGGTTCTTCATGATAGCTTTCAACTCAGCGACTTTGAGGTCGCTATTGTCACCATAGCTGCCTCCGGAACTGGATATAATGCGCGAGTTGAAGAAGAACATGGTTTTATAATAAACGGGTGATAATATCTTTGAGCTCTTTATCATCAATCAGTCGATTGCTGTACATATCCACCGTGAGAGACTTGAGCTACTTGATGATACTGGGGTTGTCATTTCCGAGTTGTAGCTCTCCTTTTAGCTTATCGTATTCAGCCCTAAGCGTAGCTAGAGGATCCTCTAACTTATCGTGGAAGCTGTATAGGAGATAAGTAATCAATAGAACCTCCTTGAACAGTTTCTTATCTTCAACGCTGAGCTTATCGTAAGCGGATTGATCGATACGGTTCTTATAGACAAGTGCCTTGATCATGGCTTGGAGGCTATCACTGATTTCCCACTTAGGACCACATTTACGCCGATTCGGCTGAACGATCACGAGTTTTTTAGCATCAAGGTCGGGGATACGAATATACTTGCTTCCGATCTGCTTGTATGTGTAGGCTGACGGCGTTGCTAATCCTTGGATCTCATTGAGATTGTAGGTACGGTCTCGGCGAACTACACCTTCCAGCGGGGCAACACCTGCACCGCGCAATCCTCGACCTTGAAACTTTCGTTTAACGCCACTGCCGGATACCTCGCTTGCCTCGGCGTATCGCTTAGCCTTCGTTTGATATATCGATTTTTTGTCGCCTTCATAGCTGATGTAGCTGCCTTCAACACCGATCTCGCTGCTTTTGAGTTATTCCCTCTAACAGCCTCTTTTGCTTCTTCATAGCGTTTCGGAGCCTCACCGTATGTCTGAAAAGCTGCTTCTGACTCATCATGAACCTTTTGCAAGCTGGCATCGTATTCATACTCTTCAACGCTTTGCTGTCTAATATCGTGTACAGACTTTAGAATAGCCTCATTCAATATTTCAAGATTAGCATCCAGGTTTTTACGTCTTTTCTTATCAAGCTCCTTTTCTTTAAGTATCTTAGCTGCTTCTTCATCGCTCGATGGGAAGGGGTATTCAACCTCATTAAGATAGCGGTCCAAGTCCTCAACCCCGTTGAGTAGGGACGAAAAGGTATCCATCCACATGATATTCTTCATTAGCCCCTTCCAAGCTACACCACCCACCTGCTTGCGTGCTTTGTTTTCACGATTTAAAATATTTAGGGGTCTAGACCCCGATGGCTGCCCAAAGTAGTATGATGGATGGGACTTAACAACACCGTTGATTTTCACGATTGGTTGTAGCCGAAACGGAATATCAATACTATTAGCGTGCAACTGGCTGTAGTAATCAGTTAAGATATTCTTGGCGTCGTTATCAGCGTTTGATAGGCTTGGGTCCATGTCTTCATCAATACCACTCATTAATCCATGCTGAGCTTCACCATTAGCTGGGGTAAAATCATTTATGTGTTTGGTTTCATTGCTACCAACTAGTTCTAACTCGAGGCCCCTGGCTTTAGTCATATTAATGAAAGATTGGAATGTCATTATCCAGTTCACTTTCTGAGTGATTGCTTACTTCACACGATCGCTATCTTTCCCGTAAACGCTAATGCTATTGCCATTGATCCAAACATAGCCATCTTTGTCAATAGGAGAAGATTTTGCGGAACCATTAAGAATTGGTACAATCTTCTTTATCAATCCGTTAGATTCAAGGACTTCCCTATTTTTGCTAATTGTCCAAAATAATTTGAGCTTGCTGTCCATTTGATCGGATCTTGTGAATGTTCCAGTATCGAACACAAAACTGTCGTCAAGTCTCTGTTTAGAGCGGTTTGGATAATCTCCTTCTGAGGCATTGATTCTTTTTCTTTTTGAGCCAATATTTTGCCAAACCTAGTATGGGCTATTTTTGTCCTCTTTACCCATCTCATTACGTCGCTCCTTCTCATTGACGTATGCGAGGAATCTGACATCATTAATTAATACCTCACCAATATGGTCATACGTCTCAGACCAATCAATGCTCGGAACTAGTACATATTTTCTCAGTTTAATACTGTACACCTTAGCATCCATCCCAATATAATACTTAGTAAGCTGCCGGCTGTTGGAAGCAATAGGGTGAGTATTTAGTTCTGCAAGGATGGGGTAAACCTCGAAGATTTTAGCGACCGCTTCCTTTGACTTTGTTTGATTTTTCATCTCAGCATTGCCTTCGTCGAACAAATCTTCTTCGACGGGCTTTTGCGGCAGTGGACTATCAGGGCCAACACTAGCATCTGTCATTCTTGAACTATTATCAACTCCAACATCAGTCATATCGGGGCTCACGTGGACCCAACCATCACTGGTTTTGGGCTTAGCAGTACTGGAAGCATCAACGGACTGAGGCTTTGCAGTAGTCGATGCATCGTTCATTTCAGGTGTTGCATTAACTTCAGCATCTACCATTGTTGAGGACTCAGGTTTTTTTTGGAGTTTTCAATATTCAGACTTTTTTTTAACTCTTCCGGCGTAGCCTCGTCAGGGCCAACCGAAATATCAGAGTGAGCGGATTGTGTTGATTTCTTTGGAACAGTAGTGATACCATTCGCGATATCGCTAGCCCATGATGCACCTTCGTACATAAGGCGCTTGGACTTGGCTTGACGAACTCGGCGCTCGCTCGTTCGAGTTGCTCCTGCCGCTTTTGCTCTCGTTGAGTGAGGGATGTAAAGTTGGGAAACATCGTCTAACTATATCATGGTAGTCATAAAAAAATATTAGCATCGATTAAATACATACTCACCAATAGCTTGGCATAACGGAGTCATGCCTAAATGGTTTATACGTATGACAGATACGGTTTCGCTCATTGAGGAGATTGATGTATCGATCCTTGATGCAATGAAACGGCACACCAAATATCGTTTCTAACTGGTCGCGGTACTGTAGATTGCACACGGTTTTCCGGAAATTGGCTACTGGGTCTAAATCTCTGAGTTCATTTTTGATTCGACTAACCTCTTGAATTATCCACAGCTTTCTTCGGAGCTGTACAAGCTCACGTTGATTCTCTACGCAGTTGCAACGCATTCTATATATGAAGTCATATATTTTTAAGCATTATTTTTGGAAAATAGATTGATAGATATAGATGAGTCAACGCTTACCGAGGATTGCTCTATTAAACTTATTTCGAAGCTAGTTCGACTCATTATTTATCGACTTCCAGTACTCATTCTCTAAGGTTGATCTCTTGTTCTTATTGACTAATCTAAGATAATCTTGTGGCTCCCAGGAGTCAAGTTCATTACCGACCCACTGAACGAGATACTTGGACTTGCCGGATCGCATCTTTTTGTGGTCTAAGATCTTCTCCACCTCTAAAATATCACCTCTGTTGATAGTAGCTTCAGATGTTTCTGCTTTAACAATTTTTAGATCGTTTGGCCCCTTGTAAAGAGTGTGTCCGTTTTTTGACTTGATTTGGATGCGGTAGCCATCAATACCTACCACCGAATACACAGCCTTAGACCATCTTGCTGCTTCTTTATCAAATGTTTTCTTTTTTAGTCGATACAAAACCTTTTCACCGACCTCGAACTCGTTTTCAATCCTCTCGGCTTCAGCCTGGTTGTGGACTAGTTCAGATTCAATTACCTTACCTTTAGCTTCGTTGGGGGTCATACCAATCGTCCGATGGGTCGTGCTATTGTAGTTGTCAATAACAGCAGCTATGAGCTTTTGGGTTAGTCGCTTTGGTTCGATTTTGACAAGGCGCTGCTTCAGAGTTCTATTGAAGCGTTCAATTTTACCCATTTCGGCGTGATCTCCAGGCTCATTGTTGAAATGGTCAATTTTCTTAGCTTTGAATAATTTCTGAACCTGTTGGTTCATGAATTCTAAACCATTATCGGTTGTGAGAATGTCAACCTTATGGAGGCGGATAAAAACCCTAATTGCTGCTAGTACGGTCGGGCCAGTTTTGTTGGTTAGTAGTTTTGCGTAGCCTAGGCGAGAGTTGATGTTGATCGCAGTCAAGATTGGTCTTTTCTCCCAAAACGCCAAGTCCATCTGCCACGAATTGGGGTTAGTCGATGCGATTTTGAACCCATCGTATCGCATCTTCTGCTCCTGAAATCGCTGAATATCGCTCTGGTTTGAGTACCATTCCTTGACGATTTCATCGTAATCTTCGGCTCCAGTTCTTTAGCCTTCTGGTATAAGGCTTGGGCACCCACATAGCCCGTTGTGGGGTCATAGTATAATTTGGACAACAGCTGATCCATCGCTCTATATGGTTATAAAACAAAAAAATCCCCTGCCAGGTAGTTGCTTATATGTCGAGCGGTTCGGTGGTGATACCATCCGCAAGTACACGACGCTTGTCATAATAGTAGTTTAGAGCTGTTTTAGTCTGGGTGTACGTAATGATTGACTTACTCTCCTTACTGAGTCTAAACCCCTTGTTGGTGCCCTGTAGCGTGATGCGATCGCGAACAACTGATTCAAAGCCATCTGGGTTGAGGACGTCGCGATTCCGGCCATCACTCTGCTGGACTCCCTTCGCTGAAACCTTGACCTTGTAAGATTCGTCTGGTAGGTAGCAAATGTAGTTCTTAGAGGACAATGATACCATAGCATCACCAGACCACTCATCCTTGAACAAACCTGGCGTTCGGCGATCAAACTGAGCCATCTCTTCGCTATAATCACGTGGGAACCACTCGTACTTATGCTGCTGAAAATGCTCACGAAGATCGGGCTTGATACACTCAACGAATGGCTTCTCACAGCTGAACGCAATATAAGCCGAGTCTGTGTCCATTTCTTGGTACTGGAATTCCGAACGGTCGAAGTAGAAGTCAATGCAATCATAGTAGAATTGCAACATACGGAGCTTAGCGAGCTGATAGATTGCAATCGATAGATGAATTGGGTTCTTATTGTTGAGCTTTCGCTTCTTCATAGTGAATTCACATGAATCATTCAGCTCTTCCATTCCATGGAAGGTGAAGTGCTCAATCTTGGCCTTGATTGCCTTATCGTCCGACTCATACCTGACCTCCTTGTGCTTGCTCATGTCCATGCCAGATCGTCCAAACGCACTATTACCATCCAGTTTCATCATCTCTGCAATCATAGCCTTATTATTGCTACCCTCACTAAGCGTTTTCAGCTTAGTCAACAAGTCTAGAACCAAATGAATCTTAGGATTGGTTGTCGATTCATTCATGAATCTATCGATAATGAGCGCATCAAATGATTTAGGGTTCATAATGATTTTTTTCAACTCTTGGACTAAATCATCCATATCAGAGTCAGATACCTTCTCAATAATGATCTTACAGATGGATTTAACATTTTCATCACCCTCTCGTCGCGCGCTCGATACGACTTCCATGAATGGTGCAAATGCCTTGTGAGAGCTAGCCTTGATGAAGCTGTAAGTCTTGGCGATCTCCATACCATGAGAAATGTACCATTTGAGTAGCGGTGCATAAATGAGGATCTTCTCACCAAAGTAGCTCCCGATGAGTTTGCGAGCCGGCTTTGCTTGCGCTCCTCGTTGTACTCGAACATGTGCTGACCGATGACACTCCGATCGCTGCAGTCGATAAGGGTGTTCTTGAAAATTGGGGTCATTTCACTGAAGTAGGGTTTGAGGTGCTCTGGTGTACGGATATCACACTCGAGGAAGCCAAAGATCTTGTCATTTACAATATCATCGACGATCCCTGTGTATGCTTCGATGGTAGTCAGCCGTTCACATGGCATCTCATTACCAAGAGCCCACAAATACAGAGCACTACCATCGTAGCCGATGATCTTTTTGCAGATCCTACCCCCTCGAATCTTGGTCTCGTTGCGTTTCGCGTATCTGTTGAAGATGATAGAAGGACCACCAGCAATGTTCGCCTTCATCTTGGTGTAGATGTCCTTCTCTCTATCGATATTGTACACCAACCTGTCTGAGTTGAATTCAAGTAGCTTCTTGTGGCGGAAGCCCTTTAGCGACATGTTCTTGCGAGCAACGTTGCATCCCACACAGCTGATCAAGATATTACCATCGATGTGTCCGAGCTTGTTATTGATTCGGTCAGCCGAGGCAGTATCAGCTGTGAGTTGCTTGTAGCATAGCCCACACAGGTACTTTTGTCGCTTTAGCAAGTCCTTGAGGTGTTCTAGCGTCATATTGAATTCACGATCGGCATCAGCATCCTGGGTCTTATATCCACTTAAGCGACTAGCGGGAAAGTCAAACGCTTCAGCAGACTCCTTACTTGGTCGCTGGAGGTTGTTGAAGCACGTCTGATACATGACTTTCTCAGAGAGACCAGGTAGCGACACAACATCAGTGAACATATCAAGTTCGAAACCTTTGAATAGTTCTCGCTGGGCTTTGATGGCCTTGATGAAGGGTACTACATCGAGGTTGTTGTACCAAATGAGTAGATCCTTGATTGACTTCATGCCATAGTGTTCCCAGACGAACTGTACCGGCACATAGTCCTTATCGCTGATGCTAGTGCTACGAAGAGCACTGTCGAACGCCGACTTAGGAGGGACTTCCGGCTGACTGAGTACGTCAAATGAAGTAATGTACTCGTACGGGAAGATGCCTTTTCCTAGGCCACAGACGCATCGAATCTTGTCATCACACTTGCACTGTCGACAAGTACTTTGCATAGCTGGTGCTTGCCGGAACATAGTTGCTAATGTCAAGCATTTTCATGTCTGATGTGGCGATGCACATGTAGCTAGGGTTCTTGATGACTGATGTGATGTTGTCAGTACCGATGACTGCAAACAGGTCCGCCTTGATAAGGTTGATGTCGTAGCGTCCAGAGTTGAATCCGAATACTGGTACCTGACCAATGCACTGCTTCAGCTTGCCATAATCCGAGCGCTTCTTACCGAATGTGAGCTTGCTGTGGAAATCGAAGAAACAAGCAAACTCCCCGTTCTGAATCCAAGCATTGACATCATCCATCTTGTACGTCTTACCCAAGTCTAGACCAGGAACCTCAGCGTCAGTCAAACCATGGACGTTGATGATTTTGCGGAGCAAAGACTCGTACTTCGAAACGTTGTACTGCTGAATCTTAGCCGCAACTTCCTTGATGTACTGGAACATATCCTTGAGCAACTCCGTCGGGTCATCGCTGACAAAGCATCGCACCTCCTCAGTCAAGCTGTCGGCCACGGAAACAGACACAGGAATGTGTTCGTTTGTGAAGATAGTATTCTCTCCGGTTTTGACACCCGTAGGGTTGCGGATAGCCTCAAAATCATAGACAATGAAGTGATCGATGTAATGGTCAGCATCCTTGATGGAGTACTTAGTCAGCATGGAACGAATGCTGTTCGGAGCGGGTTGGTAGATGGTTGGCTGAGCTGGGAAGGATTCGATGTTCACGAGTTCGCATTGGTTCTTAGTGTGGTTGCGTAGCTTATCAGGGCTAACAAACACCATCTCACACGTAGAGCATTGGTACTTCTGCTGGAGCATATCAACGTTCGTGATGTAGAGAGCGTGATTCTCGTGCGACAGGATGTTGATCGAGTCATAGTCCTTGTCCGAGCAGCGAATGCATTCAACCTTGCCCGTCTCAACATCCATATTGAAGACGTTGATGTTCAGCTTGAAGCACTCCTCAAGCTCATCGAATTGGAGAATGTCGATAGGCTTGAAATTGCGGAACAGACCCAGAGTGTAGGTGATCTCCTTGTACGAACAGTACTGCTTGAAGGCTTGTTTCACCAGAGCCTGGATTCTGCGAGGACCCTTTTTGGCTCCCTCCTGCTTGTGATAAGCAATGCAGTGGAAGACACACTTGTTGTTCGTCTTGGGGAAGCTGATGACGTGCTTGTTATCACGAATCACCTTAGGAATGACCGCCTCGCTATCACCCAGAGCATGGTCGCGTTGGTAGATATAGATTTTGAAGCCAGTAATCCACTTCACCATGTACCCGGAGCTGGGGTAGTTGAGCTTGTCAGCCAACTCCATGGAGCGAATCTCCGAGATCACCTTCTTGCGAATATCAGCCTTGTTGTTGATAGCTACAGGAGTGCTAAATACAGACGTGTTGCTAATTTTCGGGTGGAAGTAGCGAGTATCGCTGTCATCAGTTCTGCTGACAAGCTTGTATCCAAGAGCGATGTTGACCTTGAAGGCAGACTTCTGGGTTGCGAGCACGTTCTCGAGCTTGTCGTAGAACTCAGCAGGCTGAATTCCCTCGTAGAGGTGCGACTCCATGTTCTTGCCTTGGTAGAAGCGGTACTTACTGTCTTCCTTGAAATCAGCAGCCACATTCTTTTGGAGCTTGCCTAGACTGATCTGGTACTGCTTCGCTACCAATTTTTGGTTGGTGGGGTGGGAAATGTTGCTAATGTATACCATGCGCCCCGTCTTGCCACGTACCTTAATACGGTAGCTACTACCCCATCGAATGGGTTGAATATTTAATCTCTTTAATCCTTCGAGTTCGTATGCAAACATGTTGCCTATATATGCTTGACTATATTATTCTCCGTAGATATGACTTTATAATTATTTGACCTTGTATCAGGATCGACTTTATATCTTAGTCATTTACAAAATATTCTGAAATTAATTAATTCAAATATTTGGCTTATACCTTTTTGGAGGTCTTAAGCCATTGTCTTTGACTATATTGGGATTAACTTTTTGAGAAAAAATTAATTAATTAATTAAGTTCGGTTTCATTATTAAGTTCGACTTCACTATCAATAAGTTCGGTTTTGGACTTACGCTTGCGAGCTCGAATCTGGTCTCTATTCTTGTCATCGTAGTCTTTTAGATAAGATAAACGGGCTTCGCGTGCGCTGGTAGTAGCGCTTCTGCGCTGCTTTGATACGTTCCTTGCTAGCTTGGTATTGCTCAGGAGAGTACGTCATCGTTGTATATTAGTAACTTTATATTTGTCAGGATCGATCAACAAATACTTGGTAATTGAGAAGTTGAAGACACCATGCTTCCATTAAATTATTCATTTCCTCTTTCCTCCTCCTCTGTTTCTCTTTGTGCTCTGTGAGGGTTGTTGTTGTTGAGGTTGTCGCTGAGCTTCAGTAGCAGGAAGCAGCGAAGTGTGCTCGGTCAATTCTTGATGCTGGGCTTCAGCAGCAAAAGTCAGGTCGGTCATTTCTTGTCGCTGGGCTTGTAACGGTGTCTCGTCCTTCGCTTCCTCGATCACGTTGTCAAGCTTCGATTTCCAATGTTGCGAATATGACAGAATCGCCCCCATCGCAATATCAACACCAATCATCTGACACACGATAAGCGAGCGGCCAGGAACTGTTAAACATCCTTTTTCGTCGGTTGGATTCTCTCCATAGGCCAAAACAATGAATGTAATGACCGCCAATATGACAGGTACGAAGCATTGAGCGTTGATGATCCACCGTCTGAATCCTGCTCTACACAAGAAATTAGCAACAACATATTCAAACAATTAGGGGCCAGAATACGTACGCTTATATTTCAGCGCTCTGGAAGCAGTTCCACCAATGTCAACGCGAACATGACCCGGAACCACCACCAGCACGTGGATCTGCTTCTTCTGCGGAGCTGGTACGAAGACATCGGCAATCTCATCTGCTGGGTCCATTTCCACGTTCAGCAGTGTCTTCACTTGTTCAGGAATGCCTCCACTTCGCATAGAAATCACATCAGGGTCCTTCGATGAGAGCCACGCGCCGTCCGCCGTCTTCGCCAGGAAGAGCTGCAGGTCCTTGGCGTCGCCCGTGATAGTCGCTGAGTTCTTCGCCTTGATCGCGTCCTTCAAGTCGTCCACCGTGTCGCTCTCATCTACTCGCACCGAGAACGCGCTGCCCGCCACGCCCACAGAAGAGCTTCATCATCTTTCCTCGAGCCGGCAGATTCTGGGATGAGGAAGAAATTTCTGGCGTACTTAAGCGGGCATGAAGGTGTGTGAGATAGATTTTCAACCAATGATGAGACGCCACGTCGCGCTGGTCCGAACTACTAGTAAAATCTGCCGGCGTAATGTTCTATTGGTTTTATCAATATAGTTTAAACGAGCGGTCCCGAAACGCCCTAAGATCCAAAAGACGCGGCTCTCGCTATAAAGTGGGCGTCGTCAAATCAACGTCTATTAGATCTGACCGGTTCAGAGGTTCTAAATCTACCCTCATATCGAAAAGACGTGGCTCTCGCTCTCAAGTGGTCGAGAGGGGTCGTCGTTGAAATCGCTGCTGTCCCGAAAGAAGGTTTCAGGAATGTTCTCGGTGGTAAATTACGGTAAGGAAAAAAACTGCCGGCGTAATGTTCCATGACCCACTACTTTCTTAGACTCACCCTCTTGTTTCACCCAGGTGAGGCTGTGCGCTATTTGTACGCGCGCCCACCACCGTGATATTTCCGTCTTCCGCCATCGAGTTACATGAAGGACGAAGTGTATAATCGCCTTTAATTGGACTCTTCCCAACACTTTTTCATCATCCGAGTTCAAGACTCATGGGCCAGCCTGACGAATGGAGAGAACCTGTGTACGTAGTTGCCGAGATGTCCGCTTCCAAGAAGAGCCCAGTAGCTCCGCCTGTGGCACTTTGCGCACGTCTGGAGAAGAAATGGGAATCCATTCAAGTCGGTCGTCAGGGATCTTACTCCATTGAGCGGCTCGAAAGCTTGGACCGCTACTGCAAGACGACGTCGGGGACTCGAGTTATCCTCGTGTGTGCGCTCACCCCGGTCCACCTTCACTGTTGATTGCGGTGCTAGTGGAGTGCATGCCGTTGTCACCTCCGACGGAAGGGTGGGAGGCCAATTGGGTCTTTTGGCTTCGAGTGGTCGTACTCATAACCGCGATGCTCTTCGCCGTGTTCTCGTCGCTGATTAACTTCGTCCCGGAACTGACCTACACACTGGCGAAAAGACTCCTTGTATCGGTGGCTGGAGCTGGTGCCTTCGTGAGGTTATGTCTAATTACTTCAAGCCACATTGGCTTTCCCGTGCCTTTCGTGTGGTATATTGCAGATTTGTTAGCAGGAATGTATCTGGTTTCGGTGATTCTGATCGTCTTCGGCGGCAACCCATTCATGAAGCAATCACGCGGGTGTCGCAATCTACGACGAAATTACCGGTACTTCACTGGCTGCATGGGGCTCAACTTGTACTTCGGCATCTACAAGTCCATCTACAAAGGCATGCCCGAGGCCTACCGTGGCGGCGTGATTCTTGTGTTCCCGCTGTGGAAATTCGCCGGAAAGCACTTTATCATGTGGGTGATGCGCGATTTTGAGGACTATTTGCCTGAGATCGTGGCCCTGACCGTGGATTTCTTCAGTGCGATCTTCGTATCAGTGTGCATCTCGACGTCGCACTCGGTGTACACATCGGCAATGTTCATCGCCTTAGACTTTGTGCAGAGCGTTCTGGAGTTTAGGGAGTTACGCACAAACGCAAGAAGTGTGCTAAGACTGTTTCAAGACCGACGAGCCTCCCATGAACGCCTCAACTCCAGAACGAACAGAACCGCGAGTGACTTGGAGAGCTTCAATCTGTTCACGATGATGCTCGCTGTCACCCGAAACCTCAGTGCATTTCAAATGAAATCTCTGAAAGGCGTCCGCTTGTGGGCGTGTCTGCCTCATCCTCTCACCAAGCAGCAAATGGAGCGACTTCAAACGTTTGAAGCGTCAGGAATGTTCGGAATTGAACCGCAGCCTGTAAAGAGCAATTCGAACCGGGTCTTCTGGAAGTCGAGTCGCCAACGAATTGCAGTCGGACTGACACCAACTAAGCAAGTTTCGCCGATATCCGAGACTCAAGACAAGAAGACAAACGCGAGGCTTGCTGCGTCTATCGACAAGTCGAAAAGGATTATTTTCCAGGGTCTTCAGCTGCTGTTCCACTGCGAATATCTCATCTTGGTCGACTACATTGAGTGCATCATCTCGCTCGTGTTTGTGATCTACCGGTCGGTTCTGGTACAGCTGCCGAATATCATCTACTACTCGGCTGAAGTGGGAAACTGGGACTGGAGTTCCGTCGGCAATATTATGCTCTTTGTCGTGATGGAAGTGGCGTCGTTGGCTCTCTTCGAACGGTACCTGCGACACACGTTTGCGTTCTCGCCATTGTATCAGCTTGCATATGTGCTGGAAACGCAGATGTACCTGGTGCAGAGCAGTCTGTGGACTGTGATCCTAACGTTGATGCAGTTCGAACTCGTCCATTCGGGTAACGTGCTGTGTGTGTGTGTTTTTATTTTACAAGGACACGGGATTTTTCAAGCTTTCCACGACTAATATTCGGGTTATTTGTTTGATTCGGAGCAGGAACGGACTTTACCTTTCGGTTCGAGTGACTCCGTCACGGAAACCCTTGAGGTATTGGTAGAACTCACTGTTACAGCCAATGTGACAGCATAGCCTACTCAAGATGGATAAACGATAACCGCATAAAACCAAAATCTGCGTGTCGAACATTTTTTTTAATTGTATTTTGTTTGTTGGAGGTGGCTCTTTGGAGCTATTTCCGCTTTCTCATAACGGTAGTTTGGGTACAGTGACACCTCTATAAATGACACCTAGTTCGCTCCTCCAGCATTTTCGTACTCTTGTTTTGTTTCGTCTTCACACAGACAGAACTAACGGTAGGCGCGGTATTGTCTGTTCCTACTCCTTCTCATTGGTATTAGCAGAATCGCATCCCCTCGGGTTGTACGTGAGTTTCAATACAGTGGGGTTATGGGAATATTTGTTGTCCCGATATACCTGCCACCATGCCTGCAGTTTTATCTTTTGCTTGGTATCTACTGCATAGCCCCTAGTTGTCTCGACATCATAATATTTTAGTTTTCGTAAAATATATATGTACGCTGCGCTGATTGTAAAATACTGTGGCTAGCTTATTTATCAGTATTTACAAGTTGCAGTTACTGCAAACTCTTTGTCCCAACTTAGCATCCCAAATAAAATTTCTCTCTTCGCTCGATTTGTTGTGGCGGGAGTAGTGGTAGCAATGGCATACGTGGGAGGAGGCAGACAAGTGATTGAGAAAAATATATGAGTTTGGATCTATTACTACGGCGTCCATTTAGAGGGTTGAGGCGCCAACAATGGCGACCATTTAGAGAATAAAGAGGTTTTTGATCAGTTATAGAACACCTATAGTAAAATCCATATAATCCCGTTTGCAGTCGAGGAATCCTAACCAGATAGGGAACACATAGTCAGTTAGAGGGGTTCATTTAGGGAGGTGTCACTGTAGTTTTGGAGGTAATCCATTCAGAGAGCACTCGACCACGTGCCAGAATCTGCGGCGATACTACCGCTACTTGTTCTCGTATATGGTGCTTGGCGCGGTGTTTCCGGTGTTATAAAGTTGAGTACAACGAAGTCCCCGAGATGTTTCGTGGGCGTGCGATTATTATCCTACCGGTGTGGAAACTGGCAGACCAACACTTTATGATGTGAGCGACGCGTGACCTGGAGGATTTCGTTCCGGACATCGTTGCGTTTTCGGTGGATTTCCATATCGCCTTGTTCGTCGCGCTGTTCATGTCGAACTCGGGCTCATTCTCGACTTCTGCGGTGATTATCGCTGTAGATTTGGTGCAGTCAGTGCTTGATTTCCGAGAGGCGCGCTCAAATGCGAAGCGTGAGCTGCTGCTGCTCAGAACGAGGGATGACTTGAGAAGGAGCAACTATTTGCCAAGATACTGCCCATTATCCACAATTTCAAAGCGTTCCGCGGCTCATCGCTGGATAAAACACGACTTTGGGCGTGTCTACCTCATCCCGCTCACACGAGAACAAGTTACTTAAGTAAGCTGCTACAAACGTTAGGGCTGTCAAAGGTATTCAGGGTCAGGCGGCATCATTCAAACAGAGGAACACTCGGGGGCTTCTGGAATTCAAACGTTAAAAGAGTAGGCGTGGCATCCCCGACGCAAAAGTCGTTGACGTCTGTCTCCCTGCCAGATACTGAAGACACTAGCCTATGAACTCCTACCAAGTCTATTGAGAACTCGAAGAGGGTCCTCAACTGCTATTCCATTGTGAGTATCTCGTCCTTGTCGAGTACATCGAGTGCATTGTTCCGCTCGGCTTCGCCATCTACAGGTCGACAATCAAATCTCTCCCAAACATGGCATTTTATCCGCCTGATGTAGGCAACTGGGGGGTTAACTGGCGTTGCGAATGTTCTGGTGTTTGCATTGATGGAGGTTCTGTCCTTGATTCTTTTCGAGCTCTTCTTCCGCCGCATATTCGCCTTTCTCCCCATGTACCAGCTTGCGTTCGTGCTCGAGACTCAAGTTTACTGGATACAAGGCCGATTGTGGGTTATCACGCTAAGCCAGATGCAGTTCGAACTTGTTCACTCTGGTAAGGTATTTACTTGCATATTATATTGCCAGCTTAGTTATTTTTCTTTCTCTAACGGATACTTGATCGTTTTGCACAAGCAGGAGCTGATTACACATGTCGGCTCGAATGGCTCTATGACCACAGTCATTGAACAATTGTGATACTTACACCAAGCTGATAGAAATCCTTATCAACACACACGAGCTTTTAGATTTAAAATCATATCTTAACAAATCTTGCCCCTGTATATATTCTAAATAAATCGATGTACATGTTGTCCTCAGAACGAGTATATTTCTTAACAAATATACTTAGTGCGTGTGCTAAATATATAAAATGTGTGAAATAGTCTTAGTTTGCACAAGTATTTCAAGCTTTCGTCAGAGTTTCGTTGTTCATTGGAGCTTCTTCTGGTGATAGCATTTGGCGCGCTAGTTGACGTGTCGATGATGGGCCGCGTGGAGGAACAGAGAGAGGCTGAGAAAGCGCTATCACCCACCCGAGTAACTCGAGCAGCTCGCAAGTTCAGCCCCTTCATTAAACTGCTCAAGCGTCTCGAAGATGAATGGGAGAGAATTCAAGTCGGGCGGCAGGGCTCCTACTCCGTCGAGCGACTTGAAAGTCTGAGTCACTACTGCAAAACCACGTCGCGAACTCGTGCCATCTTGGTATGCGTCGTCACCCCACTCCCCGCTCTATCCGTGGCTCTCTTGCTCGAATGCATGCCCCTGCGACCGCCGTCGGAGGGCTGGAGGGTCAACTGGGTCTTCTGGATTCGCCTCGCAATCCTGATCTTCATCATGATCTTTGCTATCCTCTCTCAGCTCGTCACGTGCGTTCCAGAGCTAAACCCCACGTTAGCGAAAAGGTTTTCCGCCGCGGTAATTGCGGCTGGCACCTTTGTTGGAATATGTGTCACAATAGCGGAAAACTACGGCTTCCCCATTGCGTTTATGTGGAACATGGCAAATTTACTCGGAGGGGTTTACCTCCTCCTGGCGATCCGGTTCGTCTTCGGCGGCAAAGTTTTTGGGAAAGACTCGCCTCTATCGCTATTTCTTCGCCTACATGGGGATCGGAGCGGTGTACCCCATGTACGAAGGGGTATACCTCAGTGTGTCCGAAAACTACCGCGCTGGTGTGATCCTCGCCCTGCCATTGTGGAGGTTTGCCGGCAAATATTTCGTCAAGTGGGCGGCGTACGATCTGGAGGATTTATCCCTGGAATCGTGACTTTCTCAGTGGATTTCTACAACGCGCTCTTCGTATCCCTCTTCATGTCAAATGCGGGCTCGATGCTCACTACCGCGCTATTCATTGCAGTCGATTTGGCGCAAGTTATCCTGGAGCTTCGCCAGGTGCGGACCATGTGCTAAAACTTCTTCATGACCGCCGAGCCTCGAGAGAGGAACTGTGCAGAACCAACAGCGACTTAGAGAATACCGGACTGGTGAAGATCGTACTGGGGGTGACTAACAACCTCAGTGTATTATTCGTGACGCCGTTGAAAGCCGTCCGATTGTGGGCGTGTCTGCCTCATCCGCTAGGCAGCGGCCAAAAGGAGCAACTTTACGCGTGGAAATCGTCGGGTTTGTTTGTTGCCCAAGCAGAAGCCAACAATTAGAAGAAAATCTACTTGGATTTTCTGGAAACCAAGCCGCCGGCGCATTGAAGTCGCCCCAGCGCGCAATCTTGAGGAGAAATTTACTGAAGCGCACAAAAATCTGAGTCCCAGACTGGCGGCATCAATTGAGAGATCCAAGAAAATCCTAGCTCAGGGCCTCCAACTGCTATTCCACTGCGAATATCTCGTCTTGGTCGAGTACGTTGAAGTGATAATTCCGTTGGTGTTCGCGACCTACAGATTGGTGCTCGTCCACCTGCCAAACATCGTGTACTACCCGAGTAGTATCGCCAACTGGGGTCTGAGCGCTGTTGGAAACATTGTACTGTTTTCCGTGTTGGAGCTCGGCTCGTTTGCGTTCTTCGAGAGTTTTTTTAGACGAACGTTTGCGTTTTCGTCAATGTACCAGCTCGCATTTGTGCTGGAGACGCAAGTTTATCTCATTCAGGGAAGTATCTGGCTCGTCCTGCTGAGCCTCATGCAACTGGACCTCGTCCACTCCGGTACGACGCTATGTATTTTGTCTGTTGTGCGCTCGAATACGTAAAAAAATCTAACTACTGTACATCCCGTCACGACAGGAAATTCATCGTGAAAACTACATACACTAGCGCCTTGTTGGCAGTGAGGTATTGCCGTTTGCAGATATTTTGGCCAACGCATGCTTATTATCTCGTTAATAATCTCGATTTTAGTCTAGCAGGCTCTTAATTAAGACCTAGGTCTGATTTATATATATCGCCAGTACAGGTCTAAGATGCAAGGTTGGGGTCTGTTTCATGCTTTGCTACGACTTGGAAACGCAGAAATGCCATTCTAGACGGGCCAAACCGAGTTTCTGCGCCTAAAAGCGGCCCCCACCAAAGCATAAATCTAAATCAGCCCTCGCCTATCTCGTGTCCACTCATATTAAGACAGGCGTGGTCTATTTTAGAGATCTATTTTAGAGGGCTAAATATTTGCACATGTACTGCAAGATCGCAATGACGAATACCTATTACAAGTATACATGCTTTAGGTTGAGCTTGAGACCTGCGCAGATGTTTCTCGCGGTCATTCTTCTGCAGGGTCTGCAGGGTACTTGCAAACTGTCTTTCGACATCTTCGAGCCTCGAAGACGTCGAAAGACAGCTCCGAGCCCAGGCGCAAAGTGTCACGCACCCTCCCGGTCGGGATCGGGTACCAGCGGGCTGATTGGGGAGTGCGGCCTCTGAGTGGGGCGAGGTCGGAAAGAGCTGGCTGGGTAGAAGTAGCAGGAGCTGAGCTAACGTAAATGAAAAGTGTCTCTTGGTTAGCTTGTGTTGTTATCGGGAAAATGCGAGACTGAAAGAGCTAAGCGCCCGTCGGCTCTGGCCGGGAACGCTCATAAGCACGACGCCTCCTCTCCTCTCCTCTCCTCACCTGGGCACCCTGGCGTGCCATCCATCCTTGACGCGACCCCCTCTCCACTAAGGCTTGAACAGAACCGCCCGGCCGCGCGACCTCCCTCCGCGACGGCTCCATGCTCCTCACGGAAGCTTCCACGACGACCAGCTGGCCTGACTTCAATGCACCGCGCCATCAATTCGACAGTGGCTCCTCACGCGAGAGGACGCTGTACCGCAGACTTGGTACCCAAAGTGTACCCACTATCGACCGTAGCGATATCCAGCAGCGGAGTGGTATCGAAGCAGGCTCGCCAGCGACCCTCCTGGTTCGTGGGTCCCAACCCCGGGTACGGGAAAAAAGGAACTGAAGAGCAAGAAGGGGCTTTGTGAGGTTTTGCTCAGGTTCGTCGATGTACTATTCCGTTGCCTGTTCGCAATCGCAAGGCCACCCGCTGGCAATGCTGCAGTGCGATCTTCGGCGACGGATCTGCTCCCGGATCTGAAGTTGAAGCGGCAAAGCCCGCGAGCCGATCAGCACCAAGCCTTTTTCACGGCCCACGCGCTCGAAATACTGCTGTTTTTCGTCTCGCAGATCTGGGATTCGCGCCGACTGTCGTCGACATTATTGAATGAGTCAGGCCCTGGCCCCCTCGACCTTTTTGACGAGAAGAACGCCGGCACAAGTATTGTGCCACAGCGCCCAGAGCTCAGTCGTCCATTATTTTTTAAAAGGTTGTATGCATTTTTCTTTCTCTATTCGCGCATCTTCCAGTAGTAAGCCTTTCGCGGCTCGCCACCGGATCCCGTAGAGGTCATTTTGATCGACTATGCGACCGCATTGCTAAGATAATATCGATTACTCGAAATTTTGGCTCGCAAACGGTCGAGGAGCATAACTGCAGGCTCCACTATTTGATCGCTTCGATGTCGTCGCTAACCCCCCCCCCCCCCGCTACGACTGAGTACGCTGTAGAAGTGAGTTTTCGCCAATACCCGTCGTGGTGCCGATCGGATGGCCCCCTTGACGAAAGTCTATCCCTGCGTGGGCACTTTGTTTAACGGCGCTGCTACATGTACATGTAGTGAAGGTAGCCACTTCAAGCTGGGAGCTTGAAGCGAAGTAGTGTACCAAAGCAATGCATCATGCCATCCACGATTTCGCGACTCTCGAAGTCGACAACGCTGTGAGCGGCGGGCGACTCCGACCAAACCTTTCGTCCGTTCAGAGGTCGTTTTGCCTTTACGAACGCATGGCAGTGGATATTCACGGATATTCACGACTGTCTTCGCGTTATTGGGGGTAGTCAGCCGTGTAATGAAGGTAGGCACATGCAGGTAGGTCGATGCCTTCCCTCTGCAAGAATTCAGCGACCCGCGTGCTCTCTTGCCTGGGACAAGCAAGCAGGGGGGTAATACAGTACAGTCCACGCAATGCCCTATGGCACGACACTGCTGCTGTTAGTGCTCGGTAGTCGTGGCCCGTTGCAGTTTTACACGCAGTAATGGCTTGGGCTTGTGGCGCTGGCCTGCGAACCGTGGTGCTTGGAGTATCGGAGACGACAGTATCCATGTAGGAGCCATCCTGAGCTCTCCTTTGGCACCGAGTCCCGCTCCGTGCGTTGCACTTGTATTATACGTGAGGTAGCCGCTCGATCGGACGGTGTGGGTTGTATGTAGACACCTGGCGACCAACTTCTACATGAGCTTAAAGCTTAACGTAACCGGTGGTAAGGCATTGTCTCCCGGAGGGGTTCTATCCACGAGCACTCGGCCATGTGAGACTCGACTTCTACGCGTAAGGTCATTCATGCGTGGACGTCCACGAGCGGCCTGGCAGCTGCACGAAAGATAAGCGGTCGGTGCCCAGCAACGCAAAAGTATCGGCCGATCTAGTACGCACCTTTACGATCCAAGAAGAGCGTTTGACTTTCGTCTCGCCGTGCTTTGCATCTTCCTCGTGGACTTGACACCTCAAGCTTTTGGGCCGCCCGATTCACGTGCGGCAAATAAAGACGTGACGAGCGAGCACTTTGGGACCACAAAGGCTGGAGCTGGCGAAATGCCGTCCTGCTGCACTTCAACTTCAGCGAACTCGGCTGTCAGCTCAGCCAGCCAAAGGCGGCAAGTTACTCTTTGCCACGCCGGGCTTGCGTACTTCTTACCATAAAGCCCAGAGCTCCACTGCATTATTTGCGTCCACCTGCGGACACTTTGGCACGCGCCAGGGCGAGCGTTTAACAGTGCCAACGGATCTGATATCAATTGAACGCTATTGCTTCCGTCCAGCAGACCCCCTAAAGCTAAAATCGAGGGGCAGTGGCAAGATAATTCACCAAAAATCCGCACGACATTCTCTAACCTAGATACATCTTTTGCCTTCTGACCCCCTCCCTCTCTCTCTCTTACCTCAACACCAGCAAGTGAGCCTTGGCGTTCTGTAGAAGCGTTTTCACGGCGCTGGCGGCGCGCTCCATAATCAGCGGCAAGTGGAAGATGCAAATGTGGACGACGAGGCACTCGCCACATGGGTGGCCTCTACATTACTCTCCATGTGTCGAGAGCGAGGCGACGGCCGCGCTTGCTTATCTTAGTTCGGTGGAGGGCTTTTTGATCACCGTCTCCACTCGATCGCGAGCCGATCCCAAGCCCACGCATTTTCCCAAGGCGAAAGGCCCCTATTTTGATGGTAGAAGTCGTGTCACCAGCACCCTCAAGTGCGGCTTGTGAAACTTAATGAAGGCAAATCTCGCACTCACGCGAGTTGAGTCAAGTGAAAGTTTGCTACACACGAGCCGCTTGGCTTCGAGACACTCGTTGGCCGCAAACACATACACGCACATGAGCCCCTGTCGGTCGGTCGGTCCTTTAACTTGACCGCTCGCTCCTACACTGCCACCTTTTCCGGTTGGTCCCAAATGGACCGCTCGTCTTTTCGACAAGGAGGCAGCTCTTCCCGAGTTTCAGCTGGGCGTGCGGATGTGCCCTTGCCACGCCGGACGTTTCGATTCCCCAACAAACCACTCCAGGCCTTTCAGAGAAGAGCCCTGGGATAAAGACCCGAGGGTGCAGCAGAGTAGCGTAGAAGCGATGGGGAGTAAGTTCGTCCCAACTCCCAGAGCCATTCCTACTTTTGCCTCGCTGGGCAGACGCCGTCTACCTTATCCTACATAATTATGCAGGCGCAGGTCATGACTCCCCCGACGACCCCCACAGGTTCCGTCGCGCAGGCTCCGCAATGGGCCCCAGAGCGCTGCAGCCTCAAGCGCATCGACAGCTCAAGTTCCAAGGTGCAACACCAGAACGATGATAACCAGACCCAGGCCCGGATCCAATGGCAGTCCACCAGCCACCTGCCCGAACGCCGCATGATGGTGCAGCGGATCCTGCAGCTCTCCCAGTCGCAGTCCAAGACCGTCGACCCGCAGCGCGCGGTGCTGCTGGCCAAGCGCATCGAGTTGGCGCTGTACTCGCGTGCCGGATCATTGGCCGAGTACTACAACTTGGCCACGCTGCGTCGCCGCCTGCAGAGTCTCGTGGCCTCCAGCGTCCACGAAGCCGCGGCAAGTGAGACCGTGGCGCAGACCCACAAGACTCTCAAGCGCCTCGTTGTCGCGCGCGACCTGATGCGCGTAACCAAGCGCCGACGTTGCACTTTGAGCAGCGGCAACAGTATCTTCTCGAGCATTGGTGAGGACTGCACGCGGTTGGTGTTTTCGTTCCTGGACGGCAAGGAGGTGATGCGTCATCGAGCGCTTAACCGCTTCGCCGCGACTTTCTTGCCGCGGTGCGTGGTAAGTTTGACCGTGGAGGTGACTCAATTGAACCAGGGGCTGGCTTCCAAGTCGTCCATGTTGCAGATGACCAACCTCCAGCAGCTCGTAGTGCACAAGGCTGGAACGTTGTCATTGTCACCATCGGTGGTGCCAATGGTGGGCTGCGCGTCCACGCCGCTCTACGCCTGGGGCTGCGCGGAGCTGCCGACCACCCAATCCAACGATGGGGAGAGCGCCGTGCTCGGTTTAAGCAGTGCGCTAACCTCCGGCGCCTTCCCGAGTCTCAAGAAGTTGCAGCTCATTTCCGTCTTCGTTAACACCATGAGCCGCAACGCGCTCCGCTCGCTGTGTAATGCACTGGAGTCTGGCTGTTGCCCGCAATTGGAGGACCTTTTGCTGGCTGGCAACAGCCTCGCCGACCTCGGAGCTTTTGAAGTGGCAAGACTGCTGCCGTCCGCTCAAGCTCCGCGCCTCACGCGTCTGGATCTGCGCCGCAACTTCATCGGAGAGACCGGACTTCGAGCCGTCCTCACTGCGTTGGCGCAGTCGACGCGCACCCCATCGCTGCAAGTACTGTGCATGGGCGGCAACCTGGTCACGGACAACTGCGTGACGGAGTTGCAGAGTTTGCTGGCCGGAGCCGTGTGCCCCTCGCTGAGGTTCCTCGGACTGGAAGACAACTTCCTGAGCGCTGAGGGCGTGCAGTTCGTCCTTAAGACCGCGGCGGTGAACTCGACCAGAGCGCGTCGAGTCTCTTGCGACCGAGGCAACTCCAGCTCCGCGTAAAGCGAACAACCTAATAGTTAGCAACCTAAACTACCCTAATAGAATCAACCCTGTACACGAGTGAACCTACTAGTACATTTTTCATTGGATTCGCGTTCTTCTTGCAGTCCGTTGGGTTCCGATTTTTGCCTGTGGACGAACGTTTGAAGTTGAACTGGTGCAGCTTCCGATGAAGTCATGCAACCAGGCGTTTCATTGATCCGTTAAGCCATTTTTAATTTTTTCATTGCAACGGTCACAACGTGAGGCCATTAAAGGTTTAGTACTTCGTAGTACTAACCAAGTAAGCAGGAGAAGAGCGAGGTGCCGTAGCTTGAGATGCCCGCATGATGCAACAAACAAAGGCAGAGGAATGGTGGTGGTGGCAGTGCGAGGACTCAATATATAAGTACGAATACAGGGGACGTGCGGCTCGCTCCAAGTTTATAGGCTGCCGCTCGGAGAAGACGACGTCCTCTCAGTCTGGCAAAAAGCTGCAAGAAGCTGGCTGGTCTTGAGTTTTTCACCGATAGAAGGGGTGGAACTGGGTGGTGTTGGTGGGGAGTCCGTCGCAACACTTTCGTTGCGGGTCAAAATTCTACGGCACTTGATGGTGGACGGGTTGGGATGGAAGGATGAATCACTGGTAATACTCCTCTGGGGGCGTCGTGGAGACATACCACCCCCACTGCGGGGACACCGTCTCTCCGTCTGCCTGAAGCAATGCCGCCTCCAGTTCACTGTTCTCCACGTCCGCGCTCACCTCGGCTGGGACAACGTCCGACTCTGTCTCTAACTCGCCGAACTGCAACAACACAGTTTAACACCACTTAAACGTCAGAGGCGGTTAAGTGAAAAAATCCGAGAAAAATCTGCTGTACACGTACACTGAGGTTGCGCGGACTCAGGTTGCGGTCTCTTGTGGGCGTGGACGCGCCGCTCTCCGTGCTGCTGCACAGGTCGTCGGCCTCGCTCTCCTTGTGCACGTCTAATTTCAGCTCGCGCTCGTCCTCGGCCGCCGCCTTGAGGTACGTGAGCACGCTCACAGCCGTGGCGGCGGCGGCGGCGGCCGTGGCCACGACCGGGTGTTGCCTCACCCAGCGGATGCCGCCGGCGATCTCGGTGGGCGTCGGGAAGAAGCTGGGGACCACCACGTCGGACATGTCGATCGATATGTGTGTGTGTGTGTGTAGTTTAGATGGTGCTAAATTCGCAGTGGGGGATGAATCTCTTGTTTGCCTTGGCGCTGGCTCTTGAGTGTTGTTGCTTTGGTTGTTGCCTGCACGCTGCCTGCCTGACACTCACTCTCTTGTGTTATCCAGCGGAGACTTTGCACTGTTCCGGCGGCTGCGGATGCGGCCGGTTTCGTCTTGAAATTTGTATGCAAAAGAAAGGGCGCTTCGCACCAAGCGCCAGCACAAAAACACGTCGCAAAGACGGCCACAAAACCTGCACAAATACATCCACCTTTAGATACCGATAATAAGATTAAAAAAGCGATCATGGCAGAAAACCTTTATAAACCTATCTCCTGACACATCTGCATAGTTAAAATCGATGCGATTGGAAGGGTACATTCGCGCGGCTCGGGTTGAGGTGGAAGAGGAGAGGAAGCACTGCAAAAATGGTCTCGGCGTTTGCCACGCCGGACTCGCACATTCAAGCAAGGGGGGCAATTGCATGCCGTCTTGCAGTGCTGCCTGCCCTGATACCCACTCAAACGCGTGAGGCAATTGTGTGATGGAAGCTCGACTTCAAACCAAACACAATAATCGATCGGACCGTTGAAAGGTCGGCAGGTACAGTAGGTACAAATATCTTAGTCTAACGCCGGAATTATAACCGACTGACTGCAATGTGCAATGCTGGACTCGACTCGCCCAGGCGCTGAGGCTTTGATCACGGTCTGGGCGTGCCAGCTCCCCAGCTGTGGCTGTTCGTGGCGGCAATGCTCGCCTCGACCCAGCAATCTGCTTTCCACACCCCCAAGAACAACAACACTGCGTTACGCTTGCCGGCACACATAGTCCCAGTCGCCTGTTGCTCCCTTCTTCTTAACATTTTCTCAGGCTTGCTGCTCCGCTCGCGGGCTACGGGCTTTGGCTTTGCCGATCATCGAGCGGTGGTTGAATTGAAATTTCGGACCGCCGGAGCTTCAACCGGCTTTGCCTTTTGCCCGCTCTTGCCCTTGGGCAACGGCAACTGCAGACTTCAAACCTGGCCTTACCCAGCCCCGCCCAAACTCAGCTCATCCGCCTCTTGAGCTGAAGCAGCACATCTCCAGACTTCAGTCTTGGGTCCGAAGTGTCGAGATGGCTTCATTGGCGCCAGCACGAAGGACAGGCGTGTGGCGAGCGTCGGCCTCTATGCTGTCGCCTTCACATTTGCTCTCATGCGCCATTGAGGACGCGATCCTCTAGAGGCGTGAGGGCATTGAAGTTACCTGGTTTGACACTTTAGCGCTTGTATTCAGCGGAAACGCAGGCGGTGATAAGTAAAAAAAACCGGTCATGTGTCGAACACCGAAAGGCAACTTCCCGTTGGTCTCGTCGTCGGCTTGAGAATCTCAGTTCGCAACAGGGCCACATGCATGAAGTCCGCTCGTCCGCTTGCCCTCCAATAGTACATGTATGGTCGGCTTCGCGTTTTGCAACACATTTCAATCAGACAGAACTAAGGGGTTTGCACAAGGTCACGCACCAATAACTTTAGATGCCGAGTTCACCAATACTTTGTTTTATGACTGATAGCCGGAGTCATCGATCCCAGGCTGCGCGTAGTCAAACAATGGATGTGTCCATGTAGTGACTCCTTCGGAGCCAACCCCAACGTGTTGCTCGAGAATGGCAATTTAGTTGCTTATGCCTCTTGCCGTGCCTGTGTACTTCGGGATATTTTTTTCATGGCTGATGTCGAAGTAAGACTTGCCCATTTCCCAAAACTGTGTCGACTTCGAAGTACTACTACTAACTACTAAACTAGTACATCCCCAGTCGAAGTTACTCTTTCAGCGAGCGAGGCCTTCGCCTTGCCCTTCTCCTTCTTGAGCACTTCGTACCGGCTCGCGTCCGCCTCGATGTACTGCTGGATCTGCTTCCGGGTCGCCGTGATGTCGTCAGCTGAGAAGGCGCTGGATGTGATCACAGCCTCGAGATGGCTATCCGTCACGTCCTTGCCGATCACGCCGTCGTTTTGAGCCAGCAGACCCAGCTCCAGGCAGTTTTTCAGCATCACCTCGGCGAACTTCAGCACGTAAACGCCGCAGTCATAGCCGTTTTCTTGGAGCGGGGCCTTCACGTTCAAAGGCAACACGCGATCTACCGCGTACTCTGCGCCCAGCTCATCGCCACTTGAGCGTCCTCTAGTGTTTTCCCACTCCATTCGCAAAAGTCTGGTGCATCATCAGGGGTAGCATTAGCTCAGGCAATCTTGTAAGCATACCAATTTGCCATACAACGTTTGTCGCGTACGTTCTCAAATTGCGAACAATGGCAGCTTTGCGGTGGTAGGAGCCGAGTGGGTCCAGCACTCCGACACACGTGAAGGCCTCCTGATAATCCAAACACGAAACAACTGTGAGTTACGCAGCGTGTAGAACGGACGTTCACTGTCCACTTACGTTGTCGCCACTTGGATCAGTCCCAGCGGCTCCAGGGTTCACAATGACAGCAAGACTCCAATGCATACTGGAGAAAAAAGGTAAATGAGCGGTTAGAACACGCGGATAGAGTACCCATTCGCTCCCAGGCCGTGTCACTTACTCTTTGTTGATGGGAATAAATATGATCGAGCGATTGAAAAAGTTCGAGCGCGAAAGCCACGTCGACACATTCTTGTACCCAGCTTCCAAGCGTGCTGTCGGGGTGGGCCCCTTCCCTGCTCGCAACCGGGAGTAGAAGTGCGAGTTGAGAAACAGCACCTTCTCCTGAACGACCTCATTGTCTTGAAATTGCTCCAGCGTTAAGCGCCTGAAATAAAAGCAGGAAATGCTCAGAATCATCAACCACTGGTACTGGCAGCCAGCGCAATTCACTTACTTGAAGTAGTAATCGACGATATTGTCGTTCAGGTACCGCTTGGGCTTCAGCCGGTTAACATCCTTGCGGATAATTGTGATGACGTCGGACGTGCAAGGGGGCAGCGGGTAGTTTAGCACCGTGACGAGTCCATCGGCATCATCATCATCCGAATCCGGTGGACTGGTAGCATATCACAAATTATACAACGTCAGTTCAAGACTCGCGCATCTATGAGTGACAGCAGCAATAGCGCACCTCTCCACGTTTTCACCCGTGCTTTTTCGTCGCCGCGAGCGCCGAGGAGCAGTGTAGGAAAATGGATCTTTGAGCAAAGCCTGCAGGTGTTCTTTTGCTTGCTCTTTGCCATCTCTGTGAGCGAGCATACACCAAAATGAGTTACGCTTCGTAAACATCAAATACATGGCACAGTATACGCACAATGTCAGCACGTCTGCGCAGCCCCGCAGGATGTCTCGGACGTCGTCAAGATCCCCTCCCGTATATGTTGCTTCTTCTAACGGGCGAAGAATCATGTACGATTTCAAGACATCTACGACCCAATCATCATAGAGCAAGGAGCCATGAGTGCCTTAACTTCAAGCAATAAATGTTGCTACAAATCGAACCACGTACCATCGTCCGCGGGGTCGTAGAAGGTCTTCACTGCATCCTGCTCGGTTTCCTCCAACAGCGGCAACTTGAATGCTACGTAGGAAGCTTCGCCTAGCAATTGCTCCATCTGCTCCGAATCAACGACCTCATTTTCGGCGTCTTTTGACACCTTATAGAGTCTGCAGCCGCACAAGAAATCGATCAGCTCCGCCTCAATCACAGCACTCAAAGACAGACAAGCGTACCTGACATCCCGCAAATGCTTAAAGTCAAACATATACGACGACTTGAATGGCCACGCGTCGTGCTTCCCGCGAACATTCCTCATGCACATCCGATCATTCTGGAAGTACAGGTCGACAATGCACCGGAAGAGGCCGATCATCACGTCGCAATTGTGGATCTGGACCACAGCGTTCTGGGTGATATCCTCCTCCGGTTCAACTGCAGGCGGCTTCTCCTCCTGATCTTCCTTGCCTCCCTTTTTCCTGTCATCGTTCAGCACTTCTTCGACAATGTCCGAGCTGTTCCCGTCGTTATTGAGTTGCACCTCAGCCTCCGACTCGGAGTCCGAGTCTAGCGCAATCGGCTTGTCCGCGGATCCTTCACTGTTCATCTTCCGCTTGCCCAGCCTCGTCGTCCGCGCACTTCGAAGCGAAAACCCTGGCGAAGAAATGGGCGAGAGCTCCTGAAGCAGAGACGAGCGTCGATCGCGCAGTGCGTAATGTCTTGTTACAACAGGCGGCGAGCTCTTCCGCCGCTCGTTGTCCAGCTTCATCCTCTTCTTCGTCGCGTCCAGAACCACGCGCGGCTTGGGCTTGGGCTCTTCTCTCCTGTTCCTGCTCACCCAGCCACTGGACCCGGACGGCGGGTTCGAAATGTCCTTCTTAGGCGGCGGCGCACTCGCAGCCTCTAAGGACGACACCGTTGAGTACGCCATCAAGGCCTTGGTCCGTCCGGCCCCTCGGTTCTTCATCGTGTTGATTTTGGTCAGGAAATCGTCCTGCTCCTTCGGTGCCATGAAGACCTACAGCAACAACAGCAACGGCGATAAGGTTAGTTCTCCGTAAAAATAATGTAAAATAATAACAATAACAAAATACGAATACTTACTTTTTGCAGGACTGCATCTGTGACGCCGAGGGAGGAGTTGGCGTTGACGATGGAGGAGCCTGGGGCGCTGATGCTCTGGCCGCTGGCCTTGGGCCTGGCGGAGGACTGGTACTTGGCTGGCCTGTTGTCGTCGTCTTCGTGCCTGCGTCGCTCCTGTAGCTCGTGCTGCGGGTCGTCTCTGTCGAAGTGGAAGTCGTGGCGGGAGTCGTCCCAGCTGCTGTGGCGGTGGCGCTGTCTGCTTCAGGCGGACGGCAGAGTGTCCACACGTGAGCGACAGAGCCGACAGAGTCGCAGCAGCAGCAGCAGCAGCAAAGGAGGAGGAGGAGGAGGAGGAACAAGAACTCACTCTACGTACGGCCGCGACACGGAGCGCTCGGACGCGATCGTGGCGAACTCGAGCGTGTTGGACGTGTGGCGAGCGTCGCCCATGTAGTGCGGCCCTCCGCCGTAGCGCGAGCGGGGCTCCGGGGGCGCGTGCCGGCGTGCGCCGAAGCGCCGACGGCCGCCGTTCGGGGGTTCCATCGGGTGGTGCCACTGGAGCAAGACGGACTAAAAAGTTGGCGGTGGCGGACTAAATGGTGGGTACACAAGACTAAATCGCAAAAATGAACCTGTAATCAAAACGTTATGGCTCCGCTCTGGCGTCTTGTGCACGGAGTCATGACGAGCTCCTATAGAGTCCGGTAAGCGGGCCAGCAGAGCGCTGCACTTCCCGTTCCGACGCGCAGTATACAGCACAGTACGCAGATGGGGAACTCGTGTCGGAAGAAGAATGCACGCAACAAGTTGGACAAGGACTTGCTGGAAGCCGCAAAAGCCGGAAGCTTCGCGAGGTTCCAGGAGCTCGTGGAGCAAGGCGCAGACATCAACGCGACGGAGTCCATGGGAGACTCCGCGCTCGTGTTAGCTGCTAGAGGCGGGCACACTGCGATCGCCCGGTATCTCTTCGAAACACGCGGTGCTGCGGTGCTTGCCGACGTCAAGCAAGTGACTGAGGCGATGGCAAAGGCCACGAAATTCCGACATGTCGGGTTCCTGCGATACCTCATGGCTCAGCCCGGCGTGGATGTCGACGCAACGAACGAATACGGTGAAACAGCACTGATGAAGGCCGCTGAGAAGGGGCACCTTGACATCGTCCTCTTTCTTACAGAAGAGTGTGGCGCTGACGTGAATGTCATCACACGCTACGGTCAAACAGCTCTGGTGAAGGCTGCTGAAGGCGGGCACAGCAAGATCGTCCAGTACCTCGCTAAGCGCAGCGCTGACGTGAGTGTGGAAGACAAATACGGATCTACCGCAATTATGGGGGCTGTTAGGCATGGCCATATCGACGTCGTTAGGTACCTTGCTGAAGAATGCGAGGCCGATGTGAACACGGACAAATCCGGCACAACGCCATTGATGGAGGCGGTTCGATTGGGGCATTTGGGCATTGTACAGTATCTCGCGGAAGAGCGCGGCGCTGACGTGAACTTTACGCATAAAGACGAGCACAGCGGATTCACTGCGCTGATGAAGGCCGCTACGTACAGATACGTGGGGATCGTTCGATATCTGGTGGAGCGATGGAATGTTGACGTGAATGTGACGGATGTAGACGGGAACACGGCCTTGATGCGGGCAGCTTCGAGAGGGTATGCTGACATTGTGCGGTATCTAGCTGAGGAGAGCGGCGCAGATGTAAACGTCAAGAATTCCAACGGGCGAACAGCAATACAACTTGCCGCTGAACAGGGGCATCAAGAAATCCAGTACATACTCACACCATTCCTGCCGCTTCCGGTTCAACGGCATATCAGTGACAGAACAAGGATACGTGATGCAGTGCCCTCTTCTTATAAGTCGTCAAAGTGGGCCATCCACCCTTCTGAAATCGCGCTCATGAACCTTTCAACAAAGGGCAATATTGGAGGTGAATACCGTGCCAAGTGGCTTGGTGCAGATGCAGTTGTGAAATTATTTGTTCTTGACGTATCTCGCTCGGAATTTGAGAAGGAAGTACAGCTGTGGGGGGAATTGCGTCATCCCAACGTGATCAAGATGTACGGTGCGTGTGATGCGAGCTCACACCTCAAGTTCTTCGTCTGTGAGTACGCCAGTAAGGGATCGCTGCTTGAGCACATCGACTCTTCAGCTGGGAAGCCGATGATTTGGAAGTTCCTGCACGAGGCAGCCTTAGGGCTGGAGTACCTCCATGAGCGGGGAATTGCCCACGGAGACCTCCGATGCAGTAACATTCTGGTTGGCAGTGACGGTTTGGCAAAACTGTCCAACTTTGCGGTGAGCTCTGGTGTGGCAGCTTCAGGCGTTGCTGGTCCACTGCACTGGCAAGCTCCCGAGGTTTTGTTTTGGCATCGTTCGCCATCATTTGCGTCGGATGTTTATTCGCTGGGGATGTGCATTGTAGAAGCTGTGACCGGGAAGCGGCCATGGGACAGCGAAGCGGAACGCCAAGTTATATCTAGCAAGAGACACTGGACCCCGGAGGAAGGAATCAGCTGGTACACCGATCTCTACGCACCTCCGTGCCCTTCCAAAGATGCGCGAAATTTAGTGGGGCGTATGTGTTGCAGTGACTCTAACAGACGCGTGAGGATTTCTTCTGTGGTCTACGAGCTCGAGCGCTTGGCAATCAAGGAGAATGCTAGCAACGCCCAGCCAGAAAGTGTGCCTTCACACACCTTTGACGACTACAGGTGGGAAGAGATGCTAAACGTCTGGACCGACGTAGAACTGTTCATGAAGGCATGCGAGAATAGCCAGTATTGCCAAGTTTTCGGCGAGATCAAGAATGTGCATGAGCGTCTGCTACACTCAAGCTACCGCCAAATGCTGCTCGCAAGATTTCACAAGCTTCTCACAGAATTTTATTGGACGGTCAAGATGTCGCCTGAGCAAGCACATATACTGCGACTATCGTCAACGCGCGCGCCCTCTAGCAGCTTTTACGCGTTCAATTGGCGCATTCAATCGCTCCTAGCAGCGTTGGGAGACCCTGCGAGAGCGGATAAAGAGAGAGAGGTACGATGGCAGGAGCAGCGCAGTGAACAGACCGACTTCTTTGTTGCGGGTGTTACGGACGCATATCTTCTGTTGCAGGAGTTGAAGTCGACAGAGGAGCGTTCGGCTTTCCTCCGTCGTTTGAAGACACAAATTGATACTCCTGTGTCCAACTACACCCCTGACCAACTTTGCCTGATGAAGAACGCGTACGATGATATGGTTAGCAAACTCGAGACGGAAGATTGGTCGAAACTCGCACCCGAATGGTTCATTCCTTGGTACGAGTTGATTATTGACAAGTGGAGTAAACTGGGTAGCGGCGGATTTGGAAGTGTGTACCAAGGTACATGGCTGGATTCAGATGTTGTTGTAAAACTGGTTGGTGTCGACTGTGACCACGACGCTTTCTCGCTGGAGTACTCCACATACGAGTCGCAGGTTAAAACACAGATCACCCCAGAGCAGCGAGCAAAAGCAACGACGACATTCCGCCGCGAAGCTGACATTTGGTTTGGACTTAATCACCCTCATGTTATTCGACTGTTCGGCGCCTGCCACGTTGGAAGACCCTTCTTCGTGTGTGAGTACGCCACCAACGGAACGCTAGTCAGTTATCTACAAAAACATCCCGACCAACTCTGGACGAAGCTTCATGAAGCTGCGCTGGGGGTGCAGTATCTCCACGCGCGCAATGTCGTTCATGGCGATCTGAAAGGGAACAACATCGTCGTTGGGAGCGATTTCAAGGCGAAGGTGACGGACTTCGGCTTGAGCTCGATCACGGATAGTGAGGCAAAGCCAGAGGTGTCAGCAGCGGTGCATTGGGTCGCACCCGAGTGCTTGCCTCAGACCAAGTCAAAGCTGCAGACGCTTGAAACTGAAAGACCAACGTTTGCGTCCGATATCTACTCTTTGGGTATGTGCATTGTGGAAGCGCTACGAGTTGTGGAGGCAGTGACACTTCACAAGGATGCAAGTCGGTGTCTGCCGTGGGGCCTTGCTGACCAAATGGCAGTGAAATATCATGTCCGACAAGGAAAATTGCCTCCCAGACCCACTATCTGCGACGACCGCCTATGGGAACTGGTTGAGCGCATGTGTGTCTTGAACCCGAAGAAGCGCATCAAGATATCGACCGTCGTCGACGAGCTGGAGAGACTGGCATATGCCAACAACCAAGAGGACGAGCTCACCACCAACTCGCCGACGGATCTCGAGCACGTCCCTACAGTGGTCGCAGCGGCGCGACAAGTACTGACCCAGCTACAGCAGCACACAGATCAACGGGTAGCTGAGCTCTCACTGTACAGGGACTTGTGGGGTCAGCTCGAGCGGATCCATGGGCTAATTGATGCTTCGTGTGGCGCAGCAGGTCGCAGTGCCTTCAGCTCACTGGTTGCCGATGCTGAGTTGGCTACACAGGAACTTCCAACTAGGAAGGCAAACCTCACCTCCTTAGCTGAGTCGACGCTCCTTTGTCACGCCTTGCGTCGTCGTCTGGACAAGTTTTGTGAAGCTTGCTTTCTTGACATGGAGTGAAGATGAAACCCACCGCAGCTAAGGAAGATTCTTGTGACGACATTACACAACCCGAGCAAATGACATCTGCCTTGCTAGACCCACGATAAATTGGCTGAAAGCATAGCGGTGCTTGTACGAGGTCGATCTACACCTGGAATAAGTTGCACAACTTTGCTTTGGGGGTGGGCGATTGTTCATTACTCTCGGAGCAAGATTGGGCTCAAAATTGTTGGCGAACGTCTCCAATGTCGCCAACAATTAACCCCTTGTTTGGAGACATTGAGTTGTCTGCTTAGCCTGTATACGGTCGTGTTTTGCGTCGTTGCGAGCCTCATTCGATCAAGCACGAGGCTGGAAATGTTACCCATTGGCACGGCGACTTCTGGACCGATAAGTTGGATATCCATTGAGCCTCAGTGGCTCTCTCAAATTGAGGGTCCATTGGGTTGGTGCGACGCTTCATTCCAGAACTTCCACCAGATTGCGCAACATGGCGGGCGAAGGCGATTCGCAGTTGCTGAGGGCAGTGCGGGACGAAGACGTCGAGCGCGTGAAATCTCTCGTAGAGGCCGGGGAAGATGTGAACCAGCGCAACGCGTGCGGCGAGACCGCGCTGATGGAAGCTGCCAGGACAGGGAACCTGAGCGTCGTTCGCTTTCTGACCGACGCCGGTGCCGACGTAAACTCCGTGGATTCCCTCGAGAGGACTCCGTTGATATGTGCAACCGGGAAAGACCATAACTTCGCCGTCGTCCAGTTTCTCGTTGAAAGCGGTGCCCACGTCAACGCCGTGGCGCGCAACAGGTCGACTCCACTGTTGGAAGCGGCTGGAAAAGGGGACCTCGACGTCATCCGATTTCTTGTTGAGCGTGGCGCCCTCATCAACATCGCAGACGCGTCTGGAGAAACGGCACTCATGCACGCGGCTGAGGCGGGCGGGATGGACGTTGCTTGTTTCCTCGTTGACAACGGTGCCAGCGTCAACGCTGCCAATAACTATCGATGGACCTCGCTCCTGTGTGCCACAAGGAATGGGCACACAGACGTCGCTAGAATGCTAATTGCGAACGGCGCCGCTGTTGACGCTGCGGCGGTGGACGGACGAACTTCGTTGCTAATTGCTACGATGAGAAACGACTTGGAGGCGGTTCAGCTTTTGATCCAGAAAGGTGCTAATGTTGACGCCGTGGACGACAGCGGACAGACATCACTGATGCATGCGGAGATTCAGAAATGACTAGATTTCTAGTAAAGTCCGGTGCCAACGTCAATGCTGTGAGCGATAGTTTAGCTACTCCGCTGATGTATGCGACTTGTGCGGACACTCCGAATCTGGCGAATATTAGGTTTCTCGTCGAGCGCGGAGCCAACGCCAACGCTGTCGACAAGGATGAGGAAACGGCGCTAATGACCGCGTCCGCGTATGGCGATGTGGAAGTCGTTCGATATCTCGTCGATCGTGGCGCCAACGCCAACGCTGTGAACTGTAAGGGATGGTCACCGATTGTGTTTGCGATGGGATACGGAAAGTTGGATGCTGCTCAGTTTCTTGCTGAGGCGGGGGCTGATACCGGTGATGTGAAACAACATGAGGTGGAGATGCTACGAGACGCGGTTGATAACAGCAACTTGAATGTCGTTGAGTATCTCGTGGAGAGCGGCGCTGACGTTAATGCAACGGGTCCTGATAAAAAAAACCTATTGGTGCTTGCAGCAGAAAAGAACCACATGGATGTCGTTCGATTGCTCGTCAAATGCGGGGCCGATGTCAATGTTGCGAACGAGACAAATGAAACCCCACTACTTCGGGCAGCAAAAGACGGTGCATGGGGGATTGTTGACTTTCTGATTGATAGTGGGGCCGATGTCAGCGTTGCGGATGAAGACGGATGGACAGCGCTATTGCATGCTGTTGCTACGACTACGTTCTCGCTCGATAGCGTTCGATTACTTGTCGAAAGTGGTGCCGATATCAACGCTGCTGATAAAGACGGGTGCTCCCCATTGTACTACGCTGCAGAAATCAGCAACTTAAATGCCGTTCGATATCTCGTCGAATCGGGTTCTGACGTCAATTCTCTGGATGAGAATAACACCGCCCCATTGATGACAGCGGCCCGGAAGGGAGGGTTGGAAGTGGTTCAATTTCTCGTTGATGCTGGTGCTGACGTCAACGCTACAGATAGTGCCGGATTAACCGCACTCATGCGTGCAGCGGCGGAGGGTGCATTCGATGTCGTTCAGTATCTCGCCCAGCACGGCGCCGACGTAAATTCTGTCGACAAGAACGAAACGACGATGCTGATGCATGCTGCTAAGGGCGGCAGTCTGGATGCTGTTCGGTTTGTCTTCAAGAGTCAGACCGACGCTCAAGCTGTGGACAAAGACGGATGGACCCCATTAATGTACGCGGTACGAAGCAGTAGCTTGGATGTAGTCCGATTTCTCTTGGAGAATGGCGCTGACATGAACAGCGCGAACAGCGACGGTAAGACGGCGGCTTACATTGCTTCCAGTCGCGGCCACACGGATATCCAACAGCTTCTGATGCCAGCTCCAATGAGTAATCCTCTTGATCGACAATAGCGAGTCCGAAAACTAGGATGTGGCTGTGGTGTAGCGGGATCGGCCAAAATCTGGTGAAGATCGAATGTATTGGCGTGACGCGGGGATAGGTTGTGGAGCAGCGCGGGAATCTTCGCTCTGCGTCCGAGTATACGCTCCGATCGAGGGTTGTTCGCTCCGATCGGTCGGCCTGGAGTCGATCCACGGCCTGTAGTTGCCTTTCCGGGTGTGTTCCTTCCTTTCGTGAGTTGCTTGCCGCTTCCTATAGCGGGATCGAGGTTGATCGAGAGGAGAAACGATCGCCGGCCATGCAGTATCCGGTCGATCGAGGGTTCGCACACAAGAAATAGATCGCTAGAGTAGGTCAAGCTGGCCAATGTATTAATCCAGTCTTAACCGTACCACTAGCTCACTGTCCAAAGTGTCGATGCTTGCCGAGGCCAATGTAGTTCCTGGGACTTGACGACTTGAGGGGACTTGTGCTCTTCGGTGCAAATTCTGCTCTGATTTATGTTTAGCTGGTGTCTCTCTACCACTACCATCTCACCTACCATCCTACAACTAAACAACTACTGGATTCTTGTCCTGGCTTCGCCCCCATGTGCTCCCCATCTTGGCTGATCGGCGATCGACGATCGACGATCCACAGCTCTCGATCGCGATCAGTCCACTTCGGTCTTCAGCCGTCCCACTCTACGATGTCGCTCGTTGATCTTGCCCTCGTGCATGACGTCCTTCGCTTTCGACATGCGCCCTTCACACCGCGCCTCTTCGATCGGTGTGGGACGAGGCATCACCACTCTCCATGTGTCGATCAGCTTTGATCTACCTGGTTCCACACCCCGCCTACGTGCGAGTATCATCCCGGTACCTCGATCGCTCGTCGAATCTCCTCGATCTCCGCAATCCCAGTCTTGTTCAGGTCGCCCTTCTCTCGATCATTGATCCCCTTGATTTTTGGTCGATCGTTTATGCCGCCTTTCTCAGAGAACAAATCTTGTTCTCGCGCTTCTCCACATGGCCTTCTAGGTCCTTCGTGGTCGCCAACAGAAACACTCCGCGCTTGTTCATATCACCCTTGAGATGTGTTCCGTCCAGACCGATGACGTGTCGGCAGTGTACTTGAAGGCATGCCCCTGGAAAAACGCAAGCCCTTCTGAACATGTTATTCTCGCGCCTGCCAAACCCGTAGCATGTCTTGGAGTTCGCATCACTCACCATGGCTAGATATCCCTCCAGCTTCTGGTAACTCCCGACGACGTCGTCGCGCAGCGATTCGAGAAGATCCCGCTTGATCTTGGATGCCGCAGTTCGGTTCGTTATCACCCCCTTAGTCATCAAAAAGTCGATGATAGCCCGCCCTGTGCCCGAGGCCCACGTTCCGCTGTAAGAGGGGATCAACTCACGCTCAACGACGCCCCTCATCACTCGGTAGGGCACGCTGACGAGAGGTATCTCCTGCGAGACCGCCTTCAACAAAGGTATCGCCCTGAAAACCGCCGTGTCTGAAGTGGTCATGGGCCAGACACATCCTTGTTATCTTCCAGTTGTTGCGGATCCCGTACACCGTAATGAAAAATGGGCAGTTGGCAGTGCTGCCTGGAATGAGCTGCTGCTGCCCTTTCACCGCCTTGCAAGTGTACTTGGCGTTTCCTTCTTGACGACGAGAGTGATAGCTGTTGTTGGCCACGCGAATGGAAAAGCCACGGGCTCGAGCAAACTCGCGACAGCGTTGCAGCAGAGCCTTTTTCGACTCAAGCGTCGCAGACGCAACGTTGTTCCCATGGTCGGAAACTACGCCGTAAGAAGAGGGGTCGAGGGGATCCAAGCCGACATCTAGCTCAGGTCGTAGCATGCGCATCTCGATGACTTCGGCGATGTCCGCTTCTTCGACAGCGGATGAGGTGATCATGGGCGAAGACATTGTCCGGGTGACCGAAACAGGAGAGGTGGTAGAGGTGCTGAGGCGTGTAGTTGGGTGGGTATCCGACAAAAAGACGAATGAGCCCTGCAGTGAAAACTCGCGAGCTAAGAGAACACGGGCTAAACGAGGTGGTTATGAAACTCCTACAGAGATGTGTTGCTAAGCTCCGGCCCAAGATACTGAAAAAAAGTATGAACGTCCGTTTCAAAATGTACGACAAGAAGCTCAGAATACCGCGAAGTGAGATGCTCGGAATGCCCGTCCGTTTTAAAACTTACGAGTCGTAAGTTATTGCTGTCGTACGTTACAATAAACGTAAGAGTACTTAACAGAGGCGTGGCCTGCTCAGAATGCCCGTCCGTTTTAAAACTTACGAGTCGTAGGTTGTTGCTTTCAGACTTTTCAACAAACCCAACTGTACTTATCAGACGCGCGGCCGACGAAGTTTTAATATAGAACCAAGTGCGTTAGTTTGGTCTGCGTGCATACAATTCTACGAAGCGATGATGTAAACTTACACATTAGCATTACGACACTCTTACTCTAAAAAGTTAATTTCGTACGATATTACTTGGCCCTGGAAAACAGTTATTTTTGCCCATAAAATTAACGTTCAATTCGGATATGATAAAACGTTATTTTTGACTGTGGCAATCTACTTGCAAATTGATGCATTCACCTACTTAGACTTTTACAAAAAGGCTTCAATCTACTTGAAACTTAATTCCTCGCGCGTATGTCATCTCCTGCATGATTTAGCACATCCAGCATGGATTAGCATCCTTTTGGCACTTTCCGAAAGTGCCATTTCCGAGCCAAGCTGGCTTCGAAACACGACTTCAAAGCCACTATGATTTACCACTAAGTACGAACACTATCTAGTGCACTAATTAGGAGGGAAAACCGGTTGCAAAGCACAATATCATAGAGCACATATATATCATAGAGCACACTTTCGATTATCCAATGAAAGCCATATAATTCACACTTGAAATAAGACATTCAATCTCGGAGCCTGATAGCCGCGCTCGTTGCGTTACGCCATTTTGAATGGCGCGAACAGGTAGAACGCGCTTAAAAAGTGAAGGTGACGCGCGGCCAAAGCAGTACGAGCGCTCGTTGCGATTACTTAAGTACGTACGAGTTCAAGCTGTGTGTGCTTCGATTCCTAGACACTACACCGATGGCAAAAACGGTAGCTAACGGAAAACGCCAATTTGTATACCGCATACTATTGAATTGAACACTTGTCAAATCTAGAAAGATATACAAATAGGAGGGGGGGTTATACTACCAAAGTAGCTCCGACGCATTCAAGTCTGAAATATTGTGTGTAGAGCTAGCTACGTTCTGCAAAACCTCTTTGATGGCATCCTGCCAACGTATGTACCAGTCTTCAAACCATGGAGACATCCATAGATTGCGCAGAGTTGGTTCACAACGTCTCTCATGCCGTTAGATGCAAGCAGAACTTAGACCAACAACCAAAACCATTTTTCTTTGGGTACCTTACGGTAATTTTGCGTAAAGTTACACAAAATGCAAACAGTACCGAATACAAGTGTCAGTTTTTAAACTGTGGTCTTTAAAAAGATAAAAATAACCGGATCTTGCTTGCCGTATTTGACAAAGTAATACTTACACGGAAAATAAAGGGTGATTTTCAATTTTAAGACATCTCTTAGCCAATCAAAAGATGTTTACATGCTAAACTTCACATAAATTTCAAGAAAATTATAAGCACTCAACGTTCTATACGGTTTGGTTGAGGTATACAAATTGGCGTAGGTACAATAGCTTTGTATACTGAGCACATTCTATCAGATTTGAGAGGAGGTATTCAATTCGGGAAGGGTACGCTATTTGGCGCTATCCGTTAGGTATTTTCCTGACGGGAAGGTGATTCCCTTCATTTCATTTTCATCCGGGCTTCAGGAACAAACTTTGCCAGGAGGTCTTTCACCGTCTTGGCCGCGATAGTTCCGCCAGATCGAAGGTCACTCCAGGAATCTCGTACACGTCCATGATCTTCGTGAATATTAACCCTATCGTTAACGCCATACATTTCTGTTTGAAGGGACACCATACAAACTTTAAGTAAAACGGGGTAAAATGATGCATGAAGTATCATTTTGCTGTATTAGGTTTGCGAGGCCAACTGATCAAAAGTATACGTGATGGGAGGTTTGAAGCGACCTTTCGATCAAAAAGATACGTGAGGCATCATTTTACTGCTTCTCTGTGATTCGCTGCGAATCGACAAAAGTATCAGTGGAAGCAGTACCGTGAGAACAGCACCCTAACAAAACTTTAGTAAGAGCGGTACCGTGGATCACAGCGCCATCTTGTGGATTATGTGGGGCTTTTCCTAGTTGTGAAGCGGCGGCGCCGTGGTCTCCGATGCGACGCTGGCGAATATGGCGGCTGTCCTGGACCTGGCCGGAGCGTCTCCGACGGCGGCGACAAGCACGCGATGACTGCGGGCATCTCGGGCAGCAAGCACAACGGCGGCCGCAGCGCCACCGTGTGTGCCGTCAACAGCATGGTCTCGGAGGCTTCCGCGGCGACCGTGGCCGTGTTGGATGTGATCGGGGGCGTCTCCGCTGGCATGGTCACGAACGCGACGGTGGCATTCGGCTCGGGCAGCGAGCGCAACGACAGCGGCAGTCCGCACGCAGGTTGCCGCCGGTAGTAGCGTCAGCGGCGTCGCCAGCGACATCGACAGCAGGGTCTCGGACACGATGGAGGTGACCGTGGCCTTGGGGGATGCGGTCAGAGCTACGATGTTCGTGCAAGACGTTGATGTAGATGTGTACAATGGCTGATATATGTTATTGGCTCTACAGGTAATGAACAATGGGATGAACATGTCTGACAAACGAAGTATATTGAATGTCCCTTTCCATTCTGCGCGAGGTACTTAGATGTAGGGCTCTACAACCCTGGTGTACCAGTATGCGTGATGAAGCTGGGAAGACCAAGACACGTGAACGTCGATACGCTGCGGAGCGTCCAGACAGAGCAGAAGTTGCGCGGGCAGGTTGGGCGGTGCCCGCCGCAAATTGTTGCCATGACAACGACGTGGACCAAACCTGCTGCTGAAGATGCAAAGTCCTCCAGCGCCGCAAAACTTGTAGGCTCGAAAACGATATTCTTCGCAAATAAAACACTGCACCCGTCAATATCCTCGCGTACGGCTGGGCTCATCGCTCTGAGGTCGGCCTCGTGAATCGTGACCTTGGATAAATTCGGGAAATCCACGCGTGCGCCACGAATCAGCAGTTTGGACATGTTTGCCAAGTTGTCCTGGAACTCAATCCCGATGCATCTCCCAACACAAGTCTCCAGTGCCACTTGTGCAACCACGTTGCCGATCCCAGATCCAAAGTCAACAAAAGTGTCGGCGATTGTAAGCGTTGGAATGACTGCCAGTATTGCTGAAACCCCAGTTAGCGATATCTCACCAGCATGACAATCCGGCGCATGGACGGGTTGACGCAAGGCCGAGGCATACAAACTTGACACAGCGTCATGAACGTTGCCAACATTATCGGGAGCGCTCACCTTGTGGCCACCACTAAGCGCGTCCGTGCCGATTTTTGATCCCGAAATCTCCTTGGGAAAGAATCTAAGCTCACGCCGTGTGTCCTCTTCAGCGTCTTTAGACGAATCTGCAGCTGTCGCTGTGTCTTCCCGCAGTATGGCATCCCCAACCAGACAGCCCGCCAGTTAATTCGGCGGCCTGCATCAACCTGCTCCTTTGCCAGCCGATAACGCAGCAAGTCCTCTTCGTCCGAGAAGTCTGCCATCGGGTTGCCACGAGATCTAGAAATCTATAATGCCATACATACCATAAGATATTTGGTCTCATACTTCTTCGCCTGATAACCTACCGACCTTTCACAAAGGTCCCATCCCCATCAATGTACTCAACACCAGGTTCAAGACGCTCCTACCGCCAGCAAGGCAACTAAGCCCGGCTATCGATGCCGCTGCTACAAACGCTCTCGTGGCACTGCCCAGCCAACACGAAAGCACCCCTATTAGCCTTTCGACCGCGCCGAATGCCACCGTCACGTTCGTGACCATGCCAGCGGAGATGCCCCCGATCACGTCCAACACGGCCACGGTCGCCGCGGAAGCCTCCGAGACCATGCTGTTGACGGCACACACGGCGGCGCTGCGGCCGCCGTTGTGCTTGCTGCCCGAGTCGCCCGCCACCATCGCGTCCGCGTCCGTGTCCATGTCGGCGGAGACGCCGCTGACCACGTCCACCAAGGCCACGGTCACCTCCATCGTGTCCGAGACCCTGCTGTCGATGTCGCTGGCGACGCCGCTGACGCTACTACCGGCGGCAACCTGCGTGCGGACTGCCGCTGTCGTTGCGCTCGCTGCCCGAGCCGAATGCCACCGTCGCGTTCGTGACCATGCCAGCGGAGACGCCCCCGATCACATCCAACACGGCCACGGTCGCCGCGGAAGCCTCCGAGACCATGCTGTTGACGGCACACACGGTGGCGCTGCGGCCGCCGTTGTGCTTGCTGCCCGAGTCGCCCGCCACCATCGCGTCCGCGTCCGTGTCCATGTCGGCGGAGACGCCACTGACCACGTCCACCAAGGCCACGGTCACCTCCATCGTGTCCGAGACCCTGCTGTCGATGTCGCTGGCGACGCCGCTGACGCTACTACCGGCGGCAACCTGCGTGCGGACTGCCGCTGTCGTTGCGCTCGCTGCCCGAGCCGAATGCCACCGTCGCGTTCGTGACCATGCCAGCGGAGACGCCCCCGATCACATCCAACACGGCCACGGTCGCCGCGGAAGCCTCCGAGACCATGCTGTTGACGGCACACACGGTGGCGCTGCGGCCGCCGTTGTGCTTGCTGCCCGAGTCGCCCGCCACCATCGCGTCCGCGTCCGTGTCGCCGACGGCGGAGACGCCACTGACCACGTCCACCAAGGCCACGGTCACCTCCATCGTGTTCGAGACCCTGCTGTCGATGTCGCTGGCGACGCCGCTGACGCTACTACCGGCGGCAACCTGCGTGCGGACTGCCGCTGTCGTTGCGCTCGCTGCCCGAGCCGAATGCCACCGTCGCGTTCGTGACCATGCCAGCGGAGACGCCCCCGATCACATCCAACACGGCCACGGCCGCCGTTGTGCTTGCTGCCCGAGTCGCCCGCCACCATCGCGTCCGCGTCCGTGTCCATGTCGGCGGAGACGCCACTGACCACGTCCACCAAGGCCACGGTCACCTCCATCGTGTCCGAGACCCTGCTGTCGATGTCGCTGGCGACGCCGCTGACGCTACTACCGGCGGCAACCTGCGTGCGGACTGCCGCTGTCGTTGCGCTCGCTGCCCGAGCCGAATGCCACCGTCGCGTTCGTGACCATGCCAGCGGAGACGCCCCCGATCACATCCAACACGGCCACGGTCGCCGCGGAAGCCTCCGAGACCATGCTGTTGACGGCACACACGGTGGCGCTGCGGCCGCCGTTGTGCTTGCTGCCCGAGTCGCCCGCCACCATCGCGTCCGCGTCCGTGTCGCCGACGGCGGAGACGCCACTGACCACGTCCACCAAGGCCACGGTCACCTCCATCGTGTCCGAGACCCTGCTGTCGATGTCGCTGGCGACGCCGCTGACGCTACTACCGGCGGCAACCTGCGTGCGGACTGCCGCTGTCGTTGCGCTCGCTGCCCGAGCCGAATGCCACCGTCGCGTTCGTGACCATGCCAGCGGAGACGCCCCCGATCACATCCAACACGGCCACGGTCGCCGCGGAAGCCTCCGAGACCATGCTGTTGACGGCACACACGGTGGCGCTGCGGCCGCCGTTGTGCTTGCTGCCCGAGTCGCCCGCCACCATCGCGTCCGCGTCCGTGTCCATGTCGGCGGAGACGCCACTGACCACGTCCACCAAGGCCACGGTCACCTCCATCGCGTCCGAGACCCTGCTGTCGATGTCGCTGGCGACGCCGCTGACGCTACTACCGGCGGCAACCTGCGTGCGGACTGCCGCTGTCGTTGCGCTCGCTGCCCGAGCCGAATGCCACCGTCGCGTTCGTGACCATGCCAGCGGAGACGCCCCCGATCACATCCAACACGGCCACGGTCGCCGCGGAAGCCTCCGAGACCATGCTGTTGACGGCACACACGGTGGCGCTGCGGCCGCCGTTGTGCTTGCTGCCCGAGTCGCCCGCCACCATCGCGTCCCCATCCGTGTCCATGTCGGCGGAGACGCCACTGACCACGTCCACCAAGGCCACGGTCACCTCCATCGTGTCCGAGACCCTGCTGTCGATGTCGCTGGCGACGCCGCTGACGCTACTACCGGCGGCAACCTGCGTGCGGACTGCCGCTGTCGTTGCGCTCGCTGCCCGAGCCGAATGCCACCGTCGCGTTCGTGACCATGCCAGCGGAGACGCCCCCGATCACATCCAACACGGCCACGGTCGCCGCGGAAGCCTCCGAGACCATGCTGTTGACGGCACACACGGTGGCGCTGCGGCCGCCGTTGTGCTTGCTGCCCGAGTCGCCCGCCACCATCGCGTCCGCATCCGTGTCGCCGACGGCGGAGACGCCACTGACCACGTCCACCAAGGCCACGGTCACCTCTATCGTGTCCGAGACCCTGCTGTCGATGTCGCTGGCGACGCCGCTGACGCTACTACCGGCGGCAACCTGCGTGCGGACTGCCGCTGTCGTTGCGCTCGCTGCCCGAGCCGAATGCCACCGTCGCGTTCGTGACCATGCCAGCGGAGACGCCCCCGATCACATCCAACACGGCCACGGTCGCCGCGGAAGCCTCCGAGACCATGCTGTTGACGGCACACACGGTGGCGCTGCGGCCGCCGTTGTGCTTGCTGCCCGAGTCGCCCGCCACCATCGCGTCCCCATCCGTGTCCATGTCGGCGGAGACGCCACTGACCACGTCCACCAAGGCCACGGTCACCTCCATCGTGTCCGAGACCCTGCTGTCGATGTCGCTGGCGACGCCGCTGACGCTACTACCGGCGGCAACCTGCGTGCGGACTGCCGCTGTCGTTGCGCTCGCTGCCCGAGCCGAATGCCACCGTCGCGTTCGTGACCATGCCAGCGGAGACGCCCCCGATCACATCCAACACGGCCACGGTCGCCGCGGAAGCCTCCGAGACCATGCTGTTGACGGCACACACGGTGGCGCTGCGGCCGCCGTTGTGCTTGCTGCCCGAGTCGCCCGCCACCATCGCGTCCGCGTCCGTGTCCATGTCGGCGGAGACGCCACTGACCACGTCCACCAAGGCCACGGTCACCTCCATCGTGTCCGAGACCCTGCTGTCGATGTCGCTGGCGACGCCGCTGACACTACTACCGGCGGCAACCTGCGTGCGGACTGCCGCTGTCGTTGCGCTCGCTGCCCGAGCCGAATGCCACCGTCGCGTTCGTGACCATGCCAGCGGAGACGCCCCCGATCACATCCAACACGGCCACGGTCGCCGCGGAAGCCTCCGAGACCATGCTGCTGACGGCACACACGGTGGCGCTGCGGCCGCCGTTGTGCTTGCTGCCCGAGTCGCCCGCCACCATCGCGTCCCCATCCGTGTCCATGTCGGCGGAGACGCCACTGACCACGTCCACCAAGGCCACGGTCACCTCCATCGTGTCCGAGACCCTGCTGTCGATGTCGCTGGCGACGCCGCTGACGCTACTACCGGCGGCAACCTGCGTGCGGACTGCCGCTGTCGTTGCGCTCGCTGCCCGAGCCGAATGCCACCGTCGCGTTCGTGACCATGCCAGCGGAGACGCCCCCGATCACATCCAACACGGCCACGGTCGCCGCGGAAGCCTCCGAGACCATGCTGTTGACGGCACACACGGTGGCGCTGCGGCCGCCGTTGTGCTTGCTGCCCGAGTCGCCCGCCACCATCGCGTCCGCATCCGTGTCGCCGACGGCGGAGACGCCACTGACCACGTCCACCAAGGCCACGGTCACCTCTATCGTGTCCGAGACCCTGCTGTCGATGTCGCTGGCGACGCCGCTGACGCTACTACCGGCGGCAACCTGCGTGCGGACTGCCGCTGTCGTTGCGCTCGCTGCCCGAGCCGAATGCCACCGTCGCGTTCGTGACCATGCCAGCGGAGACGCCCCCGATCACATCCAACACGGCCACGGTCGCCGCGGAAGCCTCCGAGACCATGCTGCTGACGGCACACACGGTGGCGCTGCGGCCGCCGTTGTGCTTGCTGCCCGAGTCGCCCGCCACCATCGCGTCCCCATCCGTGTCGCCGACGGCGGAGACGCCACTGACCACGTCCACCAAGGCCACGGTCACCTCCATCGTGTCCGAGACCCTGCTGTCGATGTCGCTGGCGACGCCGCTGACGCTACTACCGGCGGCAACCTGCGTGCGGACTGCCGCTGTCGTTGCGCTCGCTGCCCGAGCCGAATGCCACCGTCGCGTTCGTGACCATGCCAGCGGAGACGCCCCCGATCACATCCAACACGGCCACGGTCGCCGCGGAAGCCTCCGAGACCATGCTGTTGACGGCACACACGGTGGCGCTGCGGCCGCCGTTGTGCTTGCTGCCCGAGTCGCCCGCCACCATCGCGTCCGCATCCGTGTCGCCGACGGCGGAGACGCCACTGACCACGTCCACCAAGGCCACGGTCACCTCCATCGTGTCCGAGACCCTGCTGTCGATGTCGCTGGCGACGCCGCTGACGCTACTACCGGCGGCAACCTGCGTGCGGACTGCCGCTGTCGTTGCGCTCGCTGCCCGAGCCGAATGCCACCGTCGCGTTCGTGACCATGCCAGCGGAGACGCCACTGACCACGTCCACCAAGGCCACGGTCACCTCCATCGTGTCCGAGACCCTGCTGTCGATGTCGCTGGCGACGCCGCTGACGCTACTACCGGCGTCAACCTGCGTGCGGACTGCCGCTGTCGTTGCGCTCGCTGCCCCAGCCGAATGCCACCGTCGCGTTCGTGACCATGCCAGCGGAGACGCCACTGACCACGTCCACCAAGGCCACGGTCACCTCCATCGTGTCCGAGACCCTGCTGTCGATGTCGCTGGCGACGCCGCTGACGCTACTACCGGCGTCAACCTGCGTGCGGACTGCCGCTGTCGTTGCGCTCGCTGCCCGAGCCGAATGCCACCGTCGCGTTCGTGACCATGCCAGCGGAGACGCCCCCGATCACATCCAACACGGCCACGGTCGCCGCGGAAGCCTCCGAGACCATGCTGTTGACGGCACACACGGTGGCGCTGCGGCCGCCGTTGTGCTTCCTGCCCGAGTCGCCCGCCACCATCGCGTCCCCATCCGTGTCGCCGACGGCGGAGACGCCACTGACCACGTCCACCAAGGCCACGGTCACCTCCATCGTGTCCGAGACCCTGCTGTCGATGTCGCTGGCGACGCCGCTGACGCTACTACCGGCGTCAACCTGCGTGCGGACTGCCGCTGTCGTTGCGCTCGCTGCCCGAGCCGAATGCCACCGTCGCGTTCGTGACCATGCCAGCGGAGACGCCCCCGATCACATCCAACACGGCCACGGTCGCCGCGGAAGCCTCCGAGACCATGCTGCTGACGGCACACACGGTGGCGCTGCGGCCGCCGTTGTGCTTGCTGCCCGAGTCGCCCGCCACCATCGCGTCCCCATCCGTGTCCATGTCGGCGGAGACGCCACTGACCACGTCCACCAAGGCCACGGTCACCTCCATCGTGTCCGAGACCCTGCTGTCGATGTCGCTGGCGACGCCGCTGACGCTACTACCGGCGTCAACCTGCGTGCGGACTGCCGCTGTCGTTGCGCTCGCTGCCCGAGCCGAATGCCACCGTCGCGTTCGTGACCATGCCAGCGGAGACGCCCCCGATCACATCCAACACGGCCACGGTCGCCGCGGAAGCCTCCGAGACCATGCTGTTGACGGCACACACGGTGGCGCTACGGCCGCCGTTGTGCTTGCTGCCCGAGTCGCCCGCCACCATCGCGTCCCCATCCGTGTCGCCGACGGCGGAGACGCCACTGACCACGTCCACCAAGGCCACGGTCACCTCCATCGTGTCCGAGACCCTGCTGTCGATGTCGCTGGCGACGCCGCTGACGCTACTACCGGCGTCAACCTGCGTGCGGACTGCCGCTGTCGTTGCGCTCGCTGCCCGAGCCGAATGCCACCGTCGCGTTCGTGACCATGCCACCGTCGCGTTCGTGACCGTGCCAGCGGAGACGCCCCCGATCACATCCAACACGGCCACGGTCGCCGCGGAAGCCTCCGAGACCATGCTGTTGACGGCACACACGGCGGCGCTGCGGCCGCCGTTGTGCTTGCTGCCCGAGTCGCCCGCCACCATCGCGTCCCCATCCGTGTCGCCGACGGCGGAGACGCCACTGACCACGTCCACCAAGGCCACGGTCACCTCCATCGTGTCCGAGACCCTGCTGTCGATGTCGCTGGCGACGCCGCTGACACTACTACCGGCGTCGACCTGCGTGCGGACTGCCGCTGTCGTTGCGCTCGCTGCCCGAGCCGAATGCCACCGTCGCGTTCGTGACCATGCCAGCGGAGACGCCCCCGATCACATCCAACACGGCCACGGTCGCCGCGGAAGCCTCCGAGACCATGCTGCTGACGGCACACACGGTGGCGCTGCGGCCGCCGTTGTGCTTGCTGCCCGAGTCGCCCGCCACCATCGCGTCCCCATCCGTGTCCATGTCGGCGGAGACGCCACTGACCACGTCCACCAAGGCCACGGTCACCTCCATCGTGTCCGAGACCCTGCTGTCGATGTCGCTGGCGACGCCGCTGACGCTACTACCGGCGTCAACCTGCGTGCGGACTGCCGCTGTCGTTGCGCTCGCTGCCCGAGCCGAATGCCACCGTCGCGTTCGTGACCATGCCACCGTCGCGTTCGTGACCGTGCCAGCGGAGACGCCCCCGATCACATCCAACACGGCCACGGTCGCCGCGGAAGCCTCCGAGACCATGCTGCTGACGGCACACACGGCGGCGCTGCGGCCGCCGTTGTGCTTGCTGCCCGAGTCGCCCGCCACCATCGCGTCCGCATCCGTGTCGCCGACGGCGGAGACGCCACTGACCACGTCCACCAAGGCCACGGTCACCTCCATCGTGTCCGAGACCCTGCTGTCGATGTCGCTGGCGACGCCGCTGACACTACTACCGGCGTCAACCTGCGTGCGGACTGCCGCTGTCGTTGCGCTCGCTGCCCGAGCCGAATGCCACCGTCGCGTTCGTGACCATGCCAGCGGAGACGCCCCCGATCACATCCAACACGGCCACGGTCGCCGCGGAAGCCTCCGAGACCATGCTGTTGACGGCACACACGGTGGCGCTGCGGCCGCCGTTGTGCTTGCTGCCCGAGTCGCCCGCCACCATCGCGTCCCCATCCGTGTCGCCGACGGCGGAGACGCCGCTGACCACGTCCACCAAGGCCACGGTCACCTCCATCGTGTCCGAGACCCTGCTGTCGATGTCGCTGGCGACGCCGCTGACGCTACTACCGGCGTCAACCTGCGTGCGGACTGCCGCTGTCGTTGCGCTCGCTGCCCGAGCCGAATGCCACCGTCGCGTTCGTGACCATGCCAGCGGAGACGCCCCCGATCACATCCAACACGGCCACGGTCGCCGCGGAAGCCTCCGAGACCATGCTGTTGACGGCACACACGGTGGCGCTGCGGCCGCCGTTGTGCTTGCTGCCCGAGTCGCCCGCCACCATCGCGTCAGCGTCCGTGTCCATGTCGGCGGAGACGCCACTGACCACGTCCACCAAGGCCACGGTCACCTCCATCGTGTCCGAGACCCTGCTGTCGATGTCGCTGGCGACGCCGCTGACGCTACTACCGGCGTCAACCTGCGTGCGGACTGCCGCTGTCGTTGCGCTCGCTGCCCGAGCCGAATGCCACCGTCGCGTTCGTGACCATGCCAGCGGAGACGCCCCCGATCACATCCAACACGGCCACGGTCGCCGCGGAAGCCTCCGAGACCATGCTGTTGACGGCACACACGGTGGCGCTGCGGCCGCCGTTGTGCTTGCTGCCCGAGTCGCCCGCCACCATCGCGTCCCCATCCGTGTCGCCGACGGCGGAGACGCCACTGACCACGTCCACCAAGGCCACGGTCACCTCCATCGTGTCCGAGACCCTGCTGTCGATGTCGCTGGCGACGCCGCTGACGCTACTACCGGCGTCAACCTGCGTGCGGACTGCCGCTGTCGTTGCGCTCGCTGCCCGAGCCGAATGCCACCGTCGCGTTCGTGACCATGCCAGCGGAGACGCCCCCGATCACATCCAACACGGCCACGGTCGCCGCGGAAGCCTCCGAGACCATGCTGCTGACGGCACACACGGTGGCGCTGTGGCCGCCGTTGTGCTTGCTGCCCGAGTCGCCCGCCACCATCGCGTCCCCATCCGTGTCGCCGACGGCGGAGACGCCGCTGACCACGTCCACCAAGGCCACGGTCACCTCCATCGTGTCCGAGACCCTGCTGTCGATGTCGCTGGCGACGCCGCTGACGCTACTACCGGCGGCAACCTGCGTGCGGACTGCCGCTGTCGTTGCGCTCGCTGCCCGAGCCGAATGCCACCGTCGCGTTCGTGACCATGCCAGCGGAGACGCCCCCGATCACATCCAACACGGCCACGGTCGCCGCGGAAGCCTCCGAGACCATGCTGTTGACGGCACACACGGCGGCGCTGCGGCCGCCGTTGTGCTTGCTGCCCGAGTCGCCCGCCACCATCGCGTCCGCGTCCGTGTCCATGTCGGCGGAGACGCCGCTGACCACGTCCACCAAGGCCACGGTCACCTCCATCGTGTCCGAGACCCTGCTGTCGATGTCGCTGGCGACGCCGCTGACGCTACTACCGGCGGCGACCTGCGTGCGGACTGCCGCTGTCGTTGCGCTCGCTGCCCGAGCCGAATGCCACCGTCGCGTTCGTGACCATGCCAGCGGAGACGCCCCCGATCACATCCAACACGGCCACGGCCGCCGTTGTGCTTGCTGCCCGAGTCGCCCGCCACCATCGCGTCAGCGTCCGTGTCCATGTCGGCGGAGACGCCACTGACCACGTCCACCAAGGCCACGGTCACCTCTATCGTGTCCGAGACCCTGCTGTCGATGTCGCTGGCGACGCCGCTGACGCTACTACCGGCGTCAACCTGCGTGCGGACTGCCGCTGTCGTTGCGCTCGCTGCCCGAGCCGAATGCCACCGTCGCGTTCGTGACCATGCCAGCGGAGACGCCCCCGATCACATCCAACAAGGCCACGGTCGCCGCGGAAGCCTCCGAGACCATGCTGTTGACGGCACACACGGTGGCGCTGCGGCCGCCGTTGTGCTTGCTGCCCGAGTCGCCCGCCACCATCGCGTCAGCGTCCGTGTCCATGTCGGCGGAGACGCCACTGACCACGTCCACCAAGGCCACGGTCACCTCCATCGTGTCCGAGACCCTGCTGTCGATGTCGCTGGCGACGCCGCTGACGCTACTACCGGCGTCAACCTGCGTGCGGACTGCCGCTGTCGTTGCGCTCGCTGCCCGAGCCGAATGCCACCGTCGCGTTCGTGACCATGCCACCGTCGCGTTCGTGACCGTGCCAGCGGAGACGCCCCCGATCACATCCAACACGGCCACGGTCGCCGCGGAAGCCTCCGAGACCATGCTGCTGACGGCACACACGGTGGCGCTGCGGCCGCCGTTGTGCTTGCTGCCCGAGTCGCCCGCCACCATCGCGTCCCCATCCGTGTCCATGTCGGCGGAGACGCCACTGACCACGTCCACCAAGGCCACGGTCACCTCCATCGTGTCCGAGACCCTGCTGTCGATGTCGCTGGCGACGCCGCTGACGCTACTACCGGCGTCAACCTGCGTGCGGACTGCCGCTGTCGTTGCGCTCGCTGCCCGAGCCGAATGCCACCGTCGCGTTCGTGACCATGCCAGCGGAGACGCCCCCGATCACATCCAACACGGCCACGGTCGCCGCGGAAGCCTCCGAGACCATGCTGTTGACGGCACACACGGCGGCGCTGCGGCCGCCGTTGTGCTTGCTGCCCGAGTCGCCCGCCACCATCGCGTCCGCGTCCGTGTCCATGTCGGCGGAGACGCCGCTGACCACGTCCACCAAGGCCACGGTCACCTCCATCGTGTCCGAGACCCTGCTGTCGATGTCGCTGGCGACGCCGCTGACGCTACTACCGGCGGCAACCTGCGTGCGGACTGCCGCTGTCGTTGCGCTCGCTGCCCGAGCCGAATGCCACCGTCGCGTTCGTGACCATGCCAGCGGAGACGCCCCCGATCACATCCAACACGGCCACGGTCGCCGCGGAAGCCTCCGAGACCATGCTGTTGACGGCACACACGGTGGCGCTGCGGCCGCCGTTGTGCTTGCTGCCCGAGTCGCCCGCCACCATCGCGTCAGCGTCCGTGTCCATGTCGGCGGAGACGCCACTGACCACGTCCACCAAGGCCACGGTCACCTCCATCGTGTCCGAGACCCTGCTGTCGATGTCGCTGGCGACGCCGCTGACGCTACTACCGGCGTCAACCTGCGTGCGGACTGCCGCTGTCGTTGCGCTCGCTGCCCGAGCCGAATGCCACCGTCGCGTTCGTGACCATGCCACCGTCGCGTTCGTGACCGTGCCAGCGGAGACGCCCCCGATCACATCCAACACGGCCACGGTCGCCGCGGAAGCCTCCGAGACCATGCTGCTGACGGCACACACGGTGGCGCTGCGGCCGCCGTTGTGCTTGCTGCCCGAGTCGCCCGCCACCATCGCGTCCCCATCCGTGTCCATGTCGGCGGAGACGCCACTGACCACGTCCACCAAGGCCACGGTCACCTCCATCGTGTCCGAGACCCTGCTGTCGATGTCGCTGGCGACGCCGCTGACGCTACTACCGGCGGCAACCTGCGTGCGGACTGCCGCTGTCGTTGCGCTCGCTGCCCGAGCCGAATGCCACCGTCGCGTTCGTGACCATGCCAGCGGAGACGCCCCCGATCACATCCAACACGGCCACGGTCGCCGCGGAAGCCTCCGAGACCATGCTGTTGACGGCACACACGGTGGCGCTGCGGCCGCCGTTGTGCTTGCTGCCCGAGTCGCCCGCCACCATCGCGTCAGCGTCCGTGTCCATGTCGGCGGAGACGCCACTGACCACGTCCACCAAGGCCACGGTCACCTCCATCGTGTCCGAGACCCTGCTGTCGATGTCGCTGGCGACGCCGCTGACGCTACTACCGGCGTCAACCTGCGTGCGGACTGCCGCTGTCGTTGCGCTCGCTGCCCGAGCCGAATGCCACCGTCGCGTTCGTGACCATGCCACCGTCGCGTTCGTGACCGTGCCAGCGGAGACGCCCCCGATCACATCCAACACGGCCACGGTCGCCGCGGAAGCCTCCGAGACCATGCTGCTGACGGCACACACGGTGGCGCTGCGGCCGCCGTTGTGCTTGCTGCCCGAGTCGCCCGCCACCATCGCGTCCCCATCCGTGTCCATGTCGGCGGAGACGCCACTGACCACGTCCACCAAGGCCACGGTCACCTCCATCGTGTCCGAGACCCTGCTGTCGATGTCGCTGGCGACGCCGCTGACGCTACTACCGGCGTCAACCTGCGTGCGGACTGCCGCTGTCGTTGCGCTCGCTGCCCGAGCCGAATGCCACCGTCGCGTTCGTGACCATGCCAGCGGAGACGCCCCCGATCACATCCAACACGGCCACGGTCGCCGCGGAAGCCTCCGAGACCATGCTGTTGACGGCACACACGGCGGCGCTGCGGCCGCCGTTGTGCTTGCTGCCCGAGTCGCCCGCCACCATCGCGTCCGCGTCCGTGTCCATGTCGGCGGAGACGCCGCTGACCACGTCCACCAAGGCCACGGTCACCTCCATCGTGTCCGAGACCCTGCTGTCGATGTCGCTGGCGACGCCGCTGACGCTACTACCGGCGGCAACCTGCGTGCGGACTGCCGCTGTCGTTGCGCTCGCTGCCCGAGCCGAATGCCACCGTCGCGTTCGTGACCATGCCAGCGGAGACGCCCCCGATCACATCCAACACGGCCACGGTCGCCGCGGAAGCCTCCGAGACCATGCTGTTGACGGCACACACGGTGGCGCTGCGGCCGCCGTTGTGCTTGCTGCCCGAGTCGCCCGCCACCATCGCGTCCGCGTCCGTGTCCATGTCGGCGGAGACGCCGCTGACCACGTCCACCAAGGCCACGGTCACCTCCATCGTGTCCGAGACCCTGCTGTCGATGTCGCTGGCGACGCCGCTGACGCTACTACCGGCGGCAACCTGCGTGCGGACTGCCGCTGTCGTTGCGCTCGCTGCCCGAGCCGAATGCCACCGTCGCGTTCGTGACCATGCCAGCGGAGACGCCCCCGATCACATCCAACACGGCCACGGTCGCCGCGGAAGCCTCCGAGACCATGCTGTTGACGGCACACACGGTGGCGCTGCGGCCGCCGTTGTGCTTGCTGCCCGAGTCGCCCGCCACCATCGCGTCCGCGTCCGTGTCCATGTCGGCGGAGACGCCGCTGACCACGTCCACCAAGGCCACGGTCACCTCCATCGTGTCCGAGACCCTGCTGTCGATGTCGCTGGCGACGCCGCTGACGCTACTACCGGCGGCGACCTGCGTGCGGACTGCCGCTGTCGTTGCGCTCGCTGCCCGAGCCGAATGCCACCGTCGCGTTCGTGACCATGCCAGCGGAGACGCCCCCGATCACATCCAACACGGCCACGGTCGCCGCGGAAGCCTCCGAGACCATGCTGTTGACGGCACACACGGTGGCGCTGCGGCCGCCGTTGTGCTTGCTGCCCGAGTCGCCCGCCACCATCGCGTCCCCATCCGTGTCGCCGACGGCGGAGACGCCACTGACCACGTCCACCAAGGCCACGGTCACCTCCATCGTGTCCGAGACCCTGCTGTCGATGTCGCTGGCGACGCCGCTGACGCTACTACCGGCGGCAACCTGCGTGCGGACTGCCGCTGTCGTTGCGCTCGCTGCCCGAGCCGAATGCCACCGTCGCGTTCGTGACCATGCCAGCGGAGACGCCCCCGATCACATCCAACACGGCCACGGTCGCCGCGGAAGCCTCCGAGACCATGCTGTTGACGGCACACACGGTGGCGCTGCGGCCGCCGTTGTGCTTGCTGCCCGAGTCGCCCGCCACCATCGCGTCCGCGTCCGTGTCCATGTCGGCGGAGACGCCGCTGACCACGTCCACCAAGGCCACGGTCACCTCCATCGTGTCCGAGACCCTGCTGTCGATGTCGCTGGCGACGCCGCTGACGCTACTACCGGCGGCGACCTGCGTGCGGACTGCCGCTGTCGTTGCGCTCGCTGCCCGAGCCGAATGCCACCGTCGCGTTCGTGACCATGCCAGCGGAGACGCCCCCGATCACATCCAACACGGCCACGGTCGCCGCGGAAGCCTCCGAGACCATGCTGTTGACGGCACACACGGCGGCGCTGCGGCCGCCGTTGTGCTTGCTGCCCGAGTCGCCCGCCACCATCGCGTCCGCGTCCGTGTCCATGTCGGCGGAGACGCCGCTGACCACGTCCACCAAGGCCACGGTCACCTCCATCGTGTCCGAGACCCTGCTGTCGATGTCGCTGGCGACGCCGCTGACGCTACTACCGGCGGCGACCTGCGTGCGGACTGCCGCTGTCGTTGCGCTCGCTGCCCGAGCCGAATGCCACCGTCGCGTTCGTGACCATGCCAGCGGAGACGCCCCCGATCACATCCAACACGGCCACGGTCGCCGCGGAAGCCTCCGAGACCATGCTGTTGACGGCACACACGGTGGCGCTGCGGCCGCCGTTGTGCTTGCTGCCCGAGTCGCCCGCCACCATCGCGTCCGCGTCCGTGTCCATGTCGGCGGAGACGCCGCTGACCACGTCCACCAAGGCCACGGTCACCTCCATCGTGTCCGAGACCCTGCTGTCGATGTCGCTGGCGACGCCGCTGACGCTACTACCGGCGGCAACCTGCGTGCGGACTGCCGCTGTCGTTGCGCTCGCTGCCCGAGCCGAATGCCACCGTCGCGTTCGTGACCATGCCAGCGGAGACGCCCCCGATCACATCCAACACGGCCACGGTCGCCGCGGAAGCCTCCGAGACCATGCTGTTGACGGCACACACGGTGGCGCTGCGGCCGCCGTTGTGCTTGCTGCCCGAGTCGCCCGCCACCATCGCGTCCGCGTCCGTGTCCATGTCGGCGGAGACGCCGCTGACCACGTCCACCAAGGCCACGGTCACCTCCATCGTGTCCGAGACCCTGCTGTCGATGTCGCTGGCGACGCCGCTGACGCTACTACCGGCGGCAACCTGCGTGCGGACTGCCGCTGTCGTTGCGCTCGCTGCCCGAGCCGAATGCCACCGTCGCGATCGTGACCATGCCAGCGGAGACGCCCCCGATCACATCCAACACGGCCACGGTCGCCGCGGAAGCCTCCGAGACCATGCTGTTGACGGCACACACGGTGGCGCTGCGGCCGCCGTTGTGCTTGCTGCCCGAGTCGCCCGCCACCATCGCGTCCGCGTCCGTGTCCATGTCGGCGGAGACGCCGCTGACCACGTCCACCAAGGCCACGGTCACCTCCATCGTGTCCGAGACCCTGCTGTCGATGTCGCTGGCGACGCCGCTGACGCTACTACCGGCGTCAACCTGCGTGCGGACTGCCGCTGTCGTTGCGCTCGCTGCCCGAGCCGAATGCCACCGTCGCGTTCGTGACCATGCCAGCGGAGACGCCCCCGATCACATCCAACAAGGCCACGGTCGCCGCGGAAGCCTCCGAGACCATGCTGTTGACGGCACACACGGCGGCGCTGCGGCCGCCGTTGTGCTTGCTGCCCGAGTCGCCCGCCACCATCGCATCCGTGTCGCCGACGGCGGAGACGTTTCCGACCAGGTCCATCAAGACCATGATTGGGGGAATGCCGATGGTAGGGCGTTTCGGCGAGGGAGAACGGGTAGAGCGGTCGCGATACATAATGTCACATAAATAGGCTATTGGTATTTGAAGTGGTTTACACAACATGTAAAGGCTCGCCTTTTTGGTGCCCATTTTGCTTTGGTTGATCTTTTCAAGCTTTCCCGCGCTGACATTTTTTCCCATGTCTTCGCTTTGACCAATCAAAACCTGTCTCCAAAAACTCGATGACAGTGATTGGCTGCCAAAGTTCAACAAGAAGTGTGATTGGTGGAATTAGTTCAAATCGATCCACTGTTGTTTGGTCGGCTTGCTCGGCTTGCTCCGAATCAAAATGACCTTCTCGCATCGGAGCTCATTTCCGATTTTGCAAGCTCGATCCCAAGTGTCCCTGGCTGACCACGCTCCGTTCTTCCGGTTTCCACGCCTCGGACGACGGTGGTACACATGTGCTGGCCGTACCCATCGTTTACGGCGCGTGGCTGCCCGTGATACTGTGCACGCTGCGGTCAAGTCCAGCCTGCCAGTTCGCCCCATCACTCTCCAAGTCCAGCGTCGTTGGAGTCGCCACACGCTCAGCTCCTGTGTGTCGACGCATCTGCTGCTGCTGACCGCCTGTGCTACTTGACGCGCTGACCTCGGGACGCACCGGGCATGAAGATGGACTCGCAGTCCGTCGTGTACCCACCCGACGACCACGTCCCGCACAACCGCCGCAACAGCGCATTTGTTGTCGATAACGCAGTGCTACTAGAACTGGCGCTGGGATGGTGTCGTTTGTCCCGTAGTCCCCAACTCTCCTCACGGCATTGCCGCCGGGTGTGGCTGTCAACCACGTTCAGCTGCGAGACGCCAAGATTCCGCTACAGGACCCCGAGATGGAGCGTCGGAGGCGGCACTGGACGACTGCCCACTAGACCTGCAGGTGGACGGCGTTCTCCCGCCCTATTTTCGCTTCCAGCGATCCTCATCGACGGACAACCGCGCGTAGATGCCTCAGGAGGGAGCGGGGTGCCACCGGCGACAAAGATCAAGAGAGGCTACCGCTAGAAATGGAGCGTTCGAGTCCCATCGGGGGTCAAGATGGAGCCTGAAGTCGCCATGACGACGACGTCGCAAGCGCCCAATTTGCCCAGCGACAGGGACACGCAGACGGCATTGGCACTTGGCAGCAGTGTATCTACGATGGGCGTCACCACTGTCGCCGTGTACCGTAGTTCGGACCGTCGCTATGGGGGCTTGCATGGGTCAACGTAACTCTGGAGACGATGCCGAAGCCGCTACAGCACTTACATTTGGTAGCAATACTGGAGTAAATCTAAGTACCGTATGTTACCGTTGAACGCTTTGAGTACTCGTACTATTCATGACTCTGTGTAATTACACTGTATTCATCCCGCACTCGATATCCGATGCATTTTGCACGGTACCTTGTCAGCACAGCTACGCTGCATTCCGCATGGCGGGCATTGAACCTGCACCGGTGGGTTCAAACTCCACCATACTAACATCACATACAACGATGAGTCGAACCACCCCATACAAAGCCTAGTACGTTCGGTCCCTTTGAACACTTCGAACATGGCCATACAAATAACAATATATTCGGTCCAATGGCTCAAGCGAGACCGATGCATGCAAACCAGTTAGAGATCTTTGCCGTGAAGGAGCCACTGGTACGCTAGCTGAGCTCGTCCACCACCACATACCCAATGCCACGAAAGCGGAAGCAGCGGTCGAGCACCTGCGAGCCCACAGCTAAGCGACAACAATCACGACGCTCGGGTCCTATCTCACCTTCAGCTCCCACCGGTCTAGGTACGATCCGTTGCTTACCTAGCGCTCGAGCAAGGTATCATATTGACGCGTGTCCACCGGCATACAGTCCTCGCGGATGACCATGCGATGTTTGGATCTGTTTGGCGAGTTCTAAGTGCGGCTGGTTGGAGTTCAAAGCGTCCAACAGGGCGAAGCTGGAGTGATCTGTACCGCTATATCCCTCCCGGTGGTGACTCGAATGGAACAGAGGGTATCGACTATTTTCTGGGTGAACGAGCGCTTTTGGAGCACTATCGGCGGACATTGGTAGTGGAGGATGGTGATACGGATGGTGCGATGACGAAACTGATGCCGACCAAAACAACGTTAATATATGTGGGGCTGGCGATGTTGCTCTCAACGCGGCAGATGATGTACGTGGTAGTAGCGGCGGAGTTCCTGGAGCGAGTGCAAACGACGTTGATTGTGAGAAAGCCGCGCTTCCGGGAGTAAGCTGTCACGAATCGGTGTTTGATGGTGCTGCCAGCACCTCTCAGGATTATGATGGTGCTGCCTCTGCTGTATCTACACCGCCAACATCAGCGCGCGTCGTACCCGTACATGCAGCAGCTACGCGAGACCATTTACTCCAGCTAGATCACCACGCACCCACCGCATCGTCTGGTACATGTGCGCAATGTGCAGTCTGCAATATGGAGTGTTCAACCGAGTGCAGTTGTACCTGGTGCAAAAAATGTCTCCATCACTTCTGCTCTCATGATGTCTGCGTTTCGTTGAATATCCCAGACCCTAATGGTGGATTCGCCAAGGATTTTGGTGATAGCAGCTATTGCAGCACGCTTTGCTACACAAACGCTACAAAAATGAACTTGGTGGACCAAGGGAGAAGTGATGAACGACCCAATGCCCTACTTGACCTCCCCGCGAGTGCTTTGACGCCAAGTGTGGCTCCGTCGGAACCTGCAGAGACCAACGCCGCCACACATCCTGCTACAAATTGCTCGGGGGCAGCAAAACCTAAGCGAAAAAAGCGCGGTCCTGCCGAACAATCAGCTCCAAAGGCACCCCGAAGCGAAAACCAAGCTGCGCAACGGAAAACGAAAAGCAAGAAGGCACCTACCAAGGCCAGTAAACCCAAGGCTGTGGCAATGAAAGAAGAGTTGATTCGCCGAGCACATGCGGCTGCCGAAAAATTTGTTGATGCTAGCGTAGCATTTTCACCGGCTGATGAGGAGTGGATGCCGCTCAGTTTGTAACGCGACGTTGGCGCAGCATTTTTGATTGGTGTGGTGACTCGCTACAGCCTGGCAAGCGAAAAATATGCTGACAATGTTAGCGTTCCTCACGACAAATTTCAGGTTCAATGGACGTGTACTGCTTTTCAAATAAAAGATCACGTTCACCATGTTTCCGAAGCCATCATCACCCGTGGTATCCGCCAGTTTGCCAACATGGAAAAAGACAAACTTCAATTTGGAGAGTCTTGGACGTCCCTGTGCAACATGGTCCCCAAACTATCAAACATTCCTGCACTGACAGATGAATTTGAGGAGATGGACGAGCGTGGTTATCGTGAGTGGTTTGCGTTTCGCGGGCGGAAAGAATTGCAGCGCCCTTTGTGCCCTGGTGAAGTCGAAGAGATAGCGTCAATGACATTTTCACCCACAGCATCGCTTGGCCAACCGTCAGGGCTATTTACACATCCGGATGGGTCTTCAACTACCCGACTACGCCCGGAAAGTCATGGGTTGTTTGGGCATTCAGCAACCTCATCGTTCTTCGCGTTTATTCCGTTGTCGTTCTGGATCCAAGTGGTCGTCTTTACCAACGAGTATGCAGACGCATCTGGCAGCCCATCGGCAACTCCTGTAAGTTTAGAGGAACTGATGAAATTCCTTGGGATCCTCTGGTACATGACTCTGTTCGACAAGGGTGAGATGAGAAATTACTGGGTGGACGACGAGGAAGCAACTATTTTTTCCTGGAGCGCGTACTACTAGTTTGAAGTCAATTATGACATGGCGAAGATTCCTGTACATCCGTAAGAATTTGAGTTTTCGTTCCAAGGTGTCTACCTCCGACATCAAGCGCGGTCCTGTAGCTAGAATACGACCACTCATGAGCATTCTGAAATCGCGATGCCTGCGCCATGTTGAAGTCGGTCGAAACGTGGCTGTTGATGAGGCCACAATTGCCTGCCGATCCCAGTATGCCCGCCACATTATAGTCTTCAACCCACAAAAACCCACCGGAAAGTATCATTTCAAGTTATACGTGTGTTGCTGTTCTACCTCGTGGTACGCGGTGAGTTTCAAGTTGCACTGCTCCAGTGAACTTGATGATCGGCTGGACGGTGTAATTTCACGCTCAGAAGTGCAGAAATTCGCTGATCTAACCGCGAAGTCGTCTGAAATCCGCTCTCACGTCATGGCGGTTACTTCATCTTTGAAAGGATCCAGTCGCATTGTAAACACGGACAACTTCTACACTTCCTGTTTGCTGTTGAAGACTTTACGATCGATTGGTCTCTATGGGCGTGGCACTGTACGCACATCTAGCACGCATTTCCCTCATTTTACGATGATTCGTAAGGAGGACGCGAAGCCGTGAGGCTACATGAAGCAAGGTGTATGCTTAGAGAAGCATATTGTCGCAGCTAGTTGGGTGGATGGCTCAATTGTCAATGTCGTGTCTAATGCCGATGCTTCGACCACATCAACTGTGCATCGTCGTATAAATGAATCGGGTGTGGCTTTCACTGCTCCTACTTGCGTCGGCGAGTATAATTCAGCGATGCAAGGTGTTGATCGGCTCGACCAACTGCGTGCACGATTTTCTCTAGCCGATGGCCACTCATTTCAGAAGTGGCATAAAAAACTAGCGATGGTCATGCTTGATATAGCCAGGTGCAATGCCTACATTTGCGATAGTTTGGCGCGTGGTGAGAGCGAGGAGTCTCGTTCGACGGGAGGTACAGCCCAAACGAGGTCAAGAGCCCGCGATAGTCATCGCGCATTTGTGGCATCACTGGTTCGAGAACTGTTCAATGGGGACTGGAAGAAATCTCTGGATAGGGAACATGGAATGGTGTATGCTGCGAAGCCGACAACGACAACAATGCCGATGACGACCCAAACCGCGGCGTCGACAGATGTATCCGAGTCTTCGGGCGATCACGCATAAACGTGTGTTGCAAGAGCGTCCTCGGAGGTGCTTCAGGGAAGAAGTCGCTCAATGCGGAAATGCACTGTGTGCAAGTTCGAGGGCAGAGATCCTACCGAGAAAACCGACTACTGCGAGACCCATCGAGTTGCGTTGTGCAAGCGCACATACCCTGTTGACCCTACGAAGCAGCATCTGTGCCAACAGCAAACTTGGACTTGCTGGCAGAAATACCATTTGTTTTACTTGCCGAAGCAAGTGTACACTGTCGACGGCAACTTGCGACGAACCTCTCCAATTTATGTAACTAACCGTCCATTTCTGAAGGCCCGCCAAGACCAAAAGAAGGCACCAAGGCGTAACCTCACATCATTTTTTCAAGATAGTCAAAGTCAACTAACCAGTTATACTTCACTGCACTAAGTCACACCTATTCCATCTGCCCCCGCTAGTCTTGATGCCGTAAATGCGGATTTAGCTCGTGGCTGACAACATACTGCTTTACCACTGGTGCACCATAGCGGCAAGCTAACCACACTCCACTGCGTATAATCCGACAAGATGCTATTAGAAATTCCACGCGCCTCCAAGCCGAACAATAACTCCCAACTGTGTATATGTCAGCGAAGACGCCTCAGACCACATCCAGCACGGCCACGTTCGCCACCACCACATCTGAGGTCATGCTGCTGACGGCGCTGCCACGGCCGCTGCCCTCGCTGCCCGAGTCGCCCGCTACCATTGCGTCCGACTCCATGCTGACGAAGTTGCCTCCGATCTCCTCCCGTACGGACACGATCTCTACAAAGGACGTCATGCTGTTGATGCCGCTGACGGTACTGCTGGCACCTCTACAACGGTCTCCTTCCGCACTGTCGATGCATTTGCGCACGCGGTCTGGTCACCGGTCACATCCTTGCCAACCTCCGTGCCGGTGGAGACGCCCCCGATCACATCCAACACGGCCACGGTCGCCGCGGAAGCCTCCGAGACCATGCTGTTGACGGCACACACGGCGGCGCTGCGGCCGCCGTTGTGCTTGCTGCCCGAGTCGCCCGCCACCATCGCGTCCGCGTCCGTGTCCATGTCGGCGGAGACGCCCCTGACCGCGTCCTCCAAGGCCACGGTCACCTCCATCGTGTCCGAGACCCTGCTGCCGATGTCGCTGGCGGCACTGCTGCCGCTACTTCCGGCGGCGACCTGTGTGCGGCTGCCGCTGGCGTTGTGCTCGACGATCGCATCCGTGCCCCTGGGGACACAATAGTGTTGATAGATATACTACAGAAGACACAATAGCGTGGGGTTTTACCTATCCCTCTTAGCTGTATGATTGGTCATAAACGGCGAGGAAACTACCGTGGCTCAGAAAATTGCTGTTTCAGTTATCTTGCTACTACATCACCAGTAAAAAGATACTTGATGTATCATTCTGGTAACGATAGGGTTAAGCTATCTATCGTTTTTTTGGGAGCCCCGGAGGTTGCTGGGGTCGACAAATTGTTTCAGATAATTCATCATAGGAAGATTTCTCTTCGCCAATGGCTGATCGTCGCCATTCTTCGTCTTCCGAAGCTCCTCGCTCAACTGAGTGAATACGCTCTCGTCGACGAACGCAGCCAAAGTGTCGGAGTCCAACTCGCTGGATATGTCCACCTGCAAAGCAGCACAGCAGTACACAGTCAGCAAAGTGGCAGTAGTATCATGGCGGCGGTGGCGAGAATGGGGGCATGCCTGCTACCGTCTTACCGCGTACCAGACGCCCAGGCATTGAAATAAAGTAGAACGCCTACTAGGCGGTCTATCCGAATACAACGCCTAGGCGTTCTAATAGTGTGATAAACTAAAACTCTGAGGCCCTGGTGTCCATAACGTATATATCGCCGCGATACTCTACTTTCACATCGTTCGTATTGCGTCAAAAACGCAGTAGGAAAACGTCGAGAAATCCTGCAGTTGTCGAGTACTACAAGCAGCGCGCGACGCCCGGCGGCCTCATCATCGCCGAGGCCACCAACATCACGCCCACGGGCCGCGGATCCTGGGGCTCCGCAAATCGAGGCTTGGCGCAACGTGACCAAGGCCGTGCACGGCAAGATGTTCCTGCAGTTGTCGGACTACCGCTCGGCCGCGGAGAACGCCCTCAAAGCGGGCTTCGACGGCGTCGAGCTGCACGCCGCCAACGGCTACTTGCTGGAGCAGTTCCTGCACGACGGCATCAACGACCGCGCCGACCAGTACGGCGGCAGCGTCGAGAACCGCGCGCGCTTCCTGTTCGAGGCACTGGAGGCCATCCTCGAGAGTCTGGACTCGTCCAAGGTGGGCATCCGACTGTCCCCGTTCGGCGGCAGCTTCGGCAACAAGGACTCGGACCCCGTCGCCACCTACACGTACGTGCTGAACAGGCTCAACAACTACGACCTGGCCTACGCGCACCTGATCGAGCCGCGTGGCTACCACGTGCGTGACCCGCTGGCACCCGAGAAGGGCTCGGCGCGGCAGTTCCGCGAGACGTACAAGGGCGTGCTCCTCGCCGCGTCGGGCTTCGACCGGCAGTCGGCCGTGCAGATCGTGGAGGAGGGCGCGGCCGACGCCGTGGCCATCGGCCGCCACTTCATCTCGAACCCGGACCTGGTGCGGCGCTTCCAACTCAACAAGCCCGTGAACGACTACGACACGGACACGTTCTACCTCGGCGACGCGCGCGGGTACATGGACTATAATACCCGTTCCTGCAGGACGAGTAGGTAGAGCAGTAAAGACGACGTAGACAGCAAAAGACGTGCTACTTCCGTAAGACTGCAAGGTGAAGCGTACTGGAGGTGGCTGCGTACTCTCAAGTAAAACAAATTGTTGGTAGTTAAAACTACCGGTAGTTGCTGCAGGCACCAGGCACGTACTGTTACTGCCTCGGTGTGGGCTTGGGCGTCTTGTTGGATCACTTGGCGCGTTTAGTGGGACGGCCTTCTTCACCCTCTTGGTTTTCACGTGCTCGTTTCTTGGATGTTTCCGTCTCGCCACCTTGATCGCCTAGTGGCCCTCACCACTGCCACCAACGTCACTCTCATCGTCACTCTTCTTCCTTGTCACCCGGCGCGTACGCTAGTGCTTTACGGGCGTTCTGCAACAACTTGTCGCGCGTCGCGGTAAGCGACAACTTTGCATACGAACTAACGTTCTTGTTTCGTTTTTCATCTTCATCGCGATAGTCCAGGTCGCCCTCCACAAGCCCCAGCGGGTCATACTGAGACTCCACCATGTTTGATAGAATGGAAGCCACGTCCTCGCTCAGGAACGGGTAGGTGACCCTGTTGAGCAAACGGAGGCAGATCGTGAAAACAGGCTCCTCCTCCGAGACACTCGACACACTTGAGACGCCAGGATTGCTCTCGATCTTCGCCCGCTTCTTCGCCTGACTCCCGATCGTCTGACTCTCCTCCTTCACCTCAGAGGCGTTGCCTTTCTTCTTGGGCTTAAGATTGTCTTTCATTGTCGTGGCATAGATGAACTTGCCGTCACTCTTCCGACCGCGCACATTCATGTAGATGCGAATGGTATCACGGACATCCGTGGAACCCAGCGGTTTCGGATCCTTACCAATTTCATCAGTAGATTTCCCCGCTGACGAGTTCCCATCACTGTTCTTTCCGAACACAAACCAGGGGCATAGTTTCTCCGTCGCTGCCCTGGAAAACCCACCATCGACTGGGGAACGATTCTTCACTTGAATCAACATCATCAACACTTCCTGCTCCTCTTGTTCACCCCTCGTTGTCTCCCCACCGACTGGCTTGCTGGTGGATCTCTTCTTAAACATCGGGATCAACAAATCGGCTCCATACTGGTTACGGGGGAAAATACCTGCAGCTTGACGCCCCAGCAAAAACCAAAGCGTGTCCTCATTCGGCTCAAGCTGCAACTGCACAAAGTGGGTGAACCCCATGTACCAACCATCCCACTTCGAGCACCACTTGTTGAATTCTGGTCTCAAATTCTCCTTGCTGATCATCCGCTTGAGATATATCGGCAGCTTTTTCTTGCCTTGTAGCACCTTCAAGAATTGCTGCACCGGTACAAATTGCCCGATCGTGTGGCACCACTGGGAAAAGTCTTTGTCCCCCATCATACACGTGTCCATCGCCAGAAGCAGCAAAATCCGAGCAACCATCTCGCCAATTTCGCCAACTCCACCGGTGTCCAATGCTTCATCCAAAAGGAGGTTCTTGAGTTGCGGCAGGATATACTTTGCCAAACCATGTTTCAGTTCATACCACACTTTCATCGCTCCTAAGGCGAGCACTGGGTCCGAAGCGTAGCTGGTGACGTAACCCTCTCGTTTGAAATTCACATACGCGAGAATCGCCATGAAGTCGGCAGTCGCCCGAGATGCCAGAGCCGACGTTGAATGCGGGCGCACGCCCAGACGGCAAAGCATGGAGGCGACACCAAGCATGGTATCCTTGTTGTACGCATTTTGCGAAGGGGGAATCCCCAGTAGCAGCTTGTTCGCCGCAAGATTGATCACATCTTCTCTATCCGCAGGATTGGGGCAAGTGCTGTACCACATCGGACGCCCCATGCGGCACAACGCGTGCCAAGCTTGACTCGCATCCCCGGTAACGATTCTCTTGTACATAGCTATCTTAGCACGTTCTTGCTGTTTCTTCTTCTCTTCGTCTTTTTCAGCTCCCACCGCAACCTGAGTTTCGTCTTCCATTTCTTCATCTTCTGCTCCCGCATCTAGTATTTCCTCTTTCATTTCTTCATCTACATCTTGGATGTCCTCTTTCATTTCTTCATCTTCGCCGGCTTGTTTTTCTTCACAGTATTGATCCCAGTGTGCGTCCATTGTCTCAGCTAACACCACTGGCGCAAACGATGCCAACTCTCCATCGAAAAGCCGAGATGATGGGTCCAACAACAGCGGAGGCGCCAGGTCCGAGATCCTGGAGTTCGTATCAATCAGCACGCCGAAAATGCATCCACGATGGCCGATATCTTTGTTCACGGATCTGAGAGCATTTCGCAACATTCGGAAGTCATTCTTCTTGTCTGGCTTCTCAGTCAGCAGGCTTCTCGCTTCATCGATCACCAGAACCACGATTCTGCCATTTGGATTCTTCTCGGTGGAGGTATCCCCCTCCAGCGTATCTGTTTCATCCGAAAGTTTCGCCTTTACAGAGGTGTCCGCTGCCTTTTCGGTAAACAGCTTCAGCCATTCCTTCTGAACGTCCGCCCAATGCTTGTTCGCGTAGACGTAAATTGTCTTCAATCGACTGGCGATGTCTTCCACTTCGGAGCCTTCTTGAAACAGCCAACCACGAAGCTCGCTCGTAGCCTTGGGAAACCCCGTCGACTCGTGCACACGAGCACACATGTACAGGACTTTCATGTTCAAGGCGCTCTTTTGAGCCTCAATCGCGAGTTCACGCACCATCCGACTCTTGCCGAAGCCAGAACTCTGCACGACCGCCACACATGGCGCCTTGTACTTTGTGGGGGTGTAGGCCTTCCAGCAGTCCCGCAGATACTGTGCGAGGTCGAGGTGGGCTTCGCCGAGGTACCGGCCCTTGGTGAACGCCTCCGCGATTCGCTTCATTTCATTTTCATCCAACTTGGGCGTGCCGGAGCGGGCTTCAGGGACAAACTTTGCCAGGAGGTCTTTCACCGTCTTGGCCGCAATAGTTTGTGCAAGAGGTGGAGACACGCGTGTATGCCCGTATGCTTCTCTGATCTCCACCCATATCAATCCATGTATCCGGTTCTGGGAGGCCTCGAGTTGGAGTGTGGCTTTGTTGGGATAGTCGACCAGCATCCACGCAACGAAAAGATTTTTCTTCGGCGATGCGTCTGCTCCAAGCTTCCCGCTCATCTGAGCAAAGACACTGTCGTCCACGAACGCGGCCAAAGCCTGGGGATCCAACTGGCTGGACATGTCCATCTGCAGCAGCACAGCAGTACACAGTCAGCAATGCGGCAGTAGTATCATGACGACGTTGGCAAGGGCGCGGGCATGCCTGCTAGTCCCGGTGGGCGGTGGCGCTACAGGACAAGGCTTGGAGGGGAAATGTGGAAATGGCCGGTTGGATTTTTCTTCCCTCAGTTTTGTACCAGAAACACGGTACCGCATCTACGTGATATACAGTGCGCGCCGAAATTATAACCGCACCCCAAAAATTATTTTTTTAAACCAATGATTGTGCTTTCGGCGCCAAACCGCTGCTTATGATTCGTCTAAAATCGATAGAAAACAGATGCAACAATCAGAATCGAAAAAGCTGTAACCGTTTTTTTGCAATGGACGAAAAACCGACTTTGGGTCGGGTCAAAATTATAGCCGCACCCGGTAAGCTATCGGTAAGATTGGTAACAAACTCGTGGAGAGCTGTTTCAAGCGTAATAAATGAACTAACTCCATTGAACAGCTCGAATAACGCCTACCGGTACAGTAAAATGCGTCGATAAGGAACGCCTGATATACATTGAAAGAAAAGGTATATTGATAATTAAAGGTTTGACTCGTCACATGCAGACAGCAAATGCACTGATTTACTGCAATATGTAGTTCATGTCGGACTTCGCGACCAGAGTCTCGGCTTGAACCCACGCAGCCAACTCAGCATAGGTAGCACCCGGTAGATCACGACGGCGATGACAGATTAGCAGCGACTGAAGCTTGGTCAGACGTAGCCACCTCTGGAACGGTCTGGAAGTGGCGGTCACCATGGGAGTTGTGAGCAGCAGAGCGAAAGTTGGTTAATGAGGCATGCAGACATGTACCTGGCGCGATTTCCGCGCTCACAGCGATCCTCATGCTCATGATTCCCTCTCGCGACCTTTAGGTTCCATTTCCCCCGACTTGGGAGCCGCTCCATCCAGCCGCTCTTGAGGCTCGGTTTCGGAACTGTGATTGGCGGAATGTTAAACGGGACCGAATGATTGGTAGAATCATATAACTAATTCAGTACAATTGGCACACAATGGGTACAAGCGAGGATTCATGTCTTGTCGTAGAATATAAAATGTCGCCCGTTCCTTATCGACGCACTTCACTGTAGTAAGCTGCTCAAATAAGGTTAAGCTGACGCGGTTGATAAGATTCAATGGAGACACGCACTATCTTGAATTTGTATAGAAGAGTGGTGTTTGACAGTGTGGAGAGGTCTATACTCGTAAGTTGAGGCTGTCAGCTGACTAGTGTCTTCATTGGCGTCTATTCAACATGGTAGCGATGCTGGGCTTGCTCAGTTCAGCAACATGTACCAGAAAACTCGATCGATTTTTTTCCGGGTCAATACAAATCCTTTATACTTGATGTTTCCAGTCACAAATTTCAATCAAGTCTAGTCAGTCCCGTACAGTGTAAATACATGGCTACGTATCAAAAGTAGAGTATTTCTTCCTGAAAATAATGCCCGAGTTGCTTCCAGAATCCTCCTACTGTTGTCTCGGAAGTCCGGCCAAGTTGCCACCAAGTGTTTAGTGCGCTTTATGGTATTAATAAATGTGCGAACAATAACTTCGGCGATGCGGTACATACCATAGGTAAGATACGACCACACGGGCCGCATCGGCCCCAGCCGGGCGGCGTGCCCGTGTCGTCCAGCTCCAAGCTCGAGAACATCCGCGCCGGCAAGAAGATCGTCACGCGCGAAGGACGCATGGAGCCCGTGCCGCCGCGCGCGCTCGAGACGAGCGAGATCCCGGGCATCGTGGCGGACTACCGCACGGCCGCGGAGAACGCCCTCAAAGCGGGCTTCGACGGCGTCGAGCTGCACGCCGCCAACGGCTACTTGCTGGAGCAGTTCCTGCACGACGGCATCAACGACCGCGCCGACCAGTACGGCGGCAGCGTCGAGAACCGCGCGCGCTTCCTGTTCGAGGCACTGGAGGCCATCCTCGAGAGTCTGGACTCGTCCAAGGTGGGCATCCGACTGTCCCCGTTCGGCGGCAGCTTCGGCAACAAGGACTCGGACCCCGTCGCCACCTACACGTACGTGCTGAACAGGCTCAACAACTACGACCTGGCCTACGCGCACCTGATCGAGCCGCGTGGCTACCACGTGCGTGACCCGCTGGCACCCGAGAAGGGCTCGGCGCGGCAGTTCCGCGAGACGTACAAGGGCGTGCTCCTCGCCGCGTCGGGCTTCGACCGGCAGTCGGCCGTGCAGATCGTGGAGGAGGGCGCGGCCGACGCCGTGGCCATCGGCCGCCACTTCATCTCGAACCCGGACCTGGTGCGGCGCTTTCAACTCAACAAGCCCGTGAACGACTACGACACGGACACGTTCTACCTCGGCGACGCGCGCGGGTACATGGACTATAATACCCGTTCCTGCAGGACGAGTAGGTAGAGCAGTAAAGACGACGTAGACAGCAAAAGACGTGCTACTTCCGTAAGACTGCAAGGTGAAGCGTACTGGAGGTGGCTGCGTACTCTCAAGTAAAACAAATTGTTGGTAGTTAAAACTAGTTGCTGCAGGCACCAGGCACGTACTGTTACTGCCTCGGTGTGGGCTTGGGCGTCTTGTTGGATCACTTGGCGCGTTTAGTGGGACGGCCTTCTTCACCCTCTTGGTTTTCACGTGCTCGTTTCTTGGATGTTTCCGTCTCGCCACCTTGATCGCCTAGTGGCCCTCACCACTGCCACCAACGTCACTCTCATCGTCACTCTTCTTCCTTGTCACCCGGCGCGTACGCTAGTGCTTTACGGGCGTTCTGCAACAACTTGTCGCGCGTTGCGGTAAGCGACAACTTTGCATACGAACTAACGTCCTTGTTTCGTTTTTCATCTTCATCGCGATAGTCCAGGTCGCCCTCCACAAGCCCCAGCGGGTCATACTGAGACTCCACCATGTTTGATAGCATGGAAGCCACGTCCTCGCTCAGGAACGGGTAGGTGACCCTGTTGAGCAAACGGAGGCAGATCGTGAAAACAGGCTCCTCCTCCGAGACACTCGACACACTTGAGACGCCAGGATTGCTCTCGATCTTCGCCCGCTTCTTCGCCTGACTCCCGATCGTCTGACTCTCCTCCTTCACCTCAGAGGCGTTGCCTTTCTTCTTGGGCTTAAGATTGTCTTTCATTGTCGTGGCATAGATGAACTTGCCGTCACTCTTCCGACCGCGCACATTCATGTAGATGCGAATGGTATCACGGACATCCGTGGAGCTCAGCGGTTTCGGATCCCCACCAATTTCATCAGTAGATTTCCCCGCTGACGAGTTCCCATCACTGTTCTTTCCGAACACAAACCAGGGGCATAGTTTCTCCGTCGCTGCCCTGGAAAACCCACCATCGACTGGGGAACGATTCTTCACTTGAATCAACATCATCAACACTTCCTGCTCCTCTTGTTCACCCCTCGTTGTCTCCCCACCGACTGGCCTGCTGTTGGATCTCTTCTTAAACATCGGGATCAACAAATCGGCTCCATACTGGTTACGGGGGAAAATACCTGCAGCTTGACGCCCCAGCAAAAACCAAAGCGTGTCCTCATTCGGCTCGAGCTGCAACTGCACAAAGTGGGTGAACCCCACGTACCAACCATCCCACTTCGAGCACCACTCGTTGAATTCTGGTCTCTTATCTTCCGCGTTGTACATCCCCTTACAATATATCGACATCTCCTCGTGGCCTGTTAGCACGTTCAAGAAATCCTGCACCGGTACAAATTGCCCGATCGTATGGTAGCACTGGGAAAAATCTTTGTCCCCCATAACACACTTGTCCATCGCTAGAAGCAGCAGAATGCGAGCAACCATCTCGCCAATTTCGCCAACTCCACCAGTGTCCAACGCTTCATCCAAAAGGAGGTTCTTGAGTTGCGGCAGGATATACTTTGCCAGACCATGTTTCAGTTCATACCACACTTTCATCGCTCCTAAGGCGAGCACTGGGTCCGAAGCGTAGCTGGTGACGTAACCCTCTCGTTTGAAGTTCACATACGCGAGAATCGCCATGAAGTCAGCGGGGGCCCGAGATGCCAAAGCCGACGTCGAATGCGGTCGAACACCCAGTCGACAAAGCATGGAGGCGACACCAAACATGGTATCCTTGTTGTACGCATTTTGCGAAGGGGGAATCCCCAGTAGCAGTTTATTCGCCGCGAGATCAATCACGCGAACTTATGAGCTGGATCGGGGTAAGTGCTGTACCACATCGGGCGGCCCATGCGCCTCAACGCCTCCCAGGCCTGACCGTCACTTCCAGTTACGACGGTCTTGTACATGGCTATCTTAGCACGTTCTTGCTGTTTGGTTTTCTCTTCGTCTTCAGCTCCCACCGCAACTTGGGTTCCCTCGTTTATCTCTTCATCTTCAAAGTAGTCATCCCAGTGTGCGTCCATCGTATCAGCTAGTACAAGCGGCGCGAACGATGCCAAACTACCTCCAGATTTCCGAGAAGATGGGTCCAACAACAGAGGCTGCGTCAGGTCCGAGATCTGCGAGTTCGTATCAATCAGCACGCCGAAAATGCCTCCTTCGGGGCCGATATCTTCGTTAGCGGATTTAAGAGCATTTCGCAACATACGAAAATCGTTCTTCTTGCCATCCACCTCAGCCAGCAGACTTCTCGCTTCATCGATCACCAGAACCACCATTTTGCCATCTGGATCCTTCACGGTGGAGGTACCCGTAGTTTGGATAAAGGTGTCCGGTACGGATGCTGAATCGGACGCCTTTATCATTTCTGTTTCTTTCAAAAGCTTGGCCGCACACGGAACTGTCAGTTGCATTGTCGATAAACAGCTCCAGCCATTCCGTCTGAACGTCCGCCCAATGATCTTTCGCATAGCAGTAAATCGCCTTCAATCGCCTGGCGACCTCTTGCACTGAGGAGGCGGCAGGGTCAAACAGCCAATCACGAAGCTTACTCGTAGCCTCCGGAAACCCCGTCGATCGGTGCACACGCGCGCACATGCACAAAACTTTCAGGTTCAAGTTCGGTTCTCGTTCTGCCTTGAGCGCAAGCTCACGCACTGTCCGACTCTTGCCGAAGCCGGAACTCTGCACAACCGCCACACATGGCGCCTTGTACTTTGCAGGGTTGTACTCTTTCCAGCAGTCCCGCAGGTATTCTGCGAGGTCGTCTTGGACCTTGCCGACGTACGTGACTTTAGTGAACGCATCCGAGAGTCGAATCATTTCGTCTTCACCCAGCTTGGTGATGAGGGGGTTGTCTTCGGGAACAAACTTTGCCAGGAGGTCTTCAATCGTCTTGACCGTAATGGTTTCCGCAAGATCGACCGTCACGTCTGGGTGCTCGTATACGATCCCAATCTTCACCTCCAAGTATCCCTTAAATTCTTTCTGAGAGACCCGGAGTCCCGCGTCGCGATATTTTTTCAAATACTCATCGATGCGAAGAGGTTTCTTCTCCAGTGCTCCCTCGTTGCCTTCCTTCGCGTCCCCCAGTTTCGCGCTCAACTGAGTGAAGACGCTGTCGTCCACGAATGCGGCTATCTCCTCGACTCCAGGCTGCAGAGCGGCAGTGTTGCGGTTTGGCGAGAGAGTGCGACTTCTCTTTAATGTAGACCACATATTCGCTTTAATTGGACATAATCACTATGTAGTTTCTGTTTTTATTGGACAAAAGTATTTAGGCGCACATCTCGCCAGGTTTATTATAATAACACATATTGTACTTTTTGGCACTTCAGACTGTATTTGTGCTTTGCAATGATTTTGGCAATATGAGGCGAGATTTGCTGTATTATTACGACCACCTGCTAGATTTACGATAAATCGAGGTGCATAAATGGGTGGAGGCCTAGAATTACGCTAAAAGCGCCATAATTGCACTTTCAAAAGTGCAATTGTGGCTGTGCAGCTGCAATTCTGTCGGTTTTTATCCACAAGCACCTACACACACGGCAATTATGCATAAGAGGGTGGATGTGCTGGGGATCATGGACGGTGGTGTACTGGGCCAATGCATGGCTGCTGACAGGCCCTCCCAAGTCGATATATATATGAGGAGGTGGATTTATGCATAATTTTAGCAGGCCGTGTATCTTCTTTCACACATATTTAGGAGCAGGCTTTGCCATATTTAGCGTCTAAAATGGTCGGCAAAATAAGTGCAAAGCACAATAACTCGTACGACTTATCGAGCACGACTATAAATCGTACTCGAGTACGAATTGCTGTAAGTCGTGGATGGCCAATCACTTGTGTCGAGCATTTGTAAGACAGTTTGACGACAAATCAAATGTAGCAATTTCATTGGATAATATTGTATTATGTAGTTTTGAGTGTTGCTGCATCTCGGCTCGTAAATTGGACTGATTCATATGTGTGCGCATTTTGCCCCCTTTACTAGAGGCAGCGCACTTGAAAAATGTCCGGGCTTTTGATCCTGACGCCATGCACTAACCTCCTGCTAGAAGATTTAAATATACTTGCCAGGAATGGAATGTAAGGACATCATAGCACAGTTATCATACGACCGTTTGTTCCCGTAGTGGAGCAATGTTTCTTCGCTTTACTGGGGTGAACGACAACAGTCGTTCACCCCACCACGCCAACTCTCCTTTCTACAGTAAAGTACTAACACTACATAGAAGATGGAGATTCGGATAGAGGGCGCATACGCAAACCAGTCTACGCTGTAGCATCGACAAAAAGCATGGCTGCAGGCAGTGGCTTAGTTGCAGGAGATACCGAGTAACTCGCCGATGCCGAAGGTCGAGCCCAGCAGCGATATGGCGCGCGCCGAGCGCCCGCGCAGCAGTGTGGAGCTCCTCCGCACCTCAGCGTCGTAGGTACAATATCTAGGTGTTATCGCCGTTGCAGAGTACGTGGTTGCATTTTGTTGCTGGACTGTAATGATTAGGTAAGAGGGGGTCGGAGGATCTCGGGAAGCCCACTGGCAACACCGTTCCCTGGCTGCCTCGCCTTCACAACTACTATGATGTACGCTCAAGCATAAAAATTACTACATTAAAATGTACATGTAGTACCGTTACGAGCTATTTGTCCCTCTTAGTCTACGTCTACAAACTTCATCGCAACTCCGTGCCCTACAACGGCTGCACCTCTGAGTGGAACAGCTCCACGGACTGCATGCACGCGTTCGTGCAGTCATTATGCCGATATTTAAGCTTGCTGCCAGCGGCCAACTACAGGCACATCGCTTCGTGTGTGAACAGGAGGCTACTTTCCCTACCGCACCATGCAACTGCATCGTTTCGGCGCTCAACGTTGCCACCGCGTCCGCGGCAACGATGCCGCTGTCGTGGCGAGCAGACCTGAACATTTTTGGCCAATTGTATGGCGCAAACTAGTGTCCGACAAACTGTCTTATGTTTTGACAGACAATATGCAATGTAGCCACTGGTATACAACAACCAAGATGTAGTCAAAACGCGTTGATCGGAAAACGTAAGACGCTTTGTCTTATGATAGGCATTCTGGGGCTAAGTATCGTCTTACGAAAGAGTATGAATCAGCACTAGGAGCATCTCCACCGGTCGTGAGTAAAACTAAATTTTACCCCTTTTCTGTCAATATTTAATCATAGTTTTAGTTTTGTACAGCTCCACCGGTTTGAGCAAATGCTGAGCAAATTGCTCCATTTTTTACGCAGATCAACGTTTTGCACAACTTTGCCAACGGAGGAGGCTTTGAGTAAAAGGTTGAGTACATGTAAATGTCGACCGACCAGTAGTAGGGCCAAGTCAAGCGTTCTAAGCAGCGCAAGCGTCACAGACCGCAGTGTCGCCCTTGCTACGTCATCCCTGGGTCTTCCTCAACGTGCTGCCGGGCCCTTTATAGGGCTATACAGCTGTGCGCCGTCGCCATGGCTGGTGCCGAACCAAGAGCTTTAACGCGCTTGCTGCGAGTCTCAATTGCCGGTGGAGCTGTGCACTGTCTTTAGCACGGTTGTGCCGTTGTAGGCACGGATCTTAGGGCAATTTGCTTTTAGTATTACTCAGCACCGGTGGAGATGCCCTAATAAGTAGTGCGCATATGGAGGAATTAAGTAATTCAAGTAGATTGAAGCATTTTTGTAAAAGTCTAAGTAGGTGAATGCATCAACTTGCAAGTAGATTGCCACGGTCAAAAATAACGTTTTATCAGAACTTGAAAACGCGATAAGAATTAAGGACAGGGTAAGATATGAAGATGATGGAGGACGAGCAAACGGAACATCAGCGATAACAAAATAAGTAGGTGCCTCATTATCGAAAACATCATGGTGCCAACTGCCCCCTGTGCAACACCAACTGGGCTGTCTCAAGTCTGCGGCAGCTCGTTGGCAAGCGTGCGTGCCTGGAAAAGCGGTACCCGATCCTAAAGGCTCAGCGACTGGAAATGGCCCGAGCCTACAAGCGCGAGTACGATAAGCTGTACCACCGCGCTCGCCGTGACGCGCTTAACGAGCTTGACCTGCGTATCATCACTACTGCCGCAGGTGACGTGACCACGACTGTTGTTGAGTCGCTCGTCCTGTCTGTGCCTGGGGACATTGAGTTAGGGGGTTCAACAACAGCTCAGAGCTCACCTCCCCGCTCTGCTCGACGACGTCGTGTTTTCTCGGCACCAGCTCCCCCAACGGTGATCGACATTACGGGGGAGGAGGACCAAGACGAGGACCTATCAACTTGCGCCATTTGCTAGTACGCGCCAGTGGCGCCGGTCACCCCGCGCTCATGCTGACATGCCATGTGTGCCGAGTGCATGTCAATGTACGTGGCGAGAAGCATTCAGGCCGAAAATGTAGCTAACTGCCCTACGTGTAGAGTTCCCATTCGGATGTAGCCATCCGGCTAGCCATACAGCTTTATTTTCTTCATTTTTGAGTAATTAAAAATATTTTTTCACTTTATTTTGATGAAATGGTCTAAGCAGCAAATGATAATAAATTTGTTGTATATACTTCTTTCATTTACATTGCGTCAGTATCAATAATAGCGCACAAGAACGAGTTGTATTACTGGGAAGTAAAGTCGTACGATCGTGCGAATTGTTGCTATGGAATACCAATTTTCGTCAAGTCACAGTAAGCATCAAAGTAACACATTCGT